GCAATGAATAATTAAATGTTGAAAATATTGATTTCATAGATGTTTTATTTTTAATAAAAAAAAAGTGTGAGAGTTGAAAGCAGAGAAAATGAAATCAAAGAAGTAATAATTCATATGAATTTTAAATTAACCTGGTGTTGAATTACCTATATTCTAATTATCAATTAAAGTAGAATTCCACTGTCACAAGTCCTATTCCCTTTGAGTGAAATGATTTTAATGGAAATGTTTTCTGTATTTTTTCATCACCTTACCCAATAAATTCTTTATTAAAGTATTATGAACACATGCATAATTATATCAAAATTCAGATCTTTAAATAAAATAGGAAATACTGTATGAGGGAAAAATGACTTGCGGAGTAAATAATATTCGATGGATTCGTGGTGTTACTAAATCATTGAATTCAATAAACGGTTCATAAGTTGTCAATAAAATCTTTTTTTTTTCCCAAAATCTTAGTCCAAGCTACCAGTAGATATATTTAGCATTATCAATCAGCAATTACCATTTGTCATATCATTATTTAATTTCAACATTTTCTTTGAATTCAAATCAGCAGATATCAATACACAGGGACACTATAATATATTTCTTCGGTCATTATTAATCATGCAAAGGGAGATTACTTTTATTTATATCAAATCTGTTATTTCATCAAACCACTCAAGTCAGAAGAGAGAAAAACACAAAAGTTTCAACCGATGGAATTAATGACCTTTACAGTAAGACCAATTACAATATATTACCCATCATAGTCCAATGGTTATTTAAAGATTTCTTGATGGAGGGAGAGGACTGCAATACATGCACTCATAGACAGATGGAATTTTACATTTAATAGTAAATTAAAAACAGCTTTAATTAAAAAAAAATTAGCAAGAGGTAAATTTTTCATTTCATTAGATTGAAGGTCAGATCTTTGTGTGGGGTCATACTTTAAGGTCAAATGCCAAGTTGGGCTTTTGTCATTTTTAATCACATTACTGGAAGTTACAAAAGAAATGAAAAATGACAAAAGCTCCTACTTGACATTTGACCTTTAAGTATGACCCCTCAGAAAGCACTGACCTTCCATCAAATTAAATGTGAAGTGTGTGGCTTGTAGTTTGTTCAAAAGTAAAGCAAAGTATATTTAAACATACTTATTTTGATTCAACTAACGTTAAAGCACTACAGAAAAGCTAAGAGATAGGAGAAATAAATGCCCTCTGACCTTCAATTGTGGGCTATATAAATATCATTTCATACAATTTTTAAGTGAAAGAAACATGAAAAAGAGATGTTTGATCAATATCCATTTAATGTACAGGTATGACCAGGTGAAATAATTAGATACCGGCTCACCAGTGTTGTAAGCAAAGCAAACAATAAATCAGCTAATAGAGTGACAGTAGCCAGGCATACAATAGAAAGCTTTTACCCCGAGTCATCTATTAATGATTAATCACATAGAAGGGGGCCAATATCGATAAAATATCACATCAGGGATTACCGAGCTGCACTGTCTCTTGTTATTATTAACTGTTTCTTGGTGTGGATGTTAGACAATCAATAAGGTTTTCATGTTCTGTTTCTAATGTCTCTCTGCTCTTCCTCTTGAATACAAATAAAAGGCCATTTACACTCATTTGAATAAATGAAACATATTTCCCCCAAACGTGTCTTGATAAACAGCCAATCAAAACACAGCTAATTTTTATCCTCTCACTATTGTTCTCAATAATTTGTCTAAATCATCAGTATTAATCTTTGATTATATGCAGCTTGTTTAATTAGCAAGTTGATGATTATTTTTTAGCTTTCTGCAAGTTCAGATAATGTGGTATCAATCCATGAATTATCACACTACAAATTTTGAAGTAGTCATAATATTTAATGGTATCAATCTACTAATTATCACATATCAAATCAAACTCTATGTGATAATTTAAGTACCCCAGAAACATTTTGTTACACATCAGATACATAACAAATATTTGATTTTATAACTGAATTGTGGGAGAGTGAGAATTGTGTGTAAGATATTGAGATCAAAACTACTAATTAATAAGAATTGCCTGCACACTAACTACTAATTAATAAGAATTGCCTGCATACTTAAGGAGACAGTGTATGACAGTTACATGTCAAAAGACATTGGGTGCACTGGTCACTGCAACTCTAAATGGTTGTTAGCATTTTTAGCTCACCTGAGTCAAAGGCTCAAGTGAGCTTTTCTGACCAAAGGGTGTCCAGCATCATGTGTCATCTATGCATTTTTACATTTTGATTTCTTCTCCAGAACCATTAAGCCAGTTTCAACCAAACTTACCGCAAAGCATGCATCCTTGATTGAAGGGAATTTAAGTTTCCTCAAATGTAGGGCCACATCCTCTTTTAAGGGGAGATAATTGAGAATTATTGAAAATTAAAATTGCTTCTTTTTAAAAATCTTCCCAGTAACCACTGGGCCAGAAGAAATAAAACTTATGTGAATGCTTCATCACATAGTGTAGATTTTAAGTTTGTTCAAATCATAACCCCTGGGGGTAGGGTGGGGCCACAATAGACAAAGTTTAACAAAGGAATATATAGGAAAAATCTTTAAATATCTCGAGAACAGCAAAGCCATGATTAGTACATTCAAGTTTGTTCAAATCATGACTCCTCCCCTGTCCCTCCTGGGGTGTGGAGGGGGGAGTAGGCTCATACATGTGATATGTAACCGCTGTACGCAAAATGTACAGTTTTTCGAGCCAATTCATCATGTACCGGCGGGACACCAAAATTCACGGAATTTGAAAATTTGTACAGTATTTTGAATTTCTCGCTAAATGCCGCCATTTTCCTCTCATTCTCGCTCGCGAGACACTGGAAAACATCACCTGTGTTGACACTTGACCTTCTGATAATTGTGTAGTGTACACAAACCATCGCGTGCGAAGGTGTGAACTGCCAATTGGGATAATTATCTTGCTATAAATTCGTATCAAATACCCCTTTAGGTAGCTTTATTTTTTAAGGGGTACTTAATTACTGTTAATGTTTCATATACGTAACTTGATTGAAAAAAATTAAGCCAACTTCTAAAGTTGATATACGTGAATCTGACCCAGATCTTCATAGGTATAAAATATACGATGTTTATTACAATGATTACGATGGAATTTCATCAGAATTTAAGCGATATTTTATACCATTTTTTGTACCGTTTTTTGATAGGCAGTGTACAGTTTTTTCACCCAAATTCCAGTTTTTTTATGGCTCCTGTACAGTTTTGTGGTCTTTGACTTATCACATGTATGGAGTAGGCTGGATCACTTACTGTAAATGTACTATATTTAGTATGTACAATATTTGGCGGAAATTGATTTTTGAATAATTTAGCGTAGATTTGATTTAGAGCATTTCTTCATATTCTTATTTATGTGTATATATGCAAGACATTTAGCTTTGTACTTGATTTAGCGGTTGATGCGTTCCGCCAAAGCTGCTAAAAAGAATACACAGCCAAATTTAATACGTTTACAGTATATACATGTATATAAACTTTTCAATACTTAACAGATTTCTCCTTTGTTCCAGCCAAAGTGCTTGGGTGAGGGATGTGGCCCATGGGCCTCTTGTTTTACAAATGAAATTTAATCACCATCTATGGGATAGGTATGCATAATATTTAGCCTTTGTAAAAGATTTTAATATTAAAATAAGTGAAATTTTGTGGAATGCCAAATATAACCTCATAATTTCTACCCCTAAGTTAAAAGACTACAATCCATTCTGAAAGTGAATCAACAGCTCCTCAAAAGTGTAACCTTATAGATCCAGAAGCAGTTTTGAAAAGTAGCTACAATTCCATTCAATTTTAAACACTTATGAAATTTATTTTTTGGACTTAGTGAAAATCACATCATATAAAAATATATAAACATGTATTGAGTTTATCTATTTCATTTTCAACATAGGATACCTGCTTTGCAATACTTCCTAGGACAAAAATCTTAAAAGACAATGAAGTGTTATGGAACAAAAATAAATGTTGTTTACTTACACTGAAGGAAAAATGCAAATAATGTATTGAATTGCTTTATCTTTGTTTTATCTAATGTTTACAATGATGATCATTGAAGTGGTAAAAATTTCCTTTTGAAAGGAACGTCTTGAGCTTTCTTTTGAATGTTGGTTGTTACATAATGACATATCAATTTCTTTAGAAAGAGAAAGCGGTTTATGTTTTTTATTTGTTTTAACTCAAATGAACATTAATAATTTATGAAATAAATAACAAGATGTAGGTACTGAAACGCTGTCACGTGTGTATCTTCTTCTTCTTTGAAACTCTCCTATACACAAATATACGTAAACTATATAAGCAATAACAAGAGATGACATATTGTAGGGGCAAGTGGACGGGCAAACACCAGGTCTGTACTGGGAGACAGCCCTCAAATGTCGTAAATTTTCTCACATGCTTTATTCAACTGTAAAAACACATATTTTCGTGGGGTCAAATTTTTGTGGTTTGAAGAAAAACTATGGGTTCGTGGGGATTTGATTTCATGGATGAAGAATTGTGGAGTAGTTATGTATATGACATTTTACATTTCGTGGTGGACATGAATTTGTGAGTCTCTTTAAAGCTTGCAAACAACTTTGTTTCCCTCATTTCTCTGATATTAGACTACGTAACTCTACAATTTTCTCTATTTCCCTAATATTACCACTATCTAACTCTATCATTTTCTTTGATTCCCTGATATTACTATTATTTATCTCTACCCTTTTCTCTGATTCCCTAATATAACCACTATAATAACACTACCCTTTTCTCTGATTCCCTGAAATTACCACTATTTAACTCTACCCTTTTCTCTGATTCCCTGAAATTACCACTATTTAACTCTACCCTTTTGTCTGATTCCCTGATATTACCACTATTTAACTCTACCCTTTTGTCTGATTCCCTGATATTACCACTATTTAACACTATCCTTTTCTCTGATTCCCTAATATAACCACTATAATAACACTACCCTTTTCTCTGATTCCCTGAAATTACCACTATTTAACTCTACCCTTTTCTCTGATTCCCTGAAATTACCACTATTTAACTCTTCCATTTTGTCTGATTCCCTGATATTACCACTATTTAACTCTACCCTTTTGTCTGATTCCCTGATATTACCACTATTTAACTCTGCCCTTTTGTCTGATTCCCTGATATTACCACTATTTAACACTATCCTTTTGTCTGATTCCCTGATATTACCACTATTTAGCACTACCCTTTTCTCTGATTCCCTGATATTACCACTATTCAACACTACCCTTTTGTCTGATTCCCTGATATTACCACTATTTAACTCTACCCTTTTGTCTGATTCCCTGATATTACCACTATTTAACTCTGCCCTTTTGTCTGATTCCCTGATATTACCACTATTTAACACTATCCTTTTCTCTGATTCCCTGATATTACCACTATTTAACACTACCCTTTTCTCTGATTCCCTGATATTACCACTATTTAACACTATCCTTTTGTCTGATTCCCTGATATTACCACTATTTAACACTATCCTTTTCTCTGATTCCCTGATATTACCACTATTTAACACTACCCTTTTCTCTGATTCCCTGAAATTACCACTATTTAACTCTTCCATTTTGTCTGATTCCCTTATATTACCACTATTTAACTCTACCCTTTTGTCTGACTCCCTGATATTACCACTATTTAACTCTACCCTTTTGTCTGATTCCCTGATATTACCACTATTTAACTCTGCCCTTTTGTCTGATTCCCTTATATTACCACTATTTAACACTATCCTTTTGTCTGATTCCCTGATATTACCACTATTTAGCACTACCCTTTTCTCTGATTCCCTGATATTACCACTATTCAACACTACCCTTTTGTCTGATTCCCTGAAATTACCACTATTTAACTCTACCCTTTTGTCTGATTACCACTATTTAACTCTACCCTTTTGTCTGACTCCCTGATATTACCACTATTTAACTCTACACTTTTCTCTGATTCCCTGTTATTACCACTATTTAACACTATCCTTTTCTCTGATTCCCTGATATTACCACTATTCAACACTATCCTTTTCTCTGATTCCCTGATATTATCACTATTCAACACTACCCTTTTGTCTGATTACCACTATTTAACTCTACCCTTTTGTCTGATTCCCTGATATTACCACTATTTAACTCTGCCCTTTTCTCTGATTCCCTGATATTACCACTATTTAACACTACCCTTTTGTCTGATTCCCTGATATTACCACTATTTAACACTATCCTTTTGTCTGATTCCCTGATATTACCACTATTTAACACTATCCTTTCCTCTGATTCCCTGATATTACCACTATTTAACACTATCCTTTTGTCTGATTCCCTGATATTACCACTATTTAACTCTACCCTTTTCTCTGACTCCCTGTTATTACCACTATTCAACACTACCCTTTTCTTCAATTCACTGGTATACCAGTATCACTATCTTACTCTTTGAATTCTTGATATTACCACCTCCTTCTTGTAGCCTTTACTGTTCTGCGTCTTACTCCCTAATATTACCAGTATCTTCTTTTCTAAATTCCTGATAATAATATACATGTACCCTCCTCTCTGATATAACCACTTCCCTCCCAACTCCCTGATATTTTCAATATCTTCCTTTCTGAATCCTGGATATTTCCATTACCCTCCTTTCTGATTCCTTAGTATTTCAACTACTTTTCTCTGATACTTTGATACATTATTACCACTACCCTTCTCTCTGATTCAATATTGCCACTACTTTTCTTTCTGATATTATCACTACCCTCTTCTTTGATTCCCTGAAATAACCACTACCCTCCTCTTTCATTCTCTGATATAACCACTACCCTTTTCTCTGATTCCCTGATATAACTATTACCCTTTTCTCTGATTCCCTGATATATCACTGCCCTCCTCTTTGATTCCCTGATATATCCACTACCCTCCTCTTTGATTCCCTGATATAACCACTCCCTTTTCTCTGATTCCCTGATATAACTATTACCCTTTTCTCTGATTCCCCGATATATCACTACCCTCCTCTTTGATTCCCTGATATATCACTACTCTCCTCTTTGATTCCCTGATATAACCACTCCCTTTTCTCTGATTCCCTGATACATAACTGCCCTCCTCTTTGATTCCCTGGTATATCACTACCCTCCTCTTTGATTCCCTGATATAACCACTCCCTTTTTTCTGATTCCCTGATATATAACTGCCCTCCTCTTTGATTCCCTGATATATCACTACCCTCCTCTTTGATTCCCTGATATAACCACTCCCTTTTCTCTGATTCCCTGATATATAACTGCCCTCCTCTTTGATTTCCTGATATATCACTACCCTCCTCTTTGATTCCCTGATATATCACTACCTCCTCTCTGATTCCCTGATATATCACGGCCCTCCTCTTTGATTCCCTGATATATCACTACCCTCCTCTTTGATTCCCTGATATAACCACTACCCTTTTCTCTGATACCCTGATATAACCACTACCCTTTTTTCTGATACCTTCATATTACCACTACCTGATGTTACCATGATTCCCTGATTTTTTCACTACCTAACTCCCTGATCTCCTAAAACATTTTTTTAGGAAGCTCAAGCCAGATAGTTCCTATACATGTACAGAACATGGTTTTGTGTTAGGTTGTTCAACCCATGTACTTTATTTGGTAAAGCACCTGTCTACTGTCAAGTAGCTGAAGCCAGATTGTGCAGGTGGTTGAACACCTATTTGCCTCTAGTTTTCAGAGAGCTCTAGCAACATACAAGTTGTTTGATTCATAAAGTGCATGATAACAGTGTCAGTAGCTCAAGCCAGATATTTCAGTTGGTAGAACACCTGTATTAAATAAAGCATTTAGTTAGCTAAAATCAGATATTTCAGTTGATACAGTATCTGCCTGTTTTTCTGGTAGCCTAAGCCAATTACAGTTGTTCGGAATGTGAGATACATGTAGTTAAGTACTTTATGAATTCTGGTTTAGATCTGCTGAAATATTTTTCCTTTTTGTGTTTTTTATGCAGTGTCATTATTGTAAAAACTTCTGACCTGAACCTCATCAGTTATTTTACTTGCAGAACCTTTTTTCATTTTAGCAATTAAGATTCATAATGACATTTTGGGAACTATGCTATAAATCTAGAAGACTTTGCCTCCAATCTGTCATTTTCCCAAGAGAAATCAAAGTCAGCAGAAAATATCATACTGGTAAACTCATGTAGAATGACATCCCCTGAATATCTTTATGATGGCCTTGCTTTTCTACTTAGCTTGCCTTCAATTATTAACAAAGGAAGAATACACTTTGTTGCATAAATAGCATAAAACTTTAATTCTCAAGTTGCAAAGCACTGCCATTTGAAATTGATCTTTTCTTCAGTGAAAGAGCTTGTATTCATTGATTCTACTTCTTGGGCTACTATTAAGACAAATGAATGGTCACCTGAGAAACTTGGAGCAGAATTTTACTTATCTTGACAAAAGCCTAAAAAGTTACCATGGGTACAAGGGATATACATTATTCAAAATAATAATATTAAATTTATCACAGTTTTGGTAAAACATTCTTATCAGCTCAAGACTTTTGCAATTTGCAACCTTCAAATCTGCAATACCAAAGATATGGAATTTGATTCCATATTTTCCCCATTTTGAATTATGAATTTGCTGAATTGGATGTGTATTTTCTTACTTCATTAAATTTTAGTACTGTGTGAAAATATTATTGGCAGTTCATTGTAAGCATGGAATCAGAACATGTTTGCTATAAATATGTTTCACTGTGATACAATATACTTCAATTTAATATACTGGTATATAATACATCCTTAGTGATTATTTTGTAGTACATGCCCAGTTGAATATATTTTTAAAGGTTACAGATTACACTTCTATCAATATGTTTTGAAATAAAAGTAAAGAAATATAAAAATATTATGGTGATGAATCAATGACACCTATTTTTGTATTAAAGTTCTTGTCTACAGTTTATCTGCCCTGGCTCCAACCCAATGTAAGTAAAAAGTCTATAAAAAAAATTGCTGAATATCTACTTATCAGAGTGTTTTCATACTCATTTTAGCAGTGTATCTTATTTTAATGTATTATGTGACCATATATAAATTTATGTATCATTACTGTGGTGATTATATTTAAATATTATACTTTCATGTAAATTAGTTGAATCTGATTCGTCGAGAAACATTTGTTAAAAAACACTATTACCCGCTGAATAATGAAGCCACGCCCACCAGCGTAGCAACAGTTAACATTGCTTGACGACGGGTATTATTCCAAAAAATATTGACTGCGCAGAATTCATGCGCGCAAGGTTCACTCTAATATGTATTTGTATAAAACATTCAGTATAATATAATAAATACTGCATGTAGTTGAGTGTAACATTAAAAATTTTCACCCCTCGAAAACCATTGTCAACCTCGGCTGCGCCTCGGTTGACAGTGGTTTTCTTGGGGTGAAAATTTTCAATGTTACACTCAACTACATGCAGTATTTATATAATACACTGCTGATATTTAATATTTGAAGAATGTACCTGTCAGTACTTTGCAATAAAATTTATTATCTTTAAGTTTTACTATTGATATTAGGACTTTGCAATAATATCGATATTCCAGTATATTGCATGTTTTCTCAGTACTGATATACCAACAAAATGTGTTTGGATTTGCAATTTCTTGTGTAAAATATGAAATTTAAGATGTCAGAAACTTTTTAATTGTGCCAAATAGTAAGGTTGCTGTTGTATTGTTGCATTTTGTTGCAAAACTGTAGTGAAATCAACAAGAACTTTCTTGTTACAACGTATTTATAATAGTAATACATGTATACACTCTGTTTAAAAATGGAGCTTAAATAAAATAAGAAAAGGTCATTTTAACTGAAATTGAAAATACTGCAATACATATCGCAATACAGTTAAAAATTTTGCAGTATATCGCAATAGGAAATTTCCAGCAGCTACCCAGCCCTAATTAATATGAAATTAAATTAATATTTTATCAAACACAATTCTAAATTGTAGATTATATATTTGGGAATTAAACACATATTTTATTTTATTTCTTTATGTCTATAAAAAGATTATATGACCTTTTTCCCCTCCAAAAATGCCTACTAGAGGATAAAACAATTTCACAACAACAGCTTTTCAAGGTATGGCTCTACAATCTCACAAATTATGATCGCATTGATTTCCCCACAAAAAAGATAAAGTAGGCCTTAGTTATTTAATGGCTATTGAGCAGAAAGTGGAGAAATCACTTTATCAAAACTTATCTCAGACAGGAATACCAACAGAAGATTCTGTTATTTAAACACTGACAAATATATGTCTTTCTAATGAGATCAAACTCGGCTTGTCTGCAGATCAAAACAAAAAAAAAGCTATTGACTCAGTGAAGAAATAGGAATTTACACAATCTATGCCTACATTTTAACAAGTAACAAGTATGTATCACTGGCAGTTAAAAAGTAATTAAACATATATATATCCTACCTACAAAATAAACACAGTTTTTAAAAAATAAAATCCTAGCATTCTCTCTCTCTGTTGCTCTCTCTCTCTCTAACTTCAAATAACACTACTACAACTGCAATACTTCCACAAATTTTATATACATTAAAACTCAGCTATAGCAAAGTCTTGGGGACCTGCTAATTCACTCTGCTATTCTGTAATTTGTTATATCCATATAACAAATTTGTTAATAATGAAATCGCAAAATATATTTTTTTCTTCAAGAATGACTATCAAATGTATTTGGGTAAGTATCAAATACTTATTAAGTTACTTTGGAGTTAAAAATATTTGGATAAATTGAATTCTCACAAAAAATATCAGATCAATATTTTGAAGTTGAGATCTTTGAAAATTCAATATAAAAGATGTAAATTTTGCTTTCTTAAACCTCTAGGGGACATAGAATCAATTCGTTATATCTGTAAATTCGCTATATCTGAGTTCATTACATCTGTAAAATTTTAAAAGGAATTGTTAAGAATTTTGCAGGGGATTTAAAAAAAAATTCACTATATCCATAAAGCTGTGTTTTCATGTTCGTACTTAATGAGTTTTTACTGTACATGTACTGCTCAGCTAGATGAAATACATTTTAGACTAGTACAAAACAGCTAGCTAGACCTTAAAAAATGCTGAATGAAAAACCATCTATGAGCATCAAAATGTCAGTGATTCCAAAGTTCAGACAACATATGATACTAAGAAGGCATTAAGGAAGTAAAACCTAAATTTGCTGCATTGTACTTGCCTTGATTATCCAAGAACAAGAGTTAACAATATAAGGATGAATAATCTTTTTAAAAAATATAATTAGGTAATGAAATTTCTTAAACAAAGGAGCTTAATAATTTGTTCTAAAGAACCTAAAATTACACAAACATTCATCAAGATATGCCAAACTAACCCCCCCCCCCCCCCCCCAAATCCTCATGATGACCTATGCAATATCAGTCTTGCATCCATCCCTCCCTCTGTAATTTTGCCTGCCTTGAGAAGAATCTGAAAAAATATAATTCAATTTTTTGTGTTTAATGTACTGAGCTGACAAATCAAGTCTAATGGAGCTACATGTACAGTCTCCTCAGATACCTATATTTCTTATTTTCTGAAAGTGACTATTTACAGTTGAAATATTGTAAAATTGCCTTTCTGTTGCACTGGACTCAAATTTCTGACTGCTGTATAGGGGAAAAACTGATATAACATTCATTTGATGTGTGTGAATATAGAGGATATTCAATGTTTTGTAGTTGGACATTGAATTTATATATTGAGTGGGATAGGATTTTTTTAATATTTTCACAAGTGCAAATCTCCAGTGAAAATATTTTTTTTTTTTAAAATCCTGTCTCACAAATGAAATAAATTCCATATTCAATAACAAAGCATTGAATTTAATGGTATTTTTTGTTTGTTTTTGTTTTTTTTAAATACATTTTCTTGGATTTTTTTTCCCCCTTTGCCACTGTCTTTTCATAACATTTTGTCATAGACTGTGATGTCATAGTTGAGTGGTGTGAGATTCATAGCTAAGTGATTATGAGATTGAAAAGTGTAAATATGGATTTTCACAATTTAGAGAAACAAATTGGCAGTTCTAGTCTTATTTATCCTTGCTATCTTTATAACAGGCTAGGGAGTATTTTTTATAACAGTCCTCATGAAGGGAAGGAAAATCTTGAGTTTTGCTGCACTTCGATATTTTTTTTCACAGTGTGTAAGCCTTTGGCAATGAGCTACCCAAATAGCTATATTTGCTCCTCAATTTTTTTTTTTTTTTTTTTTTTTTTTTTTTTTTGAGAAGCAAGCAATTCTAGGTTCCTGGAGAGATAATGTCAAACAAAGCAAATCATGTAGTAAAATCCCAAAATTTAATTCAAATTACTGTCTGGTCACTCAAAATTCAGTTTTGAATTGATTGCTAGAGAATGGAACTCCAGTCATTGGATTCTCTTGATTATTGAAAATATACCCTAGTTAATAAAGGAGTATCTTGCAATGGCTGTGCTTTACTGTGGAGGCAGTATTATTGCTATAACTTTATTACTGTATAGGGGAAAAATAACACATATTTTAATATTTTTGTTATATTTATCCTCTCAATTGAGTCATAAATTCAAGCCTGGCAATATTTTTTTAAGAAGTCATTACATGCTTTTTGAAGACAAATCTATCTAAAATTTGTATGAATTCAAACACCCACAATTAGCCACCAAAGGAAAAGTAATTGAAATTATATACACCCAGGAATTAAAACCTCTTTACACTGTTGCATATAACTGCATTAAATACAGATTTTTTCTGCTATAGCTCATCTTTGACTTGTACCATTTTATATATTTCATTGAAATATTCCTTCACAGTTTTAAATGACTTTTATATTTTGACTTTTGAGTGGATATTTTGCTATCCTCTAGATAGGTTGAAAATTTATCAAAAAGATGGAATAGTGAGTTAGGTGATTTTCCATTGCAGATTTGATATATGCACTGACTAAAGTTAGGAGGCACTCGTATTCAGACTTTTGGGATGGCACTAAATGTAGCCTTATTTATCTCAATTTTCTCCTATTGCATACTTGTCTCTCCTTGGATGAAACTCGGCATTACCTAGGCCTATCACCAGATAATATAAAGGTAAATGTTAGGAACATTTTTAACTGCTGTCAAGTTTAAATCTCATAACCTCTTGCTGTACAAACAAAAGAAAATGTTCCCAGTTACTCTGTGAAACCTTGTCTAACCTTTAACACAAAGACTATTTAAAATCACAGCAAAGAATCGAAACTCAAAGAAAACAGAAAACTGGAAAGTCAACAGCAGAAGTAACAAGGAAACATAATATGTATAAAATTTCTCCTGAGAAAATAGATCACATGTAGATATACATCTACTATTTACAGAAAAGAAATTAATATGCTTTGCATTATTATATTAAAAGGCTTCTGCCCAGACAATATTTTTTTTCTATACAGTCACTGACCTCTGCATTTATCCATTTGGACAATTAAACATATCTAAGAGTCATAAATTCTAGGTAAAAACTTTTAACATATATAAATTCCTAATTCATCATTAAACCAGTTAAAAGAGTTTTATTTCTGATTATGAGAGAAACCAAGTCCAAGTGCATTTCATAAAATTACAAATTCTTATTTGATGTGTGCATCATATCTGATGTCCTGTTCAAAGTTCATGGTGAAGTTAAAAATCTAGTGAAGAGTTGGTAAAGTTTAACTTTTTTAATTCAATTAAGTGATTTGTAGAGGATTAGAAATTAATTTGCTTAATCCTGCTATAATAAGACAATGACTCCCCAAGTGTCTAACTCAAACACTGTCAAAAATATTTTCATTTAATTTCATAACATATTAAAAATTAAAAGAAAACTGATAACAAAGTTTTTGCATTGAGAAATATTTTTCTTCCAACAGCTTATAAGTGAGGCAAGGGAGATAACTCAATGAGTAGTACGATAAACCAACCAATGATAATGAGGATTTTGATGTGTGAATCACTTGAGCAGTTGATTACCTGTAATAGTCAATTATCACAACTATTTCTATCTATCTGACAAAAATGAAAAAAAAAAATCTCTACAAATTTACCAATATGCATAAAGCAAATATAAAAAAAAAAAATAACTAAAAATAGAATGTCTACCCAACATCCCCCCATCCAGCGTAAGATGCTGATATTACTGCTAGTGGGATACTTTCATCAGTTAAAATACCTATTGGTTAAGGCATCACTAACTACCTTACCTCACCTGGTCTTAGCCACCAACAGCAAATAATAACAGCCCCAGTTTACCTTACAGTGTGAACTGGGGATCAATAGAGTCACGCTTTTCAAATAGTCTTTAAGGAACATCGCTTGATATTAAAATCATTCGGTGCGATTTCTCTGGATCCCAGCCAAAAAGTGGGGACATTGTGTTTCAGGATCAGTATTGATTTTTGTTTAAAGTTTAATATTTAACTTATCACTTAAACACACTGCTACAAAGTCTATGTAATTGAAGTACATCTTGTGGCAATCAATACAAAAGAAAACTGTATATTAGCATTACACCCGGTAGCTTAATGTGCACTGTCCGCCAACTGATTTTTTTTTTTACCTGTAAGAACCTCAATTCAATAGAAACACCTGAGGCCGAAACCTCGGCTAGCATATTTACTTTTGTTTGCAACAAATTTATCGGGCCTGGGAGGTTGTCAAACAATGGTCGATCTTTGTCATATTATACTTGATAATGCCTCAACACATTGATGGAAACTTCAAACCCCTGATCATGTGTGCAAAAATGTTATCTCCCTCTAAGTCTGGTTAGGAATGATGTTATCTAATAATTCACTTTAAATAAATAGAATACAAAGGAAAACAATGAGAACAATCCATTGATAAATTCTTAATTAAACTAATTAAATGGAATTGAAAATATAGAAGAAATGTGACTTATCAGCTCATTGAAGAGATTTAATTTTCATATAATTTCTGGGATTAAAAAATGAACTTTGATCAGTGTACTTAAATCAGATTCAATAAGTCATTACAACAAATTGCAGGCTCTGGGTCCAACATTTCTAATACTCGATCAGTCTAATAATAGCTAATCCAATACTGCCTGTTAAACCAGCAAGAACTGTCCAATAATCAGTTCTAGTCTGATCATCAGTATTTTACTAATTATGGAATAAACACTTGAGATTCTTCTCTATATCATTCAATAAACTACAAATGGCAAGTAAATTGTATCATAAATTTTTACAGAATTCACCAAAATTCAAATTGATCACTGTATGACAATTAAGGAAATCAGAAGTATTATGGTGGTTTACAAACAAAAACTACTTGCTTCTACTTCTATTCAAATTACTTCTAGACTGGTTATTTCTTGGAGATTTAAATGGAAAGAATAGCTTGTTATTAGTTGTTTAAAGACCTAACAGATATGTTGACATTGATATTATCACTATTTTGCAACGATTTAATCATATTTCAAGAGAGATTGCTTTGAGTATGTTGTTACTAATTAAACAAACACATACAGACACAGTTATTTAAAGTTCAAGTTACATTGGTCCACAATGCTTACCTGAGTCTTATAAAATACAGAATATATATTGTGCCCCACATAGAAGCAGAGTTCTTGCATTTGAATTTAATGTCATTGGGATGACTACAAATTTGTCAATTTGAATCCCATTCCTCGAAACTTGTCTCTCAAAATTTTGTGTATGTATATATTTGCACATCTTCTTGTAAAACTTTGATTTCCTACCATTACTTGTAAAATATTTCCTTAATTCAGCTCACCTGGTATTTGGTTCAGCAGCATAAGGAATATCCATTCTCTCAAAGGGCTTGGTATATAGGACCTCTGGTGATTTCTGAGTCCTACAAAATTAATATTTTTACTTGAAAAGCAGGTAAACTAATTCTTATTTACATTTATCTTTTAAAAGATGAAATTCCATCAATACTCCAGTGATAATTTATCATAGACCCCCCCCCCCCTTTCTTTCTATGCATTTAAAATCAATCACTATCCCTACAAAATGATCTGCTGAGTCATCTCAGTTGATGGATTTCTGGTATTTAATATCTTAAAAACAAAAGTCTAAGATTATTATTCCTAAAACATTATTTTATATACTGAGTATTCACTTTCTATACTTATAATGGGTATCATTTAGGATCAAATATGGCAATTGTCATTTTGAAGCACTTTAAAAAAAATCTTCCAAATAAGAATAATTCCTTTTAAAAATTTGAGAAAATAGAAAATAATGAAGATAGCAAAATGTTTAAAAATACATGTACTTAAGGAAAAGTATAAATGACTAAAAAAAATCATTTAATGTTTCAATATACAGTTGAACTTCGGTATCTCGAACACAGATATCTCGAATACCATGGATACATCTAAGTGAATGGGAAATCCTAACCACATATTTTTTAAGTATTTTACCCTCGATATCTCGAACCCTTGGATATCTTGAAGTTTTCTCTCGGTCCCATCGAGTTCAAGATGAGGTTTGACTGTAATTTACTTACAAGAGTTAGTAATTACAGATTTATTCCTTTGTTGCAAACAAATAAAGATGACCACTGCAACTTAATTAAGGAACTTGTGCTTACATAAAATTATCCCCTGCACTATAAGAATAGATAGGTAATATGCATGTCATTCAGACATTCAGAAATAGGAGGATTAGGGGTTGATTTTGCATGAAATACTAGACACATGTTAATACATAAATGTTTCAGAGAAAAGAGTTCCATTGATCAAATGGATGCAACTATCAGTGAAGTGACAACTTTTACATAGTAACTATTAAAATTCCAGGGCTACAACAGAAGCTTAACAAAGTTCCTGTTGATACTGATTTGTGAAGCTAGCTGAATTGAAAATATTAAGTCAATTTTATTATTAAATCTGTCTTATAGAATTAAATAAATTTCAAAGGGACTCCTAGAATTTTCATCCAATAAAGCAATAGGAGAAATTTCAGGAGTTATCTCTCATTGTACATTCTTAATGTTTAAAACATGATTGTGACGTAAACCTTTTGTTTGCGTTGTCCATTCTATAGCTTAATGTTGAGCTAACTCCTCAAACAATCCATTAATTCACCTGTAAGTGTCCATTCTTTTTGAAAAACTGTCCATTCTTTTAAGAATGGACAGTTTTTTCAAAAAGAATGGACAGTTAAAACAAACAGAATGGAGAGTTACAGGTAAACTTTGGAATGTGTTCAAGAGGAAAACAAAAACAAATACATTAAATACTTTTTAATTTACATAACAAAAAGAACGCGGAGATTAAAGTTAATCCAGAACACAATGTCTGCACAGCATCCACTCGATTTTACTCTTTTATATCCATGAATGATGCACATTATTTCATACCCAAAACTTGATTTTCACAAAACTTGAATTCAAATGACACAAATTCACATTTGATTTAAATTTCGGAAAAATCATTCCCTCGAGGAGAATTCATTTTCAGATAGAAATACGTCTAATATTAAATCCTCCTACCAGAAAACAGTTTGCAACATGAACACTACACTTCCGCAGTTAATATTTCGGTAGAAAATAAATAAAAATGAAACATTTCCAGATTTCATTTGAAAAACATTTCAGGTAGAAGATTAGCTCCTGGCTAATCCAACTCAGAACATAATTTGCATCTCACCAGTACACTGCTGCAGTTAATATATCCTCAAAAATAGAATTCAATTAAAACATTTCCAGGTTTGATTTGAATTTGATCATCTGTATATGTCGTCGAAGTTCATTTTTGGGTCAAAATTTGGCTAATATTTCTTTTACTTTTCTGTTTCCAGATCCAAATATCTCTAATTTTGTGCATATTTTGGTTTATAAGATTTTGATTCTGTCATAAACTCTCTCCATCACAGAAAAACATGTATGCCTTTACAACGCAAACTGTAAACTGATTCTGAAGCATCACATACTTGTATAAGTACTAGTATCCCACAAAATCCACCTGTAACTGTCCATTCTTAAGACAAAGACCTTTTGTTATTTGCATCTGGAAAATTCAACAAATTGCTCTGCATCCCTAGCTTACCTGTGACTGTCCATTCCGTAAACAATGAACTTGTCCTTGTATGTGTGCTACCTGTCATTTTGTACATTTTTTATTTAATTTTCAGAACAAAGGAAATCATGTTTTAAGTAGGAGAAAGGCCTCAAACTGTCCATTCTGTGAGAGAAAGAACTAATCTCGGGCCTACGGCCCTTGATTAGTTCTTTCTCTCACAGAATGGACAGTTTGAGGCCTTTCTCCTTTACATGAAACATTATCAAATATTGAAAAAAAAAATTATTATATTGGAAAACAGAAGACTGTGAACATACAAATAAACTGGGTTATCCGTATATGTCAGATGAATTATTGTACACTAGCTCATAAAAACAGTATTCAAAATTTGTCCATCTGTCTTAATTAGCATAACAACTGTGCATGCACAAGTTAACCAAGTCTGATGTAAAAAAAAAATTAAAAACTTCAAAAAACAAACAAACAAAACAAATAAATAAAATTTGAATTTATTTGTATAAATCATCAGATTTACTCACCTGAAAATAAAACCATTTCAAAGAGATGAGGCCCCGGATGAAATAAAGCTACTGACATCAACTATATCTCCAGCAAAGACCATTAATGACACTGAACAGGCATGAAATGTGGAATTCCTGGGCAGCCAGGACTCAGTCTCCATCTCCCATCAGGCCATCTTTAGTAGAGCTCCTAAACAAAAGAATAAGGAAGAAATGTATAAGATGATGAAAAGGAAAAAGACATCAACAAACCATTCAACAACAACTTTTGTTGACATTAAAATCAATACTGACAAAAAGAATATACTTGCCCATTTTCTACAAAATGAAATCTGCAAGACAGGTGTAAATGCTACTTGGAATGAATAGGAGTGGATTGATGGTCATTCATATAGCACCACATTTTAAGACCATAAGCTGAGCAATTTCAGCACCTGGCCTCATGCTTATTTCAATATATAACAACAGGTGATCATGTCCAATTGGCAGCAAACTGTAGGAATCTATATTTCACAAATAAAGCAGAGTGCAACCATACTCAATTACAGCCAATTAACAGAATACAAGGAAATGTTCCATCCCGAATTATGACCATAATCCTAGGTAGTCAAAAAATGTTACCAATCCTGAAAACCGGCATTCAGCAGATCGAATTACAATCCTGCAAATTTTAATAAATATCACTTTTGCAAAAGAAATATGGAAAATAAAGAGTGGATGTTGATTGATGCGAATGCTATAGGTCTCAGCATAGAAATGGATGGTATAAAATACTTCAAATGTTAAATTCCCCACCACTGTGTTTGTGTCACAGTACAGATGTATTAATATCATACAAAGGACAACTAGCATGAAACTAAAACACCAAAATGATCAACTTTACCATAAAGGAGTAAGAGTTAACAACAGTATAATATCTACATCCACTGAAGATTTTCTTATGAAAACCACTTTGTTCATCTATCAGTAAATGCTGGTAAACTAGTTAGAACTGGATTTTCAAGCCACCTGCATTTATTTCTTGTGCAGTACTGTGCGTTACAATAGGTGACACATACAATGACGTACATATCAATAATATAATATTTAACATATTTAAACCAACTTTATATGATTATTTATACAGACATAAATATATAAGAAAAACAGAAAAGAAATTATTGATCATCATTTATTTAACTAAAAAGCTTCTGGATCAAAAGATCATAATATCTTAAAAGTTTATGAATAAAAATGTATGCATTACTGCAATGTACAAATATCACTCCACGTTTCGTATAGCTCTGTAACATTCATTTGATTAATGAAAAATGGAGCCAGTTTAACTCTTGGACCTTGGATCAAGCACATAAAAAAAACTGAACATATACATTTTCAGCATAGAAAGATCACTAATGTATGTGTAATACAAGTCTGCCAACAATACATTGTCAGTGAATCAAAACAAAAATCAGGGTTACATACAAGCAAGAATAATATAACGCATCTCCAGTTAAAATTAAAGTGATGTGTCACAGGCAACTAGACAAGCATGATTCACTTGTGTACAACACAACAACAACAACCCCCCACCACCGAAAAAAAAAAAAAATAAATGAAGGAAACAGCCTTTGATTCAGGTTAACTAACAACCAAAAATGAAGAGAGATTTACCTGAAATTGGACACCGTTATTAACTACTTAGAGCTAGTCTATCTTATCATAAAGAAGTATACACCATTGTATTTCAAACTAAATACTACTGATATTTTGTTATTTTTATTCATACAGCATGTTCCTAATATATATGTAAAATAATACTGTAAAATCACATATTTTTGTGGGGTCAAATTTTCGAGGTTTGAGGAAAAAGTATGGGTTGGTGGGGATTTGATTTTGTTGATGAAGGATTGTTGCGTAGTTATGTTTATGACATTTTAATTTCATACCTTGAAAACAACGAAAATTAACCCCTGCACAAAAATTAGTGATTTTGCAGTATTCAAAGAGATCATATGAATTTGAATACTGGAAATAAATAAAAATAGATTTTTTTATATCCCAATTCCTTGGGCACAATTTTAACTTTGGCCTACTATAACAATGTACAGTCAAACCTCATTATCTCAAACTCAATGGGACCCAGAGAAAACTTCAAGATATCAGAGTATTCAACATATCAAGGGCTGAATACTGAAAGAATAGGTGGTTGTGACTTCCTATTCACTTCGACATATCCATGGTATTCGAGATATCAGTGTTCGAGATACCAAAGTTCAAGTGTACAAGATTTGATCACCAGCTCTATTTGACAATTAAAACACAGTTATGATTTATGAAATCAAAGAAATTCAACAGGATACTAACAAACTTCTGAAGTTTCCTTACAAGATACAAGATATCTGATAAATTAAAACTTTTTTCTAGCAGACAAAAATAAACAGAATTGCATGGACAGGTAATCTTCAGACTTAATTTGACAATGTAACCTTTAATCCTTCTAGTGTGCAGAAATAAAAAAAGAAACAAACAAGTGAGTTTACATACTTATACCACTGAATCAATATACATGTATATATGTACATTAAAATAAAAATTTCATTAAAATCATGAGCATTTTGAGTCAGTCCACCATTTAGCACCACATACAACTCATTTCGTCTTTTTTTTCCCCAATGTACAACAATAAATTTCTTATATTATCTAATACTTTTAACAGTGGAGGGAGCTACTGTTGTGGTCTTGGAGTCCCCTTTGAAGACACCTGTTCCATTAAGGATGAGGATAACGATGACTACGATGATGACAAACACCACTACACCAATGATTATCATCATCTTAGTGTTCTTCCACCAGTATTTTTTTCGAATTTTTCTCGCAGTCTTCTGAAATTGTGACGACTGCAAAAGAAATATGGAAAGATGTACACTCCAGTAAAATTACTCTGTTTTTAACATAATAAAAAAAACAAACACTTATTAATATGAGAGTCACAATGTTCAATGTTCTCAAAGACAAATGGAATGTTGAAACCCTTTTTGGCCTCATGACTGCATTCTGATTGGACATATTAAAGTCTTGTTCTTGATGAAGTATAGATATTTTATATGCTAGCAAAAATTATTGTATCAATGATAAATTTTGAATCCATTGGTTGGAAGTAAGTATGCACTTATTACACCACAACAAGAAAGCAAACCTACCGTACTACATTTGTATGTATAACACCTTCTGATTGGCAACTGAGCTCTTGTTAAAAACACTATATAAAAATTCTTAATGTACAGAGATTTACCACAGACAACTTCCACAAATAATCCTTTGGCCTTCAACTCAAGGTTTTAGATACAGACTGATGGTATATTAAGCCACAAAAAAGAAACACTGTGATCTTTTCTCCTATATACTGCAATATGACAGTTCACTTATAAAGTAAGCTTCTAAAAAAAGTAAAAATGTAGTTGCAGAAAAACAAATAAATGGTAGAACTTCTAGTCATTCTACAATAAAATGTTTTAAAGTTGTGTCAATCACCAACTTACACTGGCTTCTAACTCCTCTGTTTTGTCAATTAAATTCTCTAGTCTTTCTCCCCTGTCTAATACCCTTTCAATGTTTTGTGTCATGACATTTTTGACATCATCCACCTGAGATCGTAAGGCACTCACATGATCTCCTGCACCAGGTTTAGAAAATTTCTCCTGTTGACAAAAGGTTGTAGGCATTAAAAAGTTCATAAAATGCAAGCAATTGAGCCAAAAACCTGTTAAACTTGTATGACAAGGTTAACTGAATTTGGACCAAAACTGTAGGAAGAGTAGCATTTTGAAAATTTGTTTACAGACAGACAGATGGACATTTTATCAGTGCAATAGCTCTTCTTTTCTTTGATAGAGCTCAAAATTGGAATTGTGTAGACAGAATGGACAAAATGATTACTATAGAGCACTCATAAATTCTTCTTGCACTGTATTGCATATAAAAGTAAATGAAGTGTTGTCTTAAGCAGAAGGACAAATTCACATAGGAGCATGTTTTTCTACACTCAATTTCAAATTTTTATTTTTTAGCTCAGATATGCCATATATAGCTTTGAGCTTTTTTTTTTTTTGACATTTGGGTATTACAACATAAGACTATTGCTTGTAATAGCTCAACAACACATCTTAAATGGGACTAAGACAAAGATATGTTTTTCAGCTGGCAATGTGTTACACGCTGATAAAAGACTTTTGTAATGATAGGGATTTGTCAATGTTTTGAGCTGCAAAATAACAGTCCTTCATATTCAGGTAAATGGAGCCCAAACTCAATCACTTAAAAATGCCTGTGGAAAAGTCCAAATAAAGATTTTTTTTTTTAAATTGTGGGTTATTTATACTTTTCACATTTAATGTGAAAAGTATAAATAACCCACAATTTAAAAAAAAATCTTTATTTGGACTTTTCCACAGGCATTTTTAGCACAAATGAAAACAGTTGATTCAACCCAAAATATGACACAGTGCATATACTGTTGCTTATAATTGAATAGTTTGGTACAATCATTTTACATGGACTCCAGACTCATTATGAATAAGAAAAGTGACTGAAGTCTCCATTGTTTCATTCAGTCCAGTGATATACACACTAATATAATTGGAATATTAGATCAAGGAAATTCAAACCACACACAGTTTTCAAGATATAATTCTGTATACCTAACTGCTAGATACTTACCATATCCTGAGCCATAATGAATCCAAAATCACTGTCCAGTTCATGGTGGCCAGCACTCACTGCCCTCATAGAGAGTGTACCACTCTGGAACTTCCTCTTAATCTACAATTTAACACATCAATGAGATACTTTACAAAGTTTCTTCATCATTAGGGTATACTATATATTATGTATAATTTTCACAGTTGTCCAATTTTTGCAACATTTTGTGGTTTTATGATGAAATGACAGTCATCTGAACTCCCAACAGGATGTAATTGAGCAAGGGAGAATGTTCTATTACGGTAACCTAACTTCTCAAAATTTACAACAAAAGCATCATATAAAAAAATGACAAATAAAACAACAACAACAACAACAAAAAGAATAAAAGATGCATGTACTACAATGAATGATTTTATTTATAATTTGGGAAAATATGAGTTAGAAATAGAAATAAAAGATATTAAAAATACCTCTCGAGATACTGCAAGAAAAACCAAAACTAAATGTTGAATATAAATTAGAATATGTTAATCTTTACCTATTCTCACAGAATTTAAAAGCTAGCTATATAACCATGAGTATCATATATATATCTAGTATGGTATACTAGTTGAATTCTTCAAAATATTCTGAAATACTATATAGATTTACTTTATTTTCTTTATATATCCCCTGTATGAGTGTTGTTTATTTATATTGTTTCTAAGACATAAGTTTTCAAGTAAAAGTGAGATCTAATACAGTTTAACTTCATTACCTTGAACTTCAATATCTTGATATAGAATACTAGTACCTTGGATATATCGAAGTAAGTTGGAAGTACTAACAACTCTTTCTTTACTTATTTTAGCCTCACTATCTCAATTTTTTTCAGTTCCATCGAGTTTGAGATAAAAAGGTTCGACTGTTCATCTGAGAAATATTTCTTGAGACAGGTTTTTACAGATTTCATTGTTGCCAGTGAGCTGAGTTTTTGTTATGTTACAACAAAATAAATTATACTTGCCTGTACCAAAGGCTCTAGAAAGATCAAGTGGGCCTTGTTCTTGGAGAAGATAAAACATTGGACCTCTTTCATGGTCCTACCCTACCAGGACTATATCATTTGAATATACTTGAAATGTACACAATATAGACATGATTTCATAATACATGTGTCTGTTATGTATGTCTAAGCATTGTTTTTTTGAAAGATTTGTTTAAGATTTTCCCATTACAATTTTGACACCACCCACACACACACTGGTGCCCCTTCCTAAGCCCACTAGCCTTCTGAATAAATTTGAATCTATTGATTAATTGATTGTATGTTGTTTTACGTCTCGTTTGAAAATTTTTCACTCATATAGAGATGTCACAGACTCCATATACCAGTGAAGGGCTTCAAATTTAGACCTTTACTCTGCACTCAGGGCCACTGAGCAGAGAGGGTTCTTTATTGTACCAACGCCTACCGTGACACGGGCCTCGGTTTTTAAGGCTTCATCCGAAGGACCCACAACTTTCACTTCAAAGTGCCAAGTGCTTGGCGAAGGAACAGTTGTTACCTATTTTTAATTTGAATCTATATAATCAAAATATGGTAATACATACACATCAATATGACTACCTGTTGTGTATTTGACAAGAAGTCTTTTTTCCTCCCTATATATCTCTTTGTGAAACTTTGACTTCCTATTGTGGCCCTACCCTTGCTCTAATGGCCATAATGTTATAAAACTTGGAAATACACTACTTACTGCTTTCATATTATATATCCAGCTTAAATTCAACTTTTTCTTATAAAAATTTCCAAGGATTTTTTTTTAAAAAAACATTTTGCTCAATTTAAAACTTTGACACCTATTGTGGCCCTTACATGAACCCTTACCCCAAAACTTAAACCAACCTGTGCCCCCAACCTTTAAACCCAGGAGTCAGGATTAGACTTAATTGGACTATCAATATGACTAGCTGTGCCCATCTATTTATCTTAAGAGTTTTCTATATATATTCCACAGTAAAACTTTCACCCAAAACAGCTGACCCCACCATAGCCCCTGGGAAAAAAAAATAAATAAGAATGATAGGAATCTACACTGCATGGGGATGTTTATGTTTCAAGATGACCAATTGAAGTGATCCTTTTATTCCTTTAGAAAGTTTTTAAATTCCCCCTTGTATATTCCTGTCAAACTTTGACCTCATAGGCTCAAGGCCACAATTACAATGTATGATTTTAAAAAAAACTCTAGAAAAATGAATTGTCAAAAAATGGGACAGCATTATACTAGCTATAACATTTAAGATCATGCAGGCATATAAAAGGAGTTTCTTTTTCACTGCATATTACCTTAACTTAGCTTCAGTTGGTTGGAATTAATAACAAATGAAATAATCATTTAATAAAAACAGTTTTACCTCAGCAAGGTATGCATAAGGTTGTTTTTTCCCAAAATCAGGACTTGCAGCACACAAATAAATCATGCCATTTTCTATCACACAGTGGAATAAATAACTGAAAATTTATCAAACAACAAAACTAAACAAAAAACACAAGAAGAAAATGTTCAAGTCTGAAAATAACTAGCAAACTTCAAAGGCCCATAGGCCACAATGCTCATTTAACCATTAAATGTTACATTAAGCATGCAGTACACTCCTTGCAATCAAAGCTAGACTGACTAAATGCTACAAAGAATGCTTGAAATTTTCAGAATGCACAAAGTAGTGTTGCAGAATGCAAAATATGGTTTTCAGCAGTTATTAATAGAAAACATCCCTTTCAAGGCGATTCTTTTTTTTTTAGATACTGTAATACTCACTTCTGCCCCATCCACCCCAACCGAGGGTTGAACTTTTGACCTATGGAATCTGTCTCAAAAAAACTTGCTTTCGATGCCAATGGAATTCTTGAGGTGCCACCCAACACTACCGGTACATGGTCATTGACAATGGAAGTGAGATACAGCTATTTGGACATTAGTTTTATTAGAGGATCGTTACTGGTACACATTGCAATGAAATTTACTTTACTTTTAAACATATTTAATTTACAATATCTACGTAACATGTACTATTTTCTGCATTCTGATTAAAGAAAAATTTCAAGATTTTTTTGTAGCATTTAGTCAATCTTGGTTTGTTTATCCACGGATAAATGCATGAAGCGTATTGCATGTTTATTGTTTATTGTAAATTTAATGTGCTTTAAAAATAAATAAATTTCCAAAATAGCTGTATTTTGCTTCCATTTTTATTGACCATTTAGTGTAGGGTGGCACTGCAAGAATTCCATCAGCACTGAAAGCAAGTTTTTCGACTTGCCTAGATGGCTGTGCAAGTCTAGTGCACTGTTCCTGTACTGCTAGAAGACAAATCCCTTAGGTCCAGAGTTCAATCCCGGATTGGGCCAAAGTGAGTATCCTTATAAATGTGAATTTTTCTTTGCTTTCTATACATATATATATAAAACAGAATATCTTATCAATTCTTGAACAATCAGTCATGCAAGACTTATATTCAATTACAACAGTATTCTTTGAAAAATGTTCAGGCAAAGATGATATCCACAAAAATAATAAGCATCCCAAGGTAACATCCAAGAGTAATGGAAGGTCAAAGAACAAAAGACAGTAAAAAAAATATTAAGCTGCTGCTGCAAAATAACAGAAAAATCAATGTAGATTAAATTTTCAATTTCAAAGGCAATAGTTATTACTTTTCCTGAATTGAGTGGTACATAAAAATTCAATGCTGGTCAGAAAAGTTGTACGATCTGGCAAAACACAAAAAACAGATCATGCTCCTTTTGTTCAAGTTTTAGTCATATGGACAATAATTCTATGATTTAAGCAAGTTAAAATTTAAAACCCCTCAAATCAACAATGAATCTGTCCATCCAGTGCTTAGCTTGGTATTATTAGGTCAAAATGATTTTTGCAATCTTCAGAGTGCTCATTAATATGAAAGCTGAAAACAAGAGGCCCATGGGCCACAATGCTCACCTGAGTAACTATGGCCCTTCTTTTCTTCATCAGCAAATTCTTTTTCCTACATATTCTTATGTAAAAATTTGATACGGTAACTTTTTATGGCCCCACTCTACCCCAGGGGGTCATGATTTAAAGAAACTTCAATCTATACTACCTGAGGATGCTTTCATATAAATATGACTAATCATGAATTTGCTATTGTTGAGAAGAAGACTTTTAAAGATTTTTCCTAGTATGTATTCCTGTGTAAAACTTTGATTGCCCATTGTGGCCCCACCCTACTCCTGGGGGTCACTATCTGCAGATGCTTCCCTCTAAATATGACTATTATTGTCTTTGCTGTTCCTTGGGAAAATATTTTAAAACACTTCTCCTATATATTCCTATGTTAAACTTTGATCCCCCATTTCTGCCCCACCCTTTACCCAGGGGTCATGATTTTAACAATTTCAATCTACACTATCTGAGGATGATTCCCTATAAATATGACTGATCATGGCTTTGCTATTCGTGAGAAAAAGATTTTTAAAGATATTTCCTATATATTCTTATGTAAAACTATGGTCCCCTGTTGTGGCCCCATGCTACCCCTGGGGGTCATGAGTTGAACAATCTTGAAACTACACTACCTGAGGATACTTCTTTATCAATATCAATATCATTATGACTAAAAATGGCTTTGCTGTTCTTGAGAAGAAGATTTTTTAAAGATATTTCCTATATACTCCTATGTAAAACTTTGACGCCCTGTTGTGGCCCCGCCCTAGCACCTGGGGGTCATAATTTGTACAAATTTGGATCTACACTACCTGAGGATGCTTCTATATAAATATGAATAATAACGGCTTGCAGTGACGTTATATGTGTGTGATAGCCACGGGAGACTGAACATGTAGCTTCTCTATTTATCTCCCTAAAACATATTTGGTTCATTACAGTCATATAAGGCTCTCACAGTTCTCTCATAAAATCAATGCCCCAGGTTTTAAACATAACTTTTCTTTCAGTTACTTCAATTGCCTCAATCTAAATGAACTTGCTTACATTCAAAACACCATCAGCAACTGCTCTTAAGAGGTGATTGGCTTAGTGTGATGTGACTTAATAATGCAAAATTTAGTTCACTTTCAAAATAATTTCAGATTTTCAGAATATTTAAAGATTATTTAAGTATTATAATGTACCTTTCTGACTGGTATGTAGTTTTGCCATCATTCCTTGTGGGAATATTTGACAGTATTGACTGCACCACATTCTCAAATGACCCCGATCCTGTCTGGTGACTACACAAGATTGTTGTTCCCCTGGTAATGCAACTGTATGTTATAGCCATCTGAAATAAACATGAGACTAGACCTTTTATTACAAGACTAATTCACATAACTTTTTCCAATACTGTTCACCCTGTGTCCCCTTCTTACACTCTTAAAGGCCATTTCCTGAAAATTTCATTCATTACATATGGATATAACTGAATATTATTTTTTTGATACCTATAATGTACACATAGAATTGCTATTGTTCTCAAGACCCTAGATTTTACCTAAACTGTCTTTTTCAATGTATTTGTGTGGTTTACGTTGTATAAATTCCTAACCTCTTAAAGTATGTCACTTGTCAGCTTTAGAGAAAAGTTTGGTCTGAATATCAAAGTTGTCAATTAAAATTTAATTTTTATAACATACTCGAATTAAACAATACAAATTGTACAACATTGAATTAAAAAAAAAAACACTCACAAAATTGGCTAGAAAAAAGATTTATGAGGGACTATTTCTTGTGGCAGTCAGGCAGGTTCGAACACTGGTGGCCAGATACTGAAACTGTAGACGTACATTTTTCAGTGTGGGATTAATTTACGCTATGTAAGTGGTCACAATAATTTCTGCGGAAATTTGTCACAGCATACTTTATGTGCATTCAAGCATACAAAGGCAATCTAAGAAATCCACTTAACTTGCTACCCGCAGATTGAACAGAAATTGTGATTCCACAGAATTATGAACCCATGGAAAAAAGTATGTTAACAGTAGTTCAGTTAGTACAGCACCTGAGTAGTGATTCAGGGGGCCCAGCCACCCTGGTTTGAATTATGATCTGGTCTGTCATATTTTTCTCTCTCACTGGTTACAATATTAAAAAAAAATCAATATGTTGGAACATTTGCCTTGCATACTTTTACTTGCTGAAATTTTCATTTTGCTATGCACTAGGAATATTAAATGTATGTTTCAAATGATATTTCACACATTAACAAACCTTATAATAAAATGCACTTCCATATATTTTCTGTAAAAAGATTTAAACAATTATATGTGTCAGAATATTAAAACTATTGGAATTTACACTACAGTGAGATGCTTGCTTATGAAGTAATCTTATTGTAACCTAGTCTGTATTCTATTGATTTTCTTAATAAATCACAATACAAACATTTCTTCCTAAATATGGTGCAATCAAAACCTATGTATCACAAGATTTTTTATGAAGACGTCCACAGGGATTGAACTTATGATGGAAGTGCTGTTTCTGACCTTGAAAAGATTTGTTGAAGATAATTGCTATGTAAATTTTGCATTTATTATTAGTACAACACCCTACTCTTGGGTCCATGATGAATCAATCTATATTAATGCAGAGATTACGCATTTTACTTACTTCTTTAGAGGAGGCGTGTCGAGTCCCTCTTGCTGTCTTCTGTCCAGCTTCGACTTCCGGTGACTGCTATCTAGATAATTAAGACCAGGAAATTTCGGTTGATATTGTAACAATCATCGTTGTGGTTAAAAAACAATGTTTGACAAAATAATAATAATAAAATAAATAAATAAAATTAAATTCAAAAAGACAAACAAAAAAAAAAATAAACAAAATAAATAAATCAGTAAAAATAAAATAAATCAATAAAAAAAAATCAATAAATAAACAAAATACATAAAAAATAAATAAATACAGAAATAAATAAAATAAAATGATATAAAATAAAATAAATAAATAAATAAATAAATAAATAAATAAATAAATAAATAAAATAAAATAAATTAATTAATTAATCAAATAAATAAATTAAAATAATATTTAAAGCAAGAGTAATTTTTTTATAGTAAATCGAGGAAATCAGGGATTTGGCTCTTTGAAAAAGTGAAAATGAGACAAGATTTATCGCACCAAATGAGAACAAAACCTAACAAACTTGAGAAATCCCCCCATTCCTTGACACCCCTCCCCCGGAAAAAAATCACCAGACAATGTTGTTGAGGGGGTACAACCATTTTTCTTATACATAGCGTATATTAGGATTGATTTTTTATTGCAAGGTGTATACTTGCAAATTCATTGGGAGGGGAGGGCACAGTATTCAGTAGCTTGAACTTATTAGCACAGTGCCCCTTGGCCTTTGGGTAATAATGATGATGCAAAAATTATACCGTCGTCTACGGCAAAGTTGTGGTCTTCAAGTTAATCTACCTTCATTTGGCAGTTTTTTTTTACTTCTCTATATGCCATATAATCATAAATTTAAACAATAAAATGCTTTCTTTGGTTGTTAGTGCGGGAATTAATGTCGCAGTTGCTGCAGAAAAAAATACATAACCCGCGTAAGCGGGTTATGTGATTTTTTTTCTGCAATAGCTGCGACGTTAATTCCCGTACTAACAAACAAAGAAAGACATTTTATTGTTTGTATTTATATCTTTATAAAAAAAAACATTCAAAGTAAATTAAATATATTAAATATTGTATTATAGATGTGAATGTCATTGTATGCATAATTGATGGAACAGCCGTTTTAAAGAAATCTATGCAGGTGGCTTGCTTAGTGTTGTTTACTGACTGATTAACCGCAATGGTTTTTATAAGAAATAAAGGAAATAATATTCAGTGGATGTAAATATACATGTATCATCGTTTCTCCAGTACTATTATTTTAATTTGTCGTAATTTCATTGACACAATCATGTTTCTGTCCTTTTCATAAATGTTGTCTTTGAGTATTTTTATCCTGGCTTTTTTAGGGGGGTGGAGTGGGGGGATACTCTCTTCTTATTCCACCCCTGTATTTGCCCTTCTTCATATTGAACTGAACTAACTCTGAAGGAAAGAGCCTCTCTTGCATAACTTTTATTAATTTTTTTGAGTTACCCAATTTTGATACATCATTGAACTGGACACTCTAGAAACTTGCTTGATTTCACTTTCAATTTCTGAAGTACTGATAAGTATAATAAGTTTCTAAACAAAAATTGATTGGATTCATGATTCAATTCTTTGTAATTCAATTGACTGGAAAACAGATCATGGAGAAAGAAGATGGATGAACAAGGCGAGCGAAGTGCCTATAGTGCCACAAACACGGTGAAAAATTAAATCTCAATAATAACAAAATTTTCTTTCATATTTCATCTAACAGAATAATTTAAAGCATAATTTATGTAAAATCTCCAAAATTTGCAAAGATCTCACAAAAATTGAAATTATTTGCCTATGAAATAGCATACACACACTAAGAGGGCAAAAAGGATCATTTTCTCATACTATAACACAATTTTTCGATATGAGTGGGTCTTCGCTTCACTTTTTTGAAAGTTTATCCTCAAAGTTTGCATAAAAATATATATTTTTTGGTTTACAACATGGAGCAAAGACCCACTATACCTTAAAAATACACTTTTATGACACAACATTCGCATCTGAGAAATACTTGAAGTCCATTTAGTCAAGGGTCATATCACAAACATGATTTAAATGCCACTATTCATCAGGAGCTGTGAAGCGTACTGGTTAGGCTCTAAGGAAAATGATACTCAGAATTCAATCTGAAAAAAATCAGATCCTTTGATCCGCTCACGTAGGTCGCTAAACAAGGATCTGAAGAAACCCCATTCAGGGTCATCTCCTGGTGACCTTCAAAGATCTGATTTTTATCAGGTTGACACAGGATTTTTATTGCTAGGGTTCAAAGCCCATGAATACCACATTACTTTTAATAACAGAATAATTCTTGCCGAGAAAATCAGAAAAGCTCAATTTGGCCTTTGGCAAGGTCAATCCTTTCAACCCTAATCAGGTATCAAAATATCCCATTCTAGGATAAAAATATTGTAACATTCATCCAGTTGGTAAATGGGAGATTCTGGGAGTTGATCTATAGAGCAAAGTCAGGGTTTGACAACTTGGACCTGGGATGTCGTGTACTTAGAGATCTTTTTCTTTTCACAGACATCAAGAGGAGTAGTTCTTACCAGACTCACTGCAAAGAGGTCTATCTGCAAATAATAAACATGGAAGCATTTTATATTCTGATATCCCTTTCATCTTGAAACTGTAACTCCTTGTGGACAGAAAAAAGTTAGATACAGTATCCAGGTATCTCTGCAAGTTCTAATACTGAAAACTGTATAGAGTAACAAACTACTTGGAAATAATTTAATACTTGTTTTATTTAATTCTTGATAACATAAAAAAGTACAATAGCCACATACATGATTGAAATAGTTCTGTAATTCACGCAGGCAAAGACAAGCTTTTAGGCTTTGCAGGTTTGGGCCACATATGCTCACCTGAGTATCTCTTCCTGAAATCTGTAATGTGCCCTTCGAACCATTTTTGCTGTTTTAGAGAGTTCTGTCAAATGAAGGATTTTCCCAACTCTGGCAGAGATAAAGGTCTGTATGCACTTGAGTTCAGTATATAATGAAACACACATTGCTGCTGAATTCATAAAAATTTCTACTTTGGATAAGTGTAATCTGTGGTGGATTATATCCTAAAGAAACATATTTGCCCATCATGGATTCAAAAGCAAAACAAAAGAAAAAAAAAAGCTTTTAAAATCCAGACTAAACTGCATGCATGCATAGAAGTTCATATTTTGCCATGCCAAAATACACACTTGTCAGAAGAAATGAGCTCACCCATCTGTGTCAGAAGAAATGAGCTCACCCATCTGTATCTGTACATGACTACTATATGGCCATTAGAGCTAAAATAGAGCAGAATGTCTAAGGACATGTCACCTGAGTATCACTTGTTCTACACAAACTCCCCATGCTTATGCTATCCTTATGTCACATACAAGTCTCAGAAAAATGCTCACTGATTCATATAATGATGTATAGAGCTTGTCTGTCAGAAGCACAAGAATAAAGACAGAATTTTTACAAAATGTAATTTTTTTTTAACTTCACCCCATCTCAGTTGGAGGGGTGAAGGATAACAAACACAGAGACACAGAATTAAGAACTTTGGTCAGAGAAGTTCAAATGACCCTCTGACTTAGGTGAGCTAGATGATGGACAGTTATCTCAGCTTTTTCTATACACTTTTAGCCTTCTGTAAGTCACTATTCCATAAAAGCCATCCTCTTTCTCAATGCCTTCTTCACCTTTCTACTTGAGTCACCATCTTAGAAAGTTATCGCTTTAGTTTTCTCACAGCCTTCTTCACCACCCTTCTTCCAGATTCATTTGAGGCACTGAAACAAAATAATAATGACTGGCATTAGTTCTTCCTTCATGGTTTTGCAATAATTAAGTAGTTCTGTATCTGGGTAATTTGATGTCTTTTTAATGTTGCTGCCCTATCTTCTACTCACAAACACATATAAAGTACCATAAAGATGTTTTTGTAGTATGACTGATTAACTAGGGGGTGTCAACACTGTGGCTTGAACAAACAACCCTCGGATTTAAAATCCAATGCTCTACCGACTAAGCTTAAGGGTTAACCCACTAGCTAGTGCTAGTAAGAGTGTGCCTTCACTATTTACAACACATCGCACTTTTAACTCTGTTACAGAAGAAACTACAACTTGGAGAACTTTTACACTTCTTTGTTGACTATGATCAGTTTCAATAATATGAAGTATTTCAAAAATACTTTATAAATCATAGCAAATGACACTTGCCCTCTGATCCACTAAATATACCAAATAATGTGAGAATATTTGAAAGTTTATCAGAGCAAAGCCTAAATAAAAATTAGGTTCCCTTGGCAGCCAACCAATCTGATCTATAATGGTACACATTTTTTGCAAAGTTTATTCATTTTATTCATCAAGTTTAAAAGGGATAATTTTTTCAAGAAACTGCAATAAAATTATTTTGAACTAGGAAAATTTTTCAGTACAAGGAAGACACAACTTTTACTTATTAGGTTAGTTAATGACTTTCTATATTGGGTTGATCAATCTGATAGAGGCCAAGCCAAGCCATCTATGAGATTAATAAACCCAATATATTTCTGTAGACAGTAAGTAAGAAACCTAATAAGTGATTTATTTTCTGAAGATTTAAATGTAAGAGACATTATCACAAGGCAGGCCCATAAAATGGGGGGAGGTGGGCACAAAAAAACTAAACTGCTAAAATTCGGGAGGGGGAATGGGATAGGATCTTCCTCTAAATTTTTGGCATTTATTTTAATGCAATAACCTGGAAGACTTCCACCATACTGCAACAAAAAGTGGTGGTGGTGGTGGTGGTGGTGGTGGGGGGGGGGGGGGGGGTTGCAAGTGTGCAGCGTTTGAATAATGTAAAATCTACAGCAAAACACTATTCCGAGAAAAAAAAAGTGGGAGGTCGGGCCCCTCTGACCCCCTAGTACAACAAACTTTCAAAATTATTAATCACCTTTTACCATTGAGTAATCTTGAAAAATCTTTGAAGCATCTTGTTTACTTTTACCTGGTAATGCTTTGTTATTGTTTAATTTAAAAAAAAATTTTCTCTCTTGTTTGAACAAACCTTGATGATACCATCACTTGTGATTCAGACAAAACAAATCTGACCTCATTTCTTATAAAGGCCACTACTCTAATTTCAGAAAACATTATGGAAAGTGGTTTCTGCAATAAATGATTTTAGATATCCAAATGAATAAACCATATTACCAGACATTACTGCAACATTTCAATCCAAGGGAAAATAACATCAACTCTAAATATGTATCAAATCCCAAAACAAGTGATGCATGTAGGAGTCAGATAGATTATATCTATGTGACAAATATCAACTGTTCATTTGTAATAATTATTGAGAAAAATTTCAACAATAATAGCTCTTCCATACTGAAGTACAGGCAAGCTAATGACAATAAACTGAGAATTCTTAACTTTGAGTTTGACACATATACAGTTCTAAAATTAAAATCAGTGTTTACCCAATATTGAAGAAAGATGATCCAGCAGTAGGGGTATTAGATTGGCCAGCATTAAAACTTGTAGCAGCTGGTAGTGAGGGCTGAGGGGGGTTCTGTTGAGGTGCAGCACTGAAGCTAAATATTCCTTGAGGAGTTGGGTTCAGTCCTCCATTTAAAGATGGTTGATTTTCATTTGTGATGCTTGACTAAAAATAAATTCATACCTCACTTAGCTAACCAAGTACATTGCAGCAAATTGTAAGTTTTTACTGCATTTTTATGCATACATGTTTAAAATTTCAGCTTATTAGTTGAGATGTGCAATACATATGAAAAATGAAGTAGCCAAACTTGTCCAATATGTAGTATTCCTGAATCATGTTAATTGCTCTGACAGAAATAATACAATGCTCTACATTAAATTACAAAACTGTTACAAATTTTCTTTTACAGTTTTCTATGTGTACACAATTTAAAAAAAATAAATCTGTAGAACATTTTCCATCTTTATCCATCTACATAATTAGTGTATTAATTAGTAGATTAAGAAAGCTACGTCTTCGTGGTAGTCATGAATTAGCGCATCCTTCTCTGCGCCACAGCCACTTAATTATAAAGCCCGCATTTTTAAGTTCACATACAGTACTCTGACTTGAGGCATGAACTCAGGTCCCTGCATAAAGAGCTGGGTACGTTAAGACGGATTTACCGCCCTGTAAAATCGGCAAAAATTAAACGCACATTTACATTCTATCAATTGTATCATTTAACTGTTAAGGTTTCCCTGTGTGTGAAATAGGAATAAATTTTTCTCAACTCACGTACCCTTTCATTTATATAACGTTCAAAACCGGTCTAATATTCCGGAATTCCCCTATTTGGACGTTTTCCTCCTCTTCAAGTCTATATTTCGATATGGCCGCATCCGAGTATGTATGCGAAACTTTGCAGAAAGAACAAATACATACGATTTTTAATATTAAAGAGAAAAAATAACCTTACAAAAGTGCGGCCACATCCATTTTTACAAAAAATTGAAGTAAAAAATGCTGCATTTTTGGATAGACGTCACCTTTTCTCCACAATAAAATCTATATTTTTAAAGAAATTAATTGTTTAATTCTGTATCTGAAGGCTTTATTATTTCTTTATTGTCTTTTAAATTCAATTCTGCATTTGAAAAAAAATAATTTAATACAATTATTTATGCAAATGAAAACCATATGAACCTTTCTCAGTGAAATTTACTATGGGACATTACATGTAAATTAGTGACGCAATGCATTGAAAAAATGACGTCACAAAGAGCAATCATGTTGAAAATATGTATTGAAACAATTTCTTCAGTCTTCGCAACTATGATAAATATTCAATCAATATTTACAGCGTGAAAAAGTAATTTAACGACATAAGTTGGGATGGTTCAGACAATCAATTTACATTTAATCCTACATGTACAATGTACCTCCAATTAAAACGCGCGTCTCTTTCATAGTGGACATTGACTTTATTTGACTTCAAGAAAAGATTATTTTTAACATTTTTATTGAAAATCATCAGCTTTTTTAAGTATGTTTTATTCGTTTTCAATTTCTATATGTCTGGGATTCATGAATGTCAAAAGACAATAGCTAACTTTTTTTTTTTGGGAGGGGGGGGGGGGGGAGGAGGTAGATTGGAAGCTTGGCTTACATGTATAGCAGTCACCATTTGAACATTTCTTTTCAAAACTTGTTATCCTTGTCACTGTATTGTTGCAGATTTTTATTTGACATAATTAATTATGTCAGAAAGGATTCTAGTGTTTTATCACATAATCAGGAAGTGTTTTATATATGACAAAATACTTCTAAATCTGCCACTGCCGGATTACATTTACTTATTGAAGGTCAGCAGCTGGGAATGGAAAAGTTCTTACATGTATTTACACTTATTAATTATATATACATTTATCATGCTGATCGGAATATTGACATCAGTGTTTTCAAGTAAAATTGGGTTTAATTTATAATTTACAAGGAATTTTAGATAATTATGTTGACCAAGTTTGTAAGGCTTAAAAAACGTATACATTGGTGTACGCTTTCGGTATTTTCTAAGAAAATTTAAGTGAAACATGATACAATCAACCTTTTTTATTGCCTGTAAATAAAGATTATCTGTTCCCATGCAGTTCTGTAAGAAATACAAACACGATCTTGCATTACTTGTGGACAAGACACCCCCCTTCCGCTCCATAATCGATGGTTTAACTCGTTATTTTTTTTCAGAAATTGTTTTCCTAATACATCTTAAGGCATTCCAAGTCTTGAAATGAAAAAAAAGAAAAAAAAAAGATTACTCTATAGATATTTATCTTTATAAAAAACGAATGTACATATTAACTACATGTACATTATTGTTAATCTTGAAGCGAGTATTTTTAAAAGGATTTTATCCAGATTATCCATAAAATAATAGTAATATATTTCATAGGAAATATGTTTAGTATTCCAATAGATGTTCATCGGGGCTGGAGGAGCGTCCTGTCCAATATCACCTCTGTGAAAACGGCCGTGCACATTATCGCTAAATTTTAAAGATTCAACATCCGTCTGTGATGATAATCCGTTCCAGAAAAAAAACAAATTAAAAGTATTTTATCGTTACTACAAGGACAAATGCACAAGGAAATGCCCCAGAGAGTTAATGTATCCAAAGGAAGTGATAAAATTATCATTGTCACCGAAATAATTATATCAAATACATGTATCTTACCTACGGCTGTGTAACATGTAAACATAGGGAGGAGTTCTAAAGAAAATCTTTATCTATTTTAATGCAGTGTCTGTGTTAGTAGATGACGTAATGTATCGTCTTGCAATTCGTGTCAGCAGTTTGTTAGGTATATTTTTAAAGATTTTTTTACCAGACACTTACATGAAAAAGAAACATAATCAAGCTAGTGATATAATCCGGGAATGGAAAGGATAACTCTATAAAGAAGCACTGTGATGTGTTTTGCGTATTGTTCCCACAAGTAACAAAATAACATAAGATTTCGTATAATTTGATAACTGAACTAGAAATAAAATCTCTGTGTAGCTTAAAAAAAGGGACGTGAAAGTGAATTTTGATTCTTCTATGTGAGTGTTCTGTTATTCTGCATTTCAATTATTTGTATTTTGTCTCTATGTAAATAGAAGGGGGGGGGGGGGCTTACTGATAATCAAATTATACATGTACATGTACTGTAATGAGTACCAATAAAGAAATTATATCTTTCCAATTTCCTTTGGCTCCCCACTGGACTGTGACCGTTGATCGATCTTTTATTGATCGATATCAATGCAAGTGTCTGCCGTTTCATGCTGCATTGCTTTGAAGACGACATGCGCATATTTTCATAGCTGACGCGGATAAACTCTATATGCAAATCATAAATATAATATTATATCCTTATTTTGATAATTTTTAGTTTTGGAATTATGCCCGTTAGAGTGTACTACAGGCTTCTGAATCCCTTCCCGAGAATTCGTGTGCATTTCCTGTCGAATTCACTACGCAGATTTAGGCATATAATTTTCGGTTTTGTTAATCAAATAATGAGTATGTACATGCAAAGTAATGTGTTTGTCTCTAAAATTAAATTATTAGCATTGGCTATATAAAATATTTTGTTCATCGAAAAATTGATCTAAAAAAATTGCACACCCTTTTTTAAGCCTTCGGAGATTCACGGTTTTTATTTAAAGCAAAATTTTTCAAGGTCTGTAACGCAAGTTATGATAAGGCCATTCCAAGGTTTTTTCTTTTTCTTTTTAATGTGCATTGTACGCGGACGAATTGGTTTTGAGGTTATGAAATTAAAAACAAACACAAATTAAAATTGATAAATACAAAGCTTTGAAACGCAAACACAAAGTTAACTCAAATTAAAATCAACAAATACGAATTTCTGCAATGCATTTTACTCTTTTGGAATTGACATCTCTCTTTTTTAAGTGGTGTTTTAATTTTTTTTTATTTCAATAAACTAGTAGTTTAACTAAGTTTTATGGCGAGGAGAGGTCTCAAATGATAATAAGAAATTCTAGAACTGTTCTGAAAATGCTGCGTTTTTCCCCTTTTGGTTTGTGTGTTTTCTCGGATAGGAAGATAGGTTAGGATGGACACTAAACAAAGAAAAACCTTGGAATGGCCTCATCAATCAGGACTCTTATAACCGGTCTCCTCTTGTGGTTTTAACATAGAAAGTGATTGTGTGCAAGTATATTGGGGATTGTTCCTAATTAGGGTATTTTACATGAACCGTGCAGTAAAGCGGATCCACTGGAATGAATAACGATCTATAAAAGAAATCCTAACATCAGAGAAAATTTTTTTAACGCAGTTTAAGACACCTCGTAACCCCGTAATAGTGAGTAATTTATACGTTTATCAAAAAAAGAAAGAAAGAAAATACGAAATTAATAGCGCTGCCATATGTTGGAATGGAAAAGGGGATTGATGTTGATGGCTTTTTCATTGCCAAAAATCCAATTTTGACAACTTTATATGGGACGATCCTATTTTCTTTTTAATACTGATTCATGTATTTTTAGAAAATGAAATATAAATTATAGACAATGCGGAAAATGAAATCATTAGGACATTTTTACCCTAAAAAAAATGATAAAATTGATACGAGCACAATTTTAAAAGAAGTACTACCTTGTCTCGTCTGTATTATGGATGAATCAAGCTTCATTACTTGTCTGATGAAATCGTTTGTAATAAAATTATATTTCCTTTAAATTATTTTACTCCTTCCAGCTATCAAAGATACATTACGATGAATTGAAATAAAAGAAAAAAAAATTTTTCTGAAACATAAGGCAGGTTAAAGTAAATAGTTTCCGGTTCAGAGAATTTACAGATTTCTTTTAACGTACCGTTAAAATCAGTAACGCCGTGATGACGTTATCACGTCAAAATTTGTAATTTCTAAAGAAAACTCCCCATATTTCGAGACCTCTGATGGAAAAACGGTTTGTGATAATTGAAAAAAATAAAATGATTTTGAAAAGACACATCGTAGGAATGTTTGTAAAAAACTGAAATCAAATTTGGAGACAGGGCCGCTCTGTTATACATAACGTACCCAGTTCTTTCATAAATTTGGTAGAGGGGTCGGTGCTCATTATAATAAAACAAACATCTCAGTGGTCAAGAATTTTTAGAATATGATTTGTCATGCTAATGTATGATTGACTTTGTGTTGACCCTTGACCAAGGGGACATCCTGAGGACTAAAACTATGACCCAAAAGATATAAATACACACAGTTTTTGAAGAGGATGACTTGCTCATTATAATCATGTTAACAGTTTCTCTGCTTGGTGTACAAGGGTATTTTAAAAACAGTTTAAAATTTTGAGGTTTTTATCCTACCTCTAGGATCCCAGGTGGGAAGAATCTGGACATTCAGATTTTTGTTCCCCAAAATTCTGTATACATGAACCATTTTTGACTGAAATTGGTTCAGGAGTCTCACTGATGATAGTTTATAAAAATTTTGAAAAAATAATGGACACAGAACCAACAATACACAGAGATGGCTGATGCTTACTTATTGATATTACTAACTGTGACCCTGCTCTTCTTGAGAAGAATATACTAGTATTCTTTAAGGTTTTTCCTCTATTCTTTGAACCCTGTTGTGGTTCCCATTTAAGCCCATGGGGAGTATGCTTTGAATAAACTTGAATTTATACCCAGGGATCGACATTAACGGTTGTCCGATTGCCCGGGACAAGTAAATTCTCAGTTCGGGCAAGTGAATCTTGCGACGTACTTGTCCGATCGGGCAAGTGATTTTTTCCTCATAGAAATGTACATATTTATTTCGTTTACATTAATTTATATGAAAAAACAATAAATTGAAGACTTGATTTCCGCCAGGTACCTGACTGACATTGTTTTTGTATTCGGAATTCCTTTTCAGCATTTCTGGATTATACCTTTCATTTGAAAATCGGATTCGTTATTCCGTTCTTTTTCCCTGGTAAATATGCTGTTCGTCTAACATTTTTGTTAACTTCTTATTTGGAAATTAGATTATTTATTCACTTACAGAATATAAATAAAGTGTAACACGATGTATCCTGATCAAGGTAAAGATCGATGTGTGTTATGTAGCAACTATCTTCCTTCAGCGTTGTTTCACAGTTATCTCAGAAAATTACGATTCACAAAAGAATCCTACCGAAAATAATTTTTTTAAAATATGAATTTAAATAAACGGAGGGTTATTGCTTCATGGCAGTGTGTGTTAACAGGTTAGATTTACAGGGACAGTGGTATACATTTATGTACAAACGCAGCATCAAAATTTTTTCAGGTACCTCACCTTGCCAAATTGACGGTAGTGTATTTGGTCACATTTTTTCTTGTCATAATATTTACAGTAATAAAAAAAAAAATTCTGAAGTTCTTTCCTTATTTTGGGCAACCAAGTTTTGTGTTCAGACAAGTCAAAGTTTGAGATCACTTGCCCGAAGGGCAAGTAAATCTGAAAGTTAATGTCTATCCCTGATACCATTACCCTTGATCTGAGGGCAAATGTATTTACCTGCTGCTGGTTACCGAACTGAAACAAAGAGCTGGATACAGCTCCACTTGATTTTGCTGCACCAAAACTGAAGTTAAAACCTGTCAATGAAAATATGTTACATGTTTAATCCAACATTAGACATAAAGCATGGACTGTATGGTAAAAATATCATCATGTTCTGTTCCCTGTAGACAATGTGAAACAAAAGCCAATGAGCCACAATGCTCACCAGAGTCTCCCTTGGCCCTGCTGTTCTTCAGAAGACTTAAGAGGTCCATAAGCCACAATGCTCACCTGAGTTTCTACAGCCCTTCTATTCCTACGTAAAATTAAGATAATATATTGTGCCCTTTATCCCCCCTCCCACCCCCTCATCAAGATTTGATTTAACTTGAAACTACACTACCTGAGAATGCTTCCATATAAATATGACTTATCATGGCATTGCTCTTCTTAAGAAGAAGACTTTGTCAGATTTTTCCTACATATTCTTATGTAAAAATTTGATTGCCCATTGAGGCCCCTTCCTTAGCCCCAAGAGTTTTGATTTTAACACTTGAGTCTACATTACCTGAGGATGCTTCCATATAAATACGACTAAACATGGTTTTGCTGTTCCCTAGAAGACAATTTTTCCTATGTATTCCTATGTAAAAGTTTGGTCGCCCATCATGGCCCCACCCTACCCCTGGAGATCATGCTATGAACAAACTTGAATTACTTAAGGTTTCTCCTCCCTTTGTGTTTACATGGTTAAATACATGTAATTGTTGTTTAAATTTAAAGAATAATATCTTAAGGATTAAAATAAAGTAAAATATTTACAAGTTGCAAACCTTTTCTTTATTCTGTGGCAGTTTACATAAGTACACTATTTATAACATATTACAAGGATTGCTGTTAAATCAAATATCACATAAAAGCTATATTAATATGCAAAATCTACAGCAAATCTTTGCATAAAACAATACAAATACTTTATTTTATTTGTTCAAACGATATAGCCATTAAACCTGTCAGTATACATATCATAGCATTTTTCAGTGTATTTTTACTCATTTTCCTCTACATCAAAAAAACGTCATGTTGTCTTTGAAAATATCTATAACTTCTTCAATAAAGGTTCAAACTTTATAAAATTTGGTATGTATTTAATTCAAAGTATATCCTTTCCAAAATTGCAAAAAAATAATTATGTTGCTTGGTAAAAAATATTGAAATATGGTGTCTGTGTATGACTTTCCCTGTACATTTTTCGTATGATACTAGCTAGGATAGCTGTCAAATTTAACATCACATATTAAATTAATATGCAAAATTGAAAGCAAATCTTTACATAAACGTATCAAATTAATGTGTCTTTAAACAATATGGAGCCATTTCAGCTTGTCAGTATACACAAACATATTGTTCTTACAATTCATCTCGAAAAATATGGTAGTGCTGTCTCTAAAAATGTCTACAACTTCTTCAATAACGGTTAAAACCTCATAAAATTTAGTACACATGTAAATCAAAGTTTTTCCTTTCTAAAACTCCAAACCAATATTTATGTTGCCTGGTAAAAAGTATTAAAATACATTGGTTCTCTATGACTTCCACAATATATTTTCTACTCTTATCTTTAAATCCAGTAATGTGTTAACTCAATAAATCTTGAAATATAATTGACACTTCGATAACTCAATCAAGAAATAATACTAAAACTGAAAATATATTACATTTCTACTGTTCCACTTATGACTACATTTTCTCCCCACTTTCTACATGTACATGTCAGTTCAATATACATATGTACATAAATGTATATATGCTTACATACTAAGATAATCCACAACATTTTGAATAATCTTTGAGGAATTTGTTATTCTTACACTCTCAGGATTTTCTTTCAGTGGTTCTGAAAATATATATCTAATACCATTTTCTGGGTCTCTAGCATGAATTTGTCTCAGTTTTGACAAACTAAGTCCACATAGAACCAATTTTCGAAGTATTAAAGCTGACACAACTTTGCCTCTTAATAATGGCTCTAAAGACTCTTTACATGTGTAATATGACAAATAAAAAACATTTTCAGACACTGTACTTCCTGACAGACACAACTTAGAGTAATATAACTTCTCTAATGCTGTCACATCTGCCATCGCATTATGAGCCTCATATTCCTCTCCTAATAGATTCTGAACCAATGTCCCTTGCTTGTAGTTAGGAAGCTGGATATCTTTCAATAATTTCTTGGAAATCTTTAGAGTATCTAAAAATCCAGTTACATTCTTACAAAATCTTTCAAGAAGATCACAGTTTCCCAAATGGTGTCGCAATATTGGTAAGTCAAAGTTTTGAATGTTGTGTCCCACTAACACTGGAAGGTCAAAAGACTCTAAAAATATCAGAAACTTGGTGAGTGCTTCAGGTGGAGGAAATGCAGCGATTGCTTCTCCCTTGTAGCAGAGGTTGTTTCCATCGAAGGTCAAAGAGTTTACTTCAGACGCTTCCTTGCTGATGGGGCGAGTGGGCAAGGCATACACTGAGAACTCCTTTTCTTTGCATTTTGCAGCAATTTGAAGTATATCAGATGTTCTTCCTATAGAAAGAAACAAAATGCGTGATCTTATGATATTGGGACACTCAATGTAATGATTACAAGACGGATTTTAAAAGTATTATATGATTAACAAACACCTATAAATTATACATGTACTGAAATTTAAAAATGAACAAACCTAATCCTCCTGTTTCTAAATCAAAGAACACCAATGGATGTGTATGCAGATCGTCAACAGGGGCATCCAGTTGAATATCATCTATATCTAGGTTTTCTTCAGCCTCTAAGCATATATTTGGCTTATATGTATCTCCTTGAAAAATAAATCATTTTGTTCTTAGATTGTATCAATATATGTGTAAATATATTAAAGATGATGAAATTGCTAAAATTAATCAATTAAGGAATGTTTTTAAGTTTTGTGTGAGTTATTGGTGTGTAAATCACACAGACTTGTCACGTAGGCATATTTCATGAAGCGCGATAACACTTCATGAAAAATATGCCTAAGTGCAAGCCTGTTGACAATCTGCATATACATCCATTGGTGTTCTTTGATTTGGAAACAGGAGGATTAGGTTTGTTCATTTTTAAATTTCAGTACATGTATAATTCATAGGTGTTTGTTAATCATATAATACCGTATTTGGCCGAATATAATACGCATTGGTGTAAAATATGCACCCCCCTTTTTGAGCCTGAAACTGGGGGAAAAAACGCAGTTCGGTTGTATTATACGCAGCAGAAAATTTTACCTAGCGGTGTTCTGAACTTTTGAAAATCGTGGTAATTTGCTATGAAAATCGGCACGGAGATAAAGTGCCGAAAATTTACAGAACACGATATTTTATTCAAATGCGTTTTTATTTCTTAATCTTGACTTTCCATATCGTGGCAATCTGGAGGAAATTAAATATTTTAACAAAGCACGAGATAATGCTGCATTAAAGTATTAACAGGGTTTATTATTAATTTTTTTTAGCATACGGTGATATTGAAATTATACGTCGCCATATTCTAACTATTCTTTGTGGAAATAATTTTATTTCAACAAATCACGGGATATTGTTGCAAGTTTAACAGTTGTCATATTTATTTTTAGTTTAAGGTAATCATGTTGAAAATTATGTATATTTAACACGGCAAGCGATATTGCAACAACAAAGTATTCATAGACTATGATTTTCCTCTTTTGAACTTAAAATTAATTAATTAAATAAATAGCTGATGTTATAAAAATAAAATCAAAATTTAACAAAGCATGTAGTTATCAACACACCTCCAAAGCTGTGAAAAATGATGTACAAAGATGGGATATATGTCTTCATAGATCGAGGTAATCTTCGTGGATATCTTATTTTCTACAGAGCACGAGCACAAGTAAATGATAACACTTAAGTTTCAACATACTTCATATTTCCTTTTTTAACTCTCAATCATTTTGACACGAGGCCGATATAAGATAAAGTAAAATTTACATTTAACAAGCGTTTAACTGTTTAATGTGTCGAAATCAGCACACGCTTATACATACGAAAGATCATAAACCAAGCCCCGATTTTTAACAAAGAAAATAACCAAAGCCATTTTATTAATAAGGGCAGTAAATAATCAGTGCTCTAACTGTAAAAACAATGCTTTGGAGTCGGTAAACAATTTAATTGCCTGGAGGGGTGTTGAGGGGTAATTATCAAGTGACAAGCGCACGTGTTCACAACATTGGCTTCCATTCATTGGGACGTATAGAGGGGTGTTTATGTTGAAATGAATTTTCACTGAGTTATTTAAAACCTAAAATAAATTTTATTTTATTGTATTTCCTTAAAAAATGACATTACTTTTTCGACGAGTGTCTGACTGATCAGGTACATGTGTACTTTGATTACGGAAGCACGTGGCAAAGGAATGTTTAAACATCTATAAATAACATCGTTAATGGCGGCCTACACGGAGACGATGAACATGCAGCTCAAATTAATTTTAACTTGCTTTAAATTTAATTTAACTATCAAAACGTTATAAATATAACATTTTTAACAAGCCTACATTCCAACAATAACTTTCCGAAGTTTTAAATACGGCGATAAACAGCAAGAAATTGCATAAGTCTCTAGGTAATACTTCAGTATGTGCGTATGATAGCCGTGTTTCACATGAAAGAAAAACCTGTCAAAATCCCATTGTGGTGTAAAATACGCACCCCTTTCTCACAGAAAATTATTTTGGAAAAAAGTGCGTATTATATTCAGCCAAATACGGTACTTTTAAAATCCGTCTTGTAATCATAACATTGAGTATGCCAATATCATAAGATGACACATTTTGTTTCTTTCTATAGGAAGAACATCTGATATACTTCAAATTGCTGCAAAATGCATAGAAAAGGAGTTCTCAGTGTATGCCTTGCCCACTCGCTCCATCAGCAAGGAAGCATCTGAAGTAACCTCTTTGACCTTCGATGTGAACAACCTCTGTTACAAGGAAGAAGCAGTCACTGCATTTCCTCCACCTGAAGCACTCACCAAGTTTCTGATATTTTTAGAGTCTTTTGACCTTCCAGTGTTAGTGGGACACAACATTCAAAACTTTGACTTACCAATACTGTGACACCATTTGGGAAACTGTGATCTTCTTGAAAGATTTCGTAAGAATGTAACTGGATTTTTAGATACTCTAAAGATTTCCAAGAAATTATTGAAAGATATCCAGCTTCCTAACTACAAACAAGGGACATTGGTTCAGAATCTATTAGGAGAGGAATATGAGGCTCATAATGCGATGGCAGATGTGACAGCATTAGAGAAGTTATATTACTCTAAGTTGTGTCTGTCAGGAAGTACAGTGTCTGAAAATGTTTTTTATTTGTCATATTACACATGTAAAATTGGTTCTATGTGGACTTAGTTTGTCAAAACTGAGACAAATTCATGCTAGAGACCCAGAAAATGGTATTAGATATATATTTTCAGAACCACTGAAAGAAAATCCTAAGAGTGTAAGAATAACAAAATCCTCAAAGATTATTCAAAATGTTGTGGATTATCTTAGTATGTAAGCATATATACATTTATGTACATATGTATATTGAACTGACATGTACATGTAGAAAGTGGGGAGAAAATGTAGTCATAAGTGGAACAGTAGAAATGTAATATATTTTCAGTTTTAGTATTATTTCTTGATTGAGTTATCGAAGTGTCAATTATATTTCAAGATTTATTGAGTTAACACATTACTGGATTTAAAGATAAGAGTAGAAAATATATTGTGGAAGTCATAGAGAACCAATGTATTTTAATACTTTTTACCAGGCAACATAAATATTGGTTTGGAGTTTTAGAAAGGAAAAACTTTGATTTACATGTGTACTAAATTTTATGAGGTTTTAACCGTTATTGAAGAAGTTGTAGACATTTTTAGAGACAGCACTACCATATTTTTCGAGATGAATTGTAAGAACAATATGTTTGTGTATACTGACAAGCTGAAATGGCTCCATATTGTTTAAAGACACATTAATTTGATTAGTTTATGCAAAGTTTTGCTTTCAATTTTGCATATTAATTTAATATGTGATGTCAATTTTGACAGCAATCCTAGCTAGTATCATACAAAAAATGTACAGGGAAAGTCATACACAGACACCATATTTCAATATTTTTTACCAAGCAACATAATTATTTTTTTGCAATTTTGGAAAGGATATACTTTGAATTAAATACATACCAATTTTTATAAAGTGTGAACCATTATTGAAGAAGTTATAGACATTTTCGAAGACAATACAACGTTTTTTGATGTAGAGGCAACATTTTTTGATGTAGAGGAAAATGAGTAAAAATACACTGAAAAATGCTATGATATGCATACTGACAGGTTTAATGACTCTATATTGTTTTAACAAATAAAATAAAGTATTTGTATTGTTTTATGCAAAGATTTGCTGTAGATTTTGCATATTAATATAGCTTTTATGTGATATTTGATTTAACAGCATTCCTCGCTAATATGTTTTAACTAGTGTACTTATGTAAACTGCCACAGTATAAAAAAAAGGTTTGCAACTTATAAATATTTTACTTTATTTTAATCCTTAAGATATTATTCTTTAAATTTAAACAACAATTACATGTATTTAACCATGAAAACATGAAGAGAGGAGAAACCTTAAATTTTTTTCTTTGTACATGTATTCCTATGTAAAACTTTATGCTTGCATATTGATAAATTTAAAACTGTGGTCCTGCTGTGCTTGTGCTGAATTTTATATCATTTTCCCTTCATTTTCCTATGTTAAACTTTGATCCCCTATCGTAACAACTTTCCACCTCCAGGGATCATGATTTGAAGCATCCTCTAATATAAAGGAGTATTAGTTTAAGTTTCATTTTTTCTGGCTTAGTGCTTTATAGATGGGATTTTTTTTTTTTCAATTTTGCAAGCATATTTTCACTATTTCTTTATTATCTCCCCTTGAAAGAGGGTATGCCCTTTCACTGGAACAATCTGAATTCCCTTCATCCAAGGTCAAAATTGGCTCTGTGGTTTTGGAGAACAAGTTCAAATTGTGATAAAAAATTACAGACAACACATGGCAGATGGACACCAGACACTCTTTAATCAGAAGAGCTCAGGTTTTCACTCAAACATGCTAAAAAATTTAAAAACCTATCAAAATAATAAAATATGACCCACTGCTTACCTGCAGGTTTTTCTTTTTCAAGAGAAACTGATGTTCCAAATGTAGGGGCTTGACCAGCAAAACCAAAATTTGAGTTTATTGATGGTCCACCTTGACTCCCAGGTGTAGTATTATTTCCAAGACTGCCAGAATTAGCACCTGACTGTGAAAACATTGAGCTTGGGGAGCACACAGCTTTTGTGGAACTTGCAGCAACTTGCAATGGCACTGTTTTTGCTGACATGGAGGCTCCAGAAGCAGCACTTGAAGAGAATTGAAAAGGACTGGACAATGATGCTGATGAAGTAATTGATGAATCTGCACCAAACTGGAAGGTTGCATTAGACTTTGGGACTATATTATTACTTTGTCCAAACTGGAAATGGGAAGGTACCCCTGAAGAAGCTTTTGATGAATTCACACTGAATTGAAAATTTTCATTAGAATTTGGAGTTGTACTTTGTCCAAATTGAAAACTGGATGATGTCACTGATGTGGTTGTCATTGAATTTACACCAAATTGAAATGTTACAGTAGAATTTGGGGTTGTATTTTGTACAACAGAAAAACTGGGAGCTGTAGTTAAAACCTTATATTCCTGGTTCTTTTCAATTTGTTCTTTATTCATTGTTGAAACAGGTGCCCCAAAATTTGAGCTCATCTTATTGAACTGCATTGGTGCTGGAGCCACAGGATTCATGCTGTTACTGGGGAAGGGTGAAGTAAAAGTAACTACTCCCTTGTTAGATTCCCCAGATTCTTTTGTTACAGGAACATTAGATATTGATGTCAGACTTGTAGGCATGGTAAAATTAACAGCTCTCTGTTCCGTTTCCTTTTTTTCTGGCAAAGTTGCATTCTTACTTGGACTTTCATTGTCTTTTAAAATCCCAGAATTTTTCAAAAATGAATCTTCACTTGTTTTTTCCATGTTAGATCCATTGCTTTCCTCTACACTAGATTTAGTTTTTCTATCTAAGTTCCAGTTTTGTTCAAATGAAGATGTATCTTTTTCATAATTTCCTGCTGTTTTTTCTACAGGGACAGGTTTGTTGATACCTTCACCATTCAAACTGAATTCTTTTACTACTGGCTTTGTGGGCCCATCAGACTCAACCACAAATCCTGTTTGTGAAGAAAATGCTTTTGGTTTCACCATAAAACCTGTAAAAAGAGATACTGTATAAGTAGAAATTTTAACAAGGATTTAATTTTGGCATTATTAGCGAAGGTGCTGAGATCACTAAAATTGACTATCACTAAAAATTGATCGTGTTTTATTTGTAATAGCTTCTAAAGTTAGCATTTTAAATTAGTTCTTGCTAAAAACAAATATCAATTTTTTAAGGATAAATCGCTAAATTTTTGTCTCGCTAAAAATTTCCACTTATACGGTATAAATGAATAGCTCCTGAATTAAAAAATGAGAGAACTAAATGCTTTGCTCAGTAAGACAAAAGCTGTTGTATTGGTGTATTTAGTTGCATAACTGTAATATTCAATCAACAAGATATTTTTTATTGATTATTTGTCAGTTATGTACATTCTACATGTAAAGAGATGTTAATAAAATAAGAAAATACCATTTTAATATTTGTTGAAAATATTGCAATACATATTGCAATACAGTTTAAAATATCGCAATATGAAATCTTTAGCCAATACTCAGCCCTAAAAACAATATTGTATACTTATGTCACTCTGTAAGAGCATTAACCCAAGCTAAAAATTCATTGCCAGGAGAGGAAATTCCTCTCCAAATTTATTGTCATTCATGATAGCTGAGTTGGTATAGCGCTCACACCATTGTTGGAAGGCCAAGTTGATAAAATTAGGTAGCAACTGTTCCTTCTCTTAGCATCTGGCACTTTGAAGTGAAAGTTGCAGGTCTTTTTAAATGAGACCTTAAAAACTGAGGTCCTTTGTCACCGTTGGTGTTGGCACCCCAAAAACTGAACCCTCATTGCTTGATAAGTGCTGAGTAAAGGTCTTTTTTTTTTAACATTGAAAAGGGTAAAAAGTAAAGTCTTAATTTGAAGCCCTTCACCAGCATCTAGTGACATCTCTCCCATGAGTAAACTCGTCTTGCAAGGGATATAAAACTACAACAATTTTTCAACCAATCCCCCCAAATTTAACAGCAGAGGCATTCAAATTGGCACTTAGGTGATATTGATGTTTCAGTGATTGCAGATACATGCTGCAGCTTCTGAGAGCTGGCCATATTTCTTACAATTATAAAACCTTATGTACAGCCATATCTTATTGTTTTATTTACCTGATGTTGATGGTTGGGATCCTGATCTAGGAGATTCACACGCCAAACACTTGGCATTTACCATTTTATTTGGAACCAAGCAAACATCACAATCCCATGTTTTTACGGGAAATTTACTCTTTCCTTCCCCGTCATTGATTTCTGTCTTACCTGTAACACAATAATGTTTTAACTTAAAAATTCACAAAATTTCACAAATGAGACCAAAAAGATTTAAAGCAAAACTGCTTAAATGACAAAGGCAAAATATCTTTAAACAAGAGGTCCACATAATGTACCACATCACTAGAGCTAAACCTGAAATAATAACTTATTGGTTATAAATTGAGTTAATAATACCAAAACAAGAGGCCTATAGGCCACAACACTCACTTGAGTAACTTTGGCCCTGCTGTTCTTCACCAGATTTTCCCCCTTGTAATACGTATTGTGGCCCTGCTCTACCCCTGGGAGTCATGATTTGAACAATTTAGAATCTACACTACCCAAGAATGCTTTGTCGTAAGTTTCATCTTTTCTGGTCAAGTGGTTCTTGAGAAGAAGATTTTTAAAGATTTTTCCTATATATTTCAATATTTTGATTCCCCATTGTGGCCCCACCCTACCCCTGGGGGTCATGATTTGAACAATTTAGAATCTACACTACCCAAGAATGCTTCCTTGTAAGTTTCAGCTTTTCTGGCCCAGTGGTACTGAGAAGACGATTTTAAAAGATTTTTCCTATATATTTCAATGTAAAACTTTGATTCCCCATTGTGGCCCCACTCTATCTCTGGAGGTCATGATTTGAACAATTTAGAATCTACACTACACCAGGATGCTTCCATACAGTTACAGCTTTTCTGGCCCAGTGGTTCTTGAGAAGAAGATTTTTTAATGACCCCACCCTATTTTTGTCTTTTCTTGATTATCTCCCCTTGTAAAGGGGCTTGGCCCTTCCTTTTAAAAAATTTAAACTCCCCTTCAGCCAAGGATGCTTTGTACCAACTTTGGTCAAAATTGGTCCAATGGTTCTTGAGAAGTTGAAAATGTGAAAAATTTACAGACGGACGGATGGACGGAAGACGGACAACACACAGGTGAGCTAAAAAGTGTACATTTTATGAACTATAAAGTCCTAGAGATACATAAAGATGTACATGTATTACTATTACAAATGTTACAAACGTCTAGTATGACCTTAATGAGAATATGACATATATATTTCCAAATATGAAATCTTTATCTCATTTAATTGACAAGTTATGATAAAATGAAATATGCTGAAAGACCTCTTTACACTTCTGGCTTATTAAGGGGGATCTTAAACACTCACTCCTAAGGAAAGTTGACAGACAACAAACAGGCAGGAATATGTATCTCTACCCTCACTGTAACAAATGTTACAGTTAGATTTTTTTTCTTTTGTTCGTGAAAATATTCTGTGTATACTTATTTGTCAGCCTGAAGACATCAATAGTTATTTCTAATTATCATCAAAATAAAATTATTAAGTGTATCAAAATACTGATGGTGACTTAAACCAATTCATGAATGTATTATGTATGAATTCATAGATTTGCAACTGTATTGCATATCTGATTGGGAAAAAATGGTAATGCTAAAAAGGATGCAAGTAAAGGTATATCTTCACCAAAGACCCCAACCCCCAACCCCACTCTTTTATCAAAACTAGTTATATCAACAGCAAATACAGTTGTCAAAAGGTGGAAAATTTAACTACTCTTCTGAATTTCCTTCTTCATGTAACTAATAAATTTTTATATTAAGGTCAAGATCTAGTAAATGAAAGGTGCCTACACATTTTTCAAATTTGAGGGGCGAGTTCTTTTAATGATCCTTTGCAAATATAGCTTAATTGGTAAAATAAGGTGTATCGGGACATAATTATTAGGTAAACTTAACAAAAAAACATGTTTTAAACTGTCATTTTCAATGAAAAATGAAGAAAGTCAGGTATAAATTTCGGAGTTTTTTCCATCTCAGAAAGAGGAAATGTATCAATATTGCCCACAGTCTCTCAGAAAAAAGGTTTTTCGTATCTTCTTGACCTCTACTTTTAAATGATATTTAATTGAATATAGGTATCGGGGATACCTTTGACATGATATCAAATTGAATTCCATGAGAATGTTTCATTTTTTACATAATTCTATTACAACCATGAAGTACGGGAAAAATTCATTTGAAATTAATTATGACGTCATAATGAATCTAGCTTCAAAAAGACAGTCTAAACTCATTTACTAGATCTTGACCTTAAATTCATAAACTTTCACAATTTTGATTTGAAAAACATAGCAAGTTTATTTATCAAAGATTTCCATACCAATTAATTGCCAGACAGGCAAGACTGTGCACCCATGTTTTCTGCAGAAAAATAATGCTTATAAATGATCTAAAAACTTTATGAAACTTTAACTATGTATGGATCAATGTTTGAGTACCTCTCCATTCTTAAAAAGTACTGCAGCTTTTGAGACTTTGAAAGAGCAGAGGCCATTGCTTTTAAGGAATGGAGAGAATTGAGGATATTGGCCCTCCCATTTTAAATGCTGGTAATTATTGTTTTATTGTCTATATTATCATAAAGACATGATTTGTGTTATGTATACAATTAAATAATCTGTAAGATTATATAGGTTCTAGCACTACAAGATAGTGTTGAGATTTTTTTTTTTTAAATACCGTGTATGCCATCAGCTCAGTAGCTCAATGTGGAAAGCACCAGATGTTAAGGGTACCAGGTTCAGAGTACCACAGTTTTCTTATTAAAATATAACAAACTTAATAACTATTTGCCAAGTTCTAACAAGCTTAACATCAACAGAAGTAGAGAAAACTTCTACTTGAAATAAAAAGTGTGTTCTCCATGTGAATTTTTTCAAGTCTCCATTCCCAAAAAATAATTCAGCACTCAAAAAAGTGACATCACAAGTGAATTTTAAAACAGTTGCAAGATTATGAACTAAGTTATGATGTATTAACAGTCACCCCAGAATGAGGCCAAACTATGGCTTGTCAAACCCCATTCTTTGATGACAGGATCATGTCTTTCCAGGGGACAAGAATTTTGCAATATTGGTAAAATGATCAATGTTCATTAACCCTCTTCCCCGCAGTCACGCATTTTAACGCATGTACAATTTCCTATTTCTAACGCAAAATCACGCATATACCGTTTCCCCGCAATCACGCATTTTTCACGCACTTTCAAAAGTAAATTTAATTTTCAATTTAATGCCAATTCCCTTCTAATTTATACTTGCTAAAATCTCATAAAATAAGAAAAGTTATAATCTTATTAAAATATTACGTCATAATTATTTATGATAAACTTTAGAGAAACTTGTACCTCGCTATATTTAGTGCTCGTGGGGAAAAGGTAACATCATATTTCTATGATATGAACATTAAGTGCATGTTGCATGACAGTTCAGTAAGTTGTAAAGAGTTAATCCATGACAAATTGCCCATGTGTAAAAAATGTTATAAAAATATGCTGTACTTTCAATACTCAGTCATAAACTTACACACTCTCATGCAGAATTGCATATTTTTGAAATAGAAGACATAATCAGCATTATTACTTGTACGTTGTCAGCATTGTTACTTGTGTGTTAGTGGGTCGATATTGTAGAATTATGGTCTGATATCTAGAAGTGTTGCCTGATCCTAGAGGCTGAGGCTTAAATAGTTTTATTCCTCATCTCAAAAAATGCTTAACATCAGAATTGGTTAATTTAGCAGACTTAGGAAAAGTTAAAATTGTTCAAAACTTTAACAATCATTCACAATTATCAGCAAATGACAAATACATATAGCAAGAAGTAACAAATAAAAACTGTTAATCTCTTTATTTGATAAAACTTCAGATTGTAACCCATTATATAATAGATTGATCAGATATATAGATAAAATGCTTCTTCACTTCCTCTACTTTTAAATAGGCAATGATTTTCACTTTGGCAAACAAATGACAGGTGTGTTGATTAAATTGTACAACTAAATCAATATAAATGAATTCAATTTTGGCCTTTATTATTAATCAATGAAACATTTGAAATGACTCCACAAATAATGTAGACTCAAAGCATGATTCATGTCAAAAATATCTGAAAGCAAAATTCAAAATCTGCATTTTTTAGAGTACTGTCAAAAAAATTTCAACAAATATTTTCATTGTATGCTTTTGTAAAAAAAAAAAAAAAAAAGAAAAAAAACTGACAGAGGTAATTAACTTCTTAATGTGAACTTGAGTTCTTCTGATTCAAATTTCATTGATTCACTATTTTGTAAAAAAAATTAAGTTTTTGTCAGTTCTAAAATTCCATAGTAGAGATTGACACTGAGACCTTAAGGACCCTCTCTACACTTTAAGAAAATGTTTTTTGGACATTGATAAAATTATATTGTATAAAGGTGTAAATATTGAGCTTACTTATATCATTTTCAACATAGAGTACCTGGGCTCTTACCCCCAGGAAAAATGTTTAAAGTCAACAAAGTTTTGATGAACAGAAATCACTGTTGTTTACCTAAGTGAGAAAAAAGCATGCAGATGAGTAGTTCATTTATTTTATCTTGGCCTATCAAAATGTAAAGAATGCTTGAATTGATTAGAAATTGATTGATAAACTGTAGATTTTAATTTATTTTATTTTAGATCTAAGGGCAGATTACTCTAACTACATAAAAATACCACAAAATCAGAACTCTTTAGTGTACAATGTTAGAGGGTTCTTAACTCTCAGTTTCATGTATAGAACTTTTTTGAATATAAGTTTTGCTATTAAATCTCAGAATTGCAAGTTTTTGTAAACTGACGGATTAGATTAGATCCTAAAGTCCCGTTACCAGTTTCTTACTACGACTTTATTCTTAAAATCTTGAATAGAAAGCTTGCAGTCTCATAAACGTACATGTATTGGAATATTGAATACAAATCTTGCAGTCTCTTAATGGTATTGGAACCCTTGTTCTCATAATGTAGAATACAAAGCTTGCAGTCTCAAAAAGGTATTTGAACCCTTTTCTTGAACTGCTGTGATTGAGAAATAATTTTTTTTAGCTTTATAGACTTGCAAATTGGATGTGTTACGTTTTTCACATAATTAAATAGAAATAAGTAGTATCTATGCCCATTCAAAGTACAGAATGTTCACTTAACATTTCACAAGAGGAAATATTATAGCAAGCAATAAAAAATAATTGACACATGGCACAATAAAGAACAATTGACACACAACAGCATCTCTCCAGGTATACTCCAGTCAACTCATCTCAAGATTTTATGTCCTTATCCTCCTTTCAATATCTGCATGAATAAGACAAGCCAGAATGCCTAAATTTTAAATAATATCATTTCAACACTTGGAAAATAATTAAGTCTGAGATAAATAGCACACAGAACATTGTGACAGCATATCCAGTTTTCTCCTTGTCCATTTTCCAGAACCATCCAACTTCAACGCAAACTTTCTCAAATCAGAAAAAACAGATTCTCATAAACACCCTTGAAATACATGTAGTATACAGTCAGGTCTTCATATCTCAAAGTCGATGGGGCCACAGAAAAAAACTTCAAGATATCTGAGGATTCAAGACATTGAGATCAAATGCTTTAAAAAGTGGTTGGGGCTTCCAAATCATCCACATATCTATACTCAAGTTATTGATGTTCGAGACACCAAAGTTTGACTGTATTTTTGTGGTACTGTCTATCAAAAATGACACCAGTTTAAAACACTGCTGACCTCAGGGCCTGTCCCAACATGTTTTGGTACACAGAGTTGATCCTTTTGAAATTGGGATTTCTCTATGAATCATAAAAGCTGGCACTTTCTGTATCTTTGTGGTATATCTCCACAAGTCAGTGTTTTTTATACTTTTAACATTTCATATCTCATCAACAAGGAAGAGACTGAGTTTCCTGCAGGGTTTGGTTTTCAGAAAAGACTGTGATCAAGAAGACTGAAAGTCCTGAGCCCAGCTCAAATTCAAACCTGAAATAAAAAGACACAATTCAAGCTTCTGTGTCATAAAATTTCATCAACTAAAAGAAAACACTCCTTATTTTTTTTAAGCCATAAGGATTTGGCTATTTCCAAACTCCACTACAGAAAAAATTTGCTCATAACTATCATAAGACTAAGTGAAGGCTCTTTGTTTTATTATGAATTTCAAATGGTGGGTAACTTATGACAAATACTCATAAGCAATGATCAGTTGTCAACTTCATCAACATGATTGGATATGACTCCTGTAATCTTGAAACATGTCATCACCATGTGGTCCTCATTACATTATGATTACCACCATGTTCATGTAGTTATCATTACACTACTCCAAAGTTCATGTAGTTATCATTACACTACCACCATGTTCATGAAGTTATCATTACACTACCACCATGTTCATGTTCATGTAATTATATTACATTATCACCAGGTTCACATTGTTATCATTACACTACCACCATGTTCATGTACCTATCATTACATTACCACAAGGTTCATGTTGTTATCATTACACTACCACCAGGTTCATGTTGTTATCATTACACTACCACCAGGCTCATGTTGTTATCATTACAAGCAGGTTCATGTAGTTATCATTACATATAACCATCAGGTTCTGTTGTTATCAATATATTTCCACCATGCCATGTAGTTATCAATATATCCCTACCAGGTCATGTAGTTTATATCATTACATTACCACCAAGTTCATGTCTTTATCATGACATTATCATCAGGTTCATGTAGCAATCAATACATTACACCATGTTCTTGTCATTGTGAAATTATAATCACCAGGTTCATGTAATTATCATAACATTACCACTGGCTGTTATTACATGTCATCAGTTGGTTATCAATACATTACCACTAAATGGTTCTCATAACATTATCAGGTGGTTGTCATTAAAGAAGTTGGTTAAATTCACAGTGTATCATTGCCCTGCACTGTATCATAGTTCAGCACTTTACAGCTATTTTAAAAGTCATAAGGATGTTGAAAAAGAAGGTAGCATGAAGAGTTTCTGAGCACCTTGGAAATCCAGAGATAAGCTGTATTTGATATTCATAGTCATGGCTCATGGATGAGTTCAATGCATGCTTCAGGTTTATCATGTTATTAACATTTCAATGATGTTTATCAAGTAATTTATGTTGTAATCACTCAGGCAGATGCTGCAAGGTTTGAAGTTCTCCATTTTCATATCAAGAGGCTTCTCAGAAATTTCTGGGGAAATCTGTCAGGATCTGAGTAACTCCTGCCAAATTCCACACAACTTCGGAAACATTTTAAGTTCTAGAAAATCAGTTGTCAAATGTTTTCTTACCACTGGACTGAAAACCAAATAAATATTGGTGGAAGTTGTAGAGGGAAAGAATATTATTAAGATGGGTTTATCCTGAAGTAGCTCCATTTCACGATGAATATGTTAATTTTCAATGTCTTTCGAAACATAGTGGTTGATAAAGAGATGTATCATGCCTCAACTTCAACCCAACAACATGTGTACTTAAGGCTGCAACTATGTCTGAGATGATTTGTTTTAGTTTTCTTTTCAAACAGAAATAGTTGCATATTTTGACCCTCTTTCTTAATTTCAAAAGAGGGTCATAAACAACTTTTTCACTTCCAGAGGTTGGCAACTATTACGATCTTTGTCATTATCTACATTTAATGCATTACAATATAGTTATATAAAATAAAATGGACAAAAAAAGGAGCACTCAACAAATTGAGCCTCACACTAATTGAATAGAACCAAAACTGTAAGAGAGGTAGGAATATTTGATAGACTTTTCATCATGTTTGATGTTTTTAGTAGTACACTGTATCTACATCTTTTAAAGTCAGCTGTGATAACCCATTTTTTACAATTGAAAAAAAGAAAAAAGAAAACTATGGATACTTTTATATATGTACTGCAATTTTCTAATCACCCTAAGCTTGGTGAACGTACATGTAATACAGGTCCTATAGATAAACATGCAACTCTACCTGGATGTGGTTTCAGAGTTGAAGGTTGAAATATATGGTCTGCAGTAGACTTCCCTTCCCCCACATTAACAGACGTCGGACTGACTGATGTCTGAGGACTGTGGACTTTGATGGGAGAACTGAATGTGAAATTCTACAAAAAGAAAATTCACAATACTAAACCAGGAAGTAAAATTGTAATTAAAGAGATATACATGTATGTGGATTTTCTAAAAAAAAAAAAAAAAAAAAAAAATCCTACTTCTTCTGTATTGTGAACTGATCCATTCACAGATCTTCCTTGTTATACAATGGATGTACAAAACCTGATTATAACCTGAATATATATATATATATATATATATATATATATATATATATATATATATATATATATATATATATGTTGATTATTTGTACACCTCTTCCTTGTTAAGCTTTTTAATGTACATGTATTTTACTGCTGCTATCTATTACCATTTTTGGCACTGGTGAAGTTGTATTCAATATCTGTCCCTTTTGAACAGGTGAAGAAAATGTGAAGACACCATCCATGGCATTTCTTTGACCTTTATCCTTATTCCCATTTTCCTTCTCCAAAATGCCAAATTTCATTCCCGTAATATTTTCAATTGGAAGAGTGAACTCTGTCCTCAAATTTGGTAACTCAACCTATAATGATGATAAATCAGAAAAAGATTGACATCACTTAAAACAAATGTGCAAAAATACAGTTTTCAAGACTAGTCTGTAGTGATACAGTTTTAATAAGAAATTGAAAAGACTCAGAAAGGAGGTAATATGTGACTAAATATTCCCTATGCCGAGCTGCCAAGATGTTTCAAGGATTACATCTTAAATCAAGAGTAAAAACTACACCTCACTAATTTTTCACATAGAAATGTTGAATAATGTTTTTAAAAAAGGTTATTTGCACACTAGCACTTTAAAGATGAATTTAAGAGATCACAAAGTGTTTAAGAAGGAACTGTAATTTTTTTTCATTTTAAACAATAAAAAAAAATTGAAAACATGACAAAAAAGCTGCCATGTAAGCAAGCACTGAAACTTAAAATAACAAAACTTAAAGTATCAAATACACAGGAATATACATCAAGATGAATTGACATTTTTGGAAGGGAATAAGATACTACATTTACATTTGCAAATGTTTTCCCTTTTATGTAAAACTATTAGAGCAATGCACATCTATCACTGTATGGATACAGATTTGTCACATGGCCATGAATTCATTGTTAAATTGGTTGATTTAATTTCACAGTGACATCACAAGTGGCTGACATGTTCAAATCATTCAGTTTATACTGTTAAAATTTGAAAAAATATAAAGCATTTCATGGGTTTTAAACTATCAACATAAGTATTTGTTGGAAATTGGTCACAAATTAACTAGAGGTACTTTGAGCTCACAAAATAATACCCTACGCTGCAATTTTTTTTAAGTACCCATTCGCAACTTTGTAAGTACCTTGAAGTTGCCAAAATGACCATCATTAATAAAAAGGTACGTCCTCTGGTCATAAGTCATCTTTGAGTAAAATATGGACATATAATGTTTCTCCATTAGAAAATAATGGCTCCGACATGAATTTTACACTATTTCTGCCAGAGACTTTGAACTTGCCACAATGACCTTGGGTCCAGATTACAACATACTTTTAGCTCACAAATAATCTTTGTTTGAAATTTCAACTTCCATAAAAAATCTTATACCTTTTCTGCCAGTGACCTTGAATTTGCTTGAATAACCTTGGGTCATGGTCATTACATACCCTAAGATCACATGCAATATTTGTGATAAGTATGAGCCTCAAATGTTTTCCAATACAAAATATGGTCAGGACAGGAATTAAACATTTTTGTATAACTGACCTTGAACTTGATTAAATGACCTAAGGTCAAAATCATGACATACCTTCAGGTCATAAGCAATCTTTGTATGAAGTATGAATTTCAAATATTTCTCAATAAAAAAGTTGTAGACCAGACAAGAATTTTATACTTTTACTGCCAGTGACCTTGAACTTGCTAGCATAACCTTTGATCAAGGTCAAGAGAGCCCCTCAGGTCAGAAACAATCTATGTACCAAGTATGAGCTTCAAAGGGTTCTCCACTAAAAAGTTACAGTCTAGACAAGATTGCCTGGACAGAGGGACAAGGTGCTTCATAGATATCCCCCAAAACTTTGCAGGGAATATAAACATGAAAAATATAAGTAATAAGGTATCATACATCTGTTGGGATATATACCGTATTTGGCCGAATATAATACGCATTGGTGTAAAATACGCACCCCCCTTTTTGAGCCTGAAACTGGGGGAAAAAACGCAGTTCGGTTGTATTATATGCAGCAGAAAATTTTACCAAGCGGTGTTCTGAACTTTTGAAAATCGCGGTAATTTGTTATGAAAATCGACGCGGAGATAAAGTGCCGAAAATTTACAGAACACAATATTTTATTCAAATGCGTTTTTATTTCTTAATCTTGACTTTCCACATCGCGGCAATTAATCTGGAGGAAATTATTTATTTTAACAAAGCACGGGATAATGTTGCATTAAAGTATTAACAGAGTTTATTATTAATTTTTTTTTTAGCATACAGTGATATTGAAATTATACGTCGCCGTATTCTAACTATTCTTTGTGGAAATAATTTTATTTCAACAAAGCACGAGACATTGTTGCAAGTTTAACAGTTGTCATATTTATTTTTAGTTTAAGGTAATCTTGTTGAAAATTATGTAAATTTAACAGAGCAAGCGATATTGTAACATCAAAGTATTCATAGACTACGATTTTCCTCTTTTGAACTTGAAATTAATTAATTAAATAAATAGCTGATGTTATAAAAATAAAATCAAAAATTAACAAGCGTGTAAAGTGTAGTTATCAACACACCTCAAAAGCTGTGAAAAATGATGTACAATGGTGGGAAATATGCCTTCATACATCGAGGTAATCTTCGTGGATATCTTATTTTCTACAGAGCACAAGTAAATGATAACACTTAAGTTTCAACATACTTCATATTTCCTTTTTTAACTCTCAATCATTTTAACACTAGGCCGATATAAGATAAAGTAAAATTACTGTTTAATGTGTTGTAATCAGCACACGTTTATACATGCGAAAATCATAAACCAACCCCCGATTTTTAACAAAGAAAATAATCAAAGCCATTAATAAGGGCAGTAAATAATCAGTGCTCTAACTGTAAAAACAATGCTTTGGAGTCGGTAAACAACTTAATTGCCTGGAGGGGTGTTGAGGGGTAATTTTCAAGTGACAAGCGCACCTGTTCACAACATTGGCTTCCATTCATTGGGACGTGTAGAGGGGTGTTTATGTTGAAATGAATTTTCACCGAGTTATTTAAAACCTAAAATAAATTTTATTTTATTGCATTTCATTAAAAAATGACTTATTACTCTTTTGACCAAGTGTCTGACTGATTAGGTACATGTGTACTTTGATTACGGAAGCACGTGGCAAAGGAATGTGTCAACATCTATAAATAACATCGTTAATGGCGGCCTACACGGAGACGATGAACATGCAACTCAAATTAATTTTAACTTGCTTTTAAAGTTAATTTAACTATCAAAAGGTTATAAATATAACATTTTTAACAAGCCTACATTCCAACAATAACTTTCCGAAGTTTTAAATACGGCGATAAACAGCAAGAAATTGCATAAGTCTCTAGGTAATACTTTGGTATGTGCGTATGATAGCCATGTTTCACATGAAAGAAAAACCTATCAAAATCCCATTGTGGTGTAAAATACGCACCCCTTTCTCACAGAAAATTATTTTGGGAAAAAAGTGCGTATTATATTCAGCCAAATACGGTATAAGGATTGATACATGATCAAATCTACCATGAAGCTCAATGGGCTTTATGGGATTTGATCACATGACCAGCCCATAATTATATTCCAGAAGATGTTTAAAAAATGATACCTAATCTCTTAAAAAAAAATAAACATCAAGCTTCTCATACCTCCTCATCATAAAAACTTCCTCTCTTAGAAATATGCTGAGAGAATTTTTTTTCTTTCAATTTTCCACCTGCTGAATAGGTACTGTCAGATAAAAACCTGAAAAATTACAGAATTATTGAATCAGTTCACATAAGAAATAACTTATATTCATTGCTATTCCTTAATAAAAGATCAACTGATCTACACACATTCATTTTTTAAATCATCCAAAATCTGTCTAGTTAAAAGAAATTTTACTATAGCCATACATGTTAACTCTACTGCTTTAGGCGGAAGTCTACCGCTTTTTTTCTCCATCTCCCGCCTACCACTTTTATTCATAAATCTACCGCTTTTCTATAAAATCCATTTTTTGGTTCGCTTGGGTAGCCATTTTTGAAGCCACTCGTCATAAATCTCATTCAAAGCCAAAGTAATGAGCATGAAAAATATTTATATTGTCTATATAATTTATGTTAAAAGTGTCTTTGTATTCCGCATTGCAGTTGATATTTGAGTTTAATTATTGCAGTGGTCAATTTAGGCAGTATTAAATTAAAGCCCTACTGATCTTGGAAAGAAAATATATAAAAAGAATTCAAGGGGCCTTGAATAAATATAACCTACCATGTAGGAAGAAGCCTTCTTTTAAGACAAGTCAATTTTCTTGAAGAAAAGATTTTAAAATGATTTAAAATTCTAAATAATCCTGCTGTCCTCCTTTGAGAAGATCAGATTTACCAGAATGAGCTCCTGAAGGTTTGGAATTTGACGACCAGATTTACCAGAATGAGCTCCTGAAGGTTTGGAATTTGACGACCAGATTTACCAGAATGAGCTCCTGAAGGTTTGGAATTTGACCTTCTTTAATTTTGCATTCTAGAAACAGCTATGCTTATCCGAAGCCATTTTAAAATTCAGGTAGTTCTAAAATGGAAACCAGGTCTCCACAAGGTCTCTTTAAAATCTAAAGCTTTTTTCTTACTTAGATTTTGTTTCTGTTTCTGTTGGTAATTCGTCTTGGCATTTTGTTGGCTGGAAAATAAAAAAAATTAAAATGTATGTCACATGTACATGTAGCATAGACTAGGAGTTTGCAACATCTTCCTTGCTTTGGTTGTTCATATCATTTTAAATAAAATACTAATCTGGAATTAGGATACGATTTACCTGTGTTTCTTTGATTCTTATTCTCTGGCGATTTTTTGTCACTGATGCAGCCAATGGTGTAGTTAACTGTCGCCTTGGTGGCCCTCGTGGTCCAACCTAGACAGCATTAGAAGAGTTTTATTAGTAACCAGACTCTTTCTTTTTCTATGAAACACCACACAATACAGAGAAAGTAATGATAACTAAGTCACTGAAGGAAATGAACCAGAGGCCCATGGGCCACAATGCTCACCTGACTCGATATGGCTCTGCTGTACTTCATTAGCATTTAGCAGATTTTTTTTAATATATATTCCTATATCAAACTTGATCTTTATTATAACCCCAAGTGTCATGATTTTTATAGATGTACATAGCCCCATCCTACCTCTCAGGGTCATAATTTGAACAAACTTGAATCCTCAAGATACTTCTATAACAATGTGACTAAACATAGCTTTGCTGTTCTTGATTTTTTCCCATACATCCATATGTTTAACTCTGATAGTGCATTGTGGTCCAAACCTACCCCAGCGGGTTATGATTTGAACAAACTTGAATCTACACCACCTGAGGATGCTTCCATATCATTATGACTAAACATGGCTTTGCTGTTCTGGAGAAGAAGATTTTTAAAGATTTTTTCCTATATATTCCTTTGTAAAACTTTGATCCCCCATTGTGGCTCCACCCTACCCCCATGGTTCATGCCTGAAAAAAAAAAACTTGATTCTACACCACCTGAGGATGTTTTCATATTATTACGACTAATCATGACTTTGCTGTTCTCGAGAAGAAGATTTTTAAAGATATTTTCCTATATATTCCCATGTAAAACATCATTAATTGTGGCCCCACCCTATCCCTGGGGTTCATGATTTGAACAAACTTGAATCTACACTACCTGAGGATGCTTTCATATTATTATAACTAATCATGGGTTTGCTGTTCTTGAGAATTTTTTTTTTTAATTTTTCTACACTATGTAAACAAGGTTTCATATAAGTTTCAACTTTTTTTGGCCTAGTGGTTCTTGAGAAGAAGAATTTAAAAGGATACCACCAAATTTTCAATATTTCTTCATTATCTCCCCCAGTGTTTGAAACTCACTGCAAAATTAGCCAGACATGCAGGGCTGACTGCTAGAAAAAGTTGCCAGCCCTGCCAAAGATCTATTAGCCTGAGTAAATAATTGTCTATTATAAATTTGTTTTTAACGATTATGTGACTTGAACAAGGTCACCATAACTTCGAACCAGAATCTATAGACTGATGAATTCTTCCTCTTTGCTTGTTACACTTTGCTACTGATACTATTAATTGATATGAAAAATTTATCAAATATATGAATTTTTATTATTGAAAATTTGAATACATCCACCTGGGCGTCAATGCATGCAAATTTATTCACCCGCTGCAAAATTTGTGCGTCTCGGGCGGTCGGGCGCACAGTTATTTCAAACACTGATCTCCCCTTGAGAGAGGGTATGGCCCTTCATTTGAATAAATTTAAATTCCCCCCACCCAAGGATGCTTTGTAGCAAGTTTGGTTGAAATTGGCCCAGTAGTTCTGGAGAAGAAGTCGAAAATGGTAAAAGTTTACAGACGGACAACGGCTTTCAGCTCAGGTGAGCTAATAAATTAACTAGAATGGCTGCAACATTTCAGAGATCTTTTCAAGACCCTTATTTTAAATAAGCATACGTGTATATTATGACTCTGTTTATAATGTAAATTGGTAATAAGCAGAATCGAATCACACATTATCTTAGTTATTAAGCTTTTCATCTGCTTTAAGCAGCCAATAAACTTGTGAAAATGATCAAGTGGGCTTTGGACTTAGGTTAATTAAAGTTCAATGTTATTGTTAACTAAAATACACTCACCGGAGTTGGTGAATCAAAAAGCACAGAGTCTTCAAATGGAATTTTTCTGGCATCCTATACAGAAAAAAAAAGAAAAACATCTACAGAAGGAGTTTGAAAGACAGCAAAACATGATGATAATATTGAAAATTCTGATAACCATATAAAGTAATTAAAGGCTTGGTGTAGAGCATGAAGAGTGAAGCTTGGCAGAAATACATGTACAAGAAAATCTTCATAATAAAAATGTGTGGCATACATTATTCAGTGGTGTTGATATTTTTTTAAGAATTCCCTGGATACTTACATTCAGTGGTGTTGACATTTTTTGAAGAGTTGCCAAGATTCTCTTAGCAGTTGATGTAGATTCTTGATTTTTAGTCTTTGGTTGTATTTTCTGTCGGACAGGACAAGGATATTTCTGAAATAGGTAACCTAGTTGCAATGCCATAGCATAAATTAAAATGAATGAGCACAAATTTTCACCTAGATCTATTGTCTTATGTCCAAAATATTAAAGTTTGTAAGTATTCCTCAATACTGGTTAAAGGTTTCTTTTCTTGAAATTGATCAATAAAAATAGCAGGAAACCAGTTTTTGTCAAATTAAGGCCCATTTTCATTGGTATTTTGGTCAAGATGTCTTTTAGAATAGGTCTGATCTAGAGTTTGGTAATAAGGATGGTTGATTCCAAGTCTCATACTTTGAGATATGAACTGGCCATGGATTGACTATGCATTGCTATAGCATTTCACAATGAAGTTTTTTCCAAAATGCATGAACTGAAAAGATTTTACTTTGCAAATATGATCCAAACATTATTTCTACTTGCATTTTATTTTTGAGCATTGTAAAGTAAAATCATCCCAATCATTGGGAAATCAATACAATAGAAAACAAGCATTCTGAGAGTATTGCATAAGCAATACTAGTCCCCCTACCAGCAAGTGTAATCTGGTTCCCTTAAAAAATTAAAATGGTCAATGTTCAAATTGAAATGGTCGTGATTCCATCAAAAAACCAATGAAGTGGAACAAAATTCAAATTTGATCTATAACTCATCAAGGAAGACTCACATACCAAAAAGCAGCTCAATATCTGCAAGTGTTTAGGAAAAAGCTGGAAAACTAAGTGGGAAATCTGGTCCCCCTTAGAAATTAAAAAAGGCCATAATTCCGTCAAAAATCATCAAAGCAGAACAAAATGCAAATTTGATGTGTATCTCATCAAGGTACACTCACATAACAAAAATTAGCTCAATATCTGCCAGTATTTTGGGAAAAAAGTACAGAAAACTAAATTGAACAGACTGACAGACAGACAGATGGACAGATGAGGAGAAAATTTATAGTCCCCTCTGGTTTCACAAGTAGTGGACTAAAAAACAATCAGATCCCAGATGTTATCCCCAAATGAATTCCTTATTCTCATTACAACTGGTACTCACATGATTTTACCAAGACTACCACATATTGCACCTGAGTACAGCAGAGACTATACTTACCAAGTCTGGCGCAGTACGATTCATCCTTGATTTCTGGGATAAAGCTCCTCCAAAACATGTTTTTCCACTGTAAAAGGGTGACATGTGGTAGCTTTCACGTCCAGCATTACTTCTTTTCTAGTGACATAAAAAACTACAATCAAACTTCATGAAGATGCTTGCACTTTCAATTTAGCTCTAAAGATGAAGTTTTTGAAACTCGGATTTTTTTTATAGGGGAAAAAAGGTATCAAAGTTAATTTCATAAATAAATTGAAAATAATACAAAGAAGAAAAGGCAGATATTCGGGGGGAAAAAACAAACAAACAAACAAAAAAACATCAAGCCTATGTTGCAGTTTAACAAAAAAATTTCAGGATACACTTTTGAAATGAACATTGAACAATTCACAGCAATTCATTTAAATAGTTACGCAGATACAGTTTAATTACCTCATCTGATGTGCCAAATAATGTGACATCAAAACCTGGTGTTTTCCATACGGCAGGTTTTCTGGACATTTTTGTGTTGTATTCAGCTGTCCAGGTGGCAGCCTGATTTAATTCTAAAATTCAAATATAAAGTTTAATTTTTTTTTAAACAGGAAATGCATTGCATCAATTTGTGTAACTTATTCTTCCATTTTCCTACATCAGAATTTTGTTTAAGAGGAATTCATGGGAAATTGATAGAACTTACATCTACATTACAGTAATAGAAACCCATTTATATCAAACTTGGATACATGAATTCATGCTTACAATGAACTCAAATTTTTTCTACATTTTATTTTTTTTTTCACATAGTAGAATGAAAGAAAAAGTGAGCAAGCTCACATACCCCACGCTCCCCCAAAATTCAACAATGCAACACATAATGAATGGCACAGTACATCTTAAATACACAGTACAATAATTCAAAAAGGGGCATTACTTGCAAAAAATCATCACATCAAAACTTCTTGCATATAAGGACATTCAAATCTTTGTATGTTACAAATTTAACTGGGCTGAAGTTTCTAGATAAATAATGGAACCAAAATTTCTTGGTAATATACAAATCACTACATTATGTCTGAAATACCTACAAAGTTTCAGGAAATTCAGTGCAGGAGTTATGCTGACAAACTGTTATTTAAATTCCTCAGTGATTTCGATTTGTTAACGAGTGTAAGTCCATGTCCAACACATGACAATTTACACATTTAAATAATTGATGGAAACAAAATTATGATGTAGTCATATGAATTTGTTTATATACTGTACTTATGAAATTATTTAAGCCAAAGCATCAATTTGAGAGGGGGGGGGGGGGGGGTGAGAACTATCTAAGATTGTGTGTGTGTGTGTGTTAAATAATTAATATTTTGATCTCAAAATCAATCAGGTTCTTTTAAGGTTATAAAATATTTCACATAAAATTTCATTACAGAAGCTGATTCCAGTGGATTTCCTTATTACCTAGCTGGAAAGTTTCTTCAATAATAGGCAAAACTCTTCAGGCAAAAATAATGGAATTGGAATTTCCTGGTTATATGCACATCTACACATTGTGTCCTAAATATCTGCAAAGTTTGGTGAAATTCTGTGCAGCGGTTTAAGAGGAGTTGCACTGACAAACTCTTCATCTCTATATTCAAGATGTGGCCAAAAATCTAAGTTGAAAAGTGCCGAAATTCCCAGAAAAAATAAAGGAATCGGAATTTCCTGGTAATATGCACATCTACATATTGTGTCCTAAATATCTGCAAAGTTTGGTGAAATTCTGTGCAGCAGTTTAAGAGGAGTTGCGCTGACAAACTCTTCATCTCTATATTCAAGATGTGGCCAAAAATCTCAAGATGTGGCCAAAAATCTAAGTTGAAAAGTGCCGAAATTCCCAGAAAAAATAAAGGAATCAGAATTTCCTGGTAATATGCACATCTACACATTGTGTCCTAAATACCTGCAAAGTTTGACCAAATTCTGTGCAGCGGTTTATGAGGAGTTGCGCTGACAAAAAAAAACAGGACTGACTGACTGACTGACACACTGACTGACTGACTGACTGACGGACGGGTCAAAAACATTATACCCCCCACAACTTGTTGCGAGGGGTATAAAAATTAATAATAAATGTAACTAATTATTAATATAATGAAGTAACTAAGCCATCCCTGGTTTGTTATGCCAATATGGTGTATAACAGCACTGAAAAAGGAAAGGTCAAAACAATTTCCTGATAAGACAAAGTATACTTCCTCTACTTACTGACACTTGGAGCTCCCACTGAATGCTCCATTTCTCCATCTCTTCCATTCTGTAAGATCTCTGTCGATTCTTTAACCTGTGGTTGTTCCTCTTTATATCGCGATGAATTGGAAGGATACAAATTCATTGATTCATTTTTTTTACTGACACCTGTTCAAATGAAAATCATATCACTATACAATGATAAAGTGAAGTTTGTAATATTTTGTTTTTATGCAAACATGTGATTTGACATGTCTATGGCACAAGATACCAGTGGCCACAATACACATCTCCTTTAATTACATGTAATTTGAAAAAAAAAATATTAGAAAATTTAAAGAGATGTCTATCATTTTGAGAAATCATTGCAATCAACCAAAACTAAATTGAAAAGAAAAAAGAATGGATTATTTTATTTTTTTATTGTAACGAATAAAATTTTTCACATTGTTACTGATAGACATAGCTGCAGAACTGTAGCATTATGGTTTTATATTTTAGTCTTTGACCATAACCATGATAACACTACAGATCCAGTAATGCAAATAAAGTGCAATTTACAGCGAAGATTTTCTGCGCACTTTCAGGATGTATTTTGCCACTTTCCAGCATTGGTCAATCAAGGACTTTTCAACCCCTTATTCTAGACATATTTTATAACTGACCGGTCTATTTTACCCACCTCCTAACCCTTTACAGTTGTCTCTACAGACTAATGAACTCGCTTGTTGTGAATTTTATGCCAACCGACAACAAATTCACAAGCGAGTTTATTGGTATTTATTCATACAAAAATACACACATATATATGCCACACAAACGTTGATCAGCAAAGCTTACTTGAGCCTGTGGCCGATGTAAGCAAACTAATTATTGTAACAAATTTATCATTACAAAGTCTCACAGGGACAATGATTGTATCAAAGTGACATTAAAAAAAATTACCTTCAAAAGTGTAATTGTTCTCTGACAAAGGGGATCCCGATGTAAAACCCCTAAATGTATCTGTTCTGGCCTGTACTGAGTTATTCGGCAGCTGACCATATTCTGCTGTGTTGGATTTTAGGTTTGAACTGTTACTTGGAAATATCTCTTTTTCTTCCCTACCTTTTTCCTGTTAAAATAACATCCAGCTTAATCACAATTATCAACAAAATTTTGTGACAAATTTATATTAGTATGTAAATACTGCATATAGTTGAGGATATTACATTGTAAATTTTCAACCTAAGAAAACCACTGTCCACCTCGGCTGCACCTCAGTTGACAATGGTTTTCTTAAGCTGAAAATTTTCAATGTTACCCTCAACTACATGCAGTATTTATATCATACTGTATGTTTTATACAAATACAAAGAAAGGGGAAGTGTGCATGCATAGATTCGGCGCAGTCACAATTTTTTTTAGAATATCACCTTTTGTCATCAATGTTGATTGTTGCTAAGATCTATTGCGCTGGAGAGCGTGGTTTCATCATTCATAGGGTAACAGTGTTTTTTAACAAATGTTTCTCAAGGAATCTTAGTCTTAAACATCAAATATTGATTCATGCTTACTTTCATCTGAACTAATGTACACCATATACCTCAATATTTAAAACAAGCATCTTTGTAATGTATTTGTCTCAATAAGCACCCAGGCTCCATGAGCTTTCCCTCTATAATCATCCCTTTCCAATTTTCCAAGCACGCTTGACAACAGGGGCAAATTAAATTGGTGCTCTCAAGATTACCGGTAGTTATGATTTTGTATCAATTTACATGATTAAGCTAGAAATTAACTTGCAATCATACAAGTAATACAGTAAAACATGGTTATAGGGAACACTCTTCTAATGATTCACACTTACAGTGAAGTGATTTTCATTCCCTATGGTATTAAAATGTATATTGTACACATAATGGATATAGAGATTTACATTTAAAAGTAAATCAGAATTATTCATTCCTGGCATTTTACTATTAGAATGTTTTACTGTATAAACACTACAAGAACTCCAAAACAATGTTTTAGGAATACTACTAGGAATACTCACCTCTGTTATGGATTCATCGTTTTTTGAGGATCTTTTCACAGTCCTGACTAAATCAGTAAGCCAAGAGGGTGTTACAACAGACTTGACTGTATCTGTCAGTGATCCAAAAAAAGACTACAAAATAGAATGGAAAAATTACCAAAATTATTAAAGTTCAAGGACTAAACTCTTGGTTCTTTCTTAAGTGTACAAGCTTCACAGAAAAATATTTGGTGCCACAATCACCACACCTCATTCAGATCTGCTACGCACTGTTCCAAGGGCTTGCTTGGAAGACAAAAAAATTAAATTGAAACTTTTTACATGTTTTCCCCAACATTTATTTTTACCTGTCAATTCCACAAAATGTCATTGATCTCAACAACATTCCATCCATTAGCAGGTCTATCACCTATTACTTAACACTGAGATCTTTGGAACCACAACAGGTGATCAACACGTCAATTTGTAAACTCTTACCTGATAATTACGCTAAAACTCTGGAAGAAACCCAAAACATTGCTCAATAAGGGGAAGTGTACAAGACTACGGGGGCAGATATCAGAGAAAAACTAGTTATAATGTCTTAGGCCTTATGTGGTAAACTTGATGAAGTCAATTCAGCTTACACAAACACTGAAATCCCTCATCTCCTGAATACATCCCCTCCTCCTCCCTCACCCACCCCCATCCCAATACAACAAGAGAAAGGGAGGGAAAGACAGTGATATATGTATAAACATCCATCAAGATTCATTGGACCATCTGAAAAATCTTTTGCCTGATTTCAGTGGTAAAACATTATTATTATGGACCAAATGTCCAGCATCAATTTAGAGCTTAGTTTTATTTTTTGTTTCATAATGCTTCAAAGTGGCATTCATGTTGGGTTTGAAATACCTTGAGGGTGAGGTACCTGCATGGTTAACGCAACCAGCAAGTTGACCAATGTTATTAGTTACATCCAAACAGTATAAGGCTAAGTGGAAACTGCACAATTTTTAAAGAAATAGAAGGTTGAACAGGGTAGTGAAATAGGTGTAATGACTTGCATACTTAAAGTTTGGTGCAATTCTAAAAGGGAAGTAACTAGATTGAATAACTAGAAAGGACAGATTGTCAGTGTTAGCAATTAGCATAATGCATTTATCTGATTACAAGTGTAATTAAATTTGTAATTTCATATTCTTGTATTCTGAAAACAGAACAAATTTAAACTTTGGTCTGGCAAAATAATACTTGATCTGGTAAATCATAGAGATATATAAGACCTAATGTCTATTGATTTCGATTTCTCTCTTCCAAGATGTGTGGATAAAGGCTATGCCTGTCCACTTCTCTAAAGACAATAACAAAATGTTCCGTAAAATTTGACAGTTTTTGGTGAAGACTGCAATGGATGAAAATTAACTTCTTGTTTTTGAAAAACCTAAAATAAAAATAATAATGAAATCTTGTGTCCTTCTGATTCCTGGATTAACATGCCCTATTTATCCCCTATTACCCAAACTCTGTCACCATAAGTGGAAAACACATCAGGTTACTCTCTGAATAATTTTTTTGATTTGTTTCAGTTCTTGTTTGCTACACTTAGTAATGAACTTTAACATTGTTTTCAGAACTATTTCAAAAAATTCATTTATTGGGCTTGTACAAAACTACTCTAAATAGAACATGTATCACATCTGTGTACATTACGTCTAATGAACCCTAACTTCGTCAACAGGGCCCTCTACATTATGTCAACGTATTAATTAGAAATTTTTTTCCAGTTTAAGTTTTTTTTCCTTTCATCTTAAACTTGTAAACATAGAAAATTAGTTTTGATGATTTGAAATAGTATTAAATTGTATTTTAGGAAAAGTATCAACAACAGAAAAAAATAACATTAATATAACATATTTTTTATGCAATAACGTCACGCTATGTTATCTCCAACGTGTAGCATATTAGGGCAAATTAAGACGAAAAATAACAATATTTTTAGCCGTATTCAATATGGTATGTCATATCAATCATTTGGCAAAGACCTTCAATAAATATGACTGACATATAAAAATGAGCATACTGATGCACATGTCGGAGGTATCGATGGAATTGTGCTTAAAGGAAAAAGTACTTACTGATTTCACATAAAATTTGACAGATACAATAGATCATGTGTAATAGTTACCCAGGTATTTATTTTTGACATATTCTTGAACTTGACTGTAAAAATTTCTAGGCATTTGATTGTAGATTTTCAGCATGTAAAAAATGACGTCACAATCACATTTGTTAACAAACAGTGCAGAGTTTCACGAAAGTGACGGAGTAAGGGTAGTGACTAGTGATGGAGTTAGAGGGTTTGGCAATAAAGGTTAGAAAAATGTTAATTCTGTAATATCTAAATCATCATTTTGAAACAAGAAGGAAAACACAACATACCAAATTAGGATTCAAACTTTGGCCTCCTGAACTCCAAACAGGTGCTCTACCAACTAAGCTATCTGTCTACCAGGGGTGTGTTCAACAGCATAGCTGCTACGTACCCTCTACGTAAAGCTACGCTCTTGAACTGAGAGCTAGCCTAGCTGCTATGTAGGAAGAGATAGCAGGGTTCGACACTAACATTTTAAGGTTTTAGTCTGGCCGGACTAGTGCTTCTTTACTTTATTAGTCCACAAGGGATTTTATGAGTCCGTCAAAAAAAGGAAAGAAACATAAATATTTTTTAACATTAATTTAACGTGACAATTAATATATGTTTTATACTTTATTTGAAATAAACAAAGCATTTACATGAAATATATTATTCCACAGATTCATTGAAATCTCACAATCAGCAAGTACCATCGTATTCCCAATCTCGTTTTTTTTTGTGTCTTTACATTACATCCAACATCTTTCGTTAGTCATACTAAATCATGATCTCTAAAACCTTATACTTCATATCGATCAGTCAAAAAAATTAAGCGCAGAATTGACTCGGAATTGTGTAACTACCCGCAAAAAGTTAGAAATCTAAAAATACATGCAAGGTTTTCCAGTAAAAGTTGTCGAGAACCAGACATTGGTAATTTATTGATATATCTATATTTGAAATTTAACACTTAGGGGCTAGGTTAGCTGTCCGTTCAATAGAGATAGATATCTACAACCTAGCTGTTAGGTTAGCCACTACGATCTTGAACGCAGCCCAGTGAACCATCCGTCTGACTGCAACATGTTAAATTTCAAAACATTGCATTGTTATGTTGTTGGAAAATGAAAAATTTAACAAAATTGTCATGATTAGAATATTACCTTAATACCTGTAGGACATACGATAAACATATTAGATAGTGTGTGTCTGCTTTCTGTGTACAATATTTTAATTCTGAGTATCGCATATAAGCCATTTAAAATGAAATTGCTATTTCGAGGAAATTCAGAATGTCACATTTCACAGCATGAGAAATGACATTGTACGTCTTCTTGGACAGTTATGAAGCTGCAGTTAAGAGGTTTATCATACATTTGATTTCTGCTAAATATCACAAATACTCGCTTATTTTTATTCCTTCAATCAATCTATAAAAACAGAATACAGAAAATATTTTCCTCGAATACACAAATCACTTTACCTGTCTTCTTTCGTACGGTTTAGATGTTCCGTGAAATCGTTTGCTTTTACTTTTTCCACCTCCGCTGTCGGTCATCGTGGATAAAGTGTACTCCAAATAAATGTTTTAAAATCAATTCAAAATAAGAGAAATCCACGCGACATACATTCAAAAAGATGGCTGCAAGGTCTCTAGACAAGTTGTACTTCCGATGACTCGAGAAAGACTTAATTTGTAAAGGGTCCCTTTGTGAGAAATAATTACAGAGGCTGTAAAAATGTAACATGACTAGTATTTCATAAACATAATTGTTATTCAAAAATTGAAGTGGGGCATTTAATGCCTCCTCTTTTTTTTTTTTAAAGGAAAAATTCCTGAATCTGCCTTTCTTTTCACAGCTAGTCTAACATTTTAGAAATATAATTTGTGAGACCAGGTCAACCTTGATGCTCTATTGCTATACATAAAAGTAATGTCTAAGAGTTGAGATGTAAAGTTTATACAAAATTATTTATTTAGTGCAGTGGATTCAGGATGTCCAATATGTCTACTGGCCATTCTTTGAGAAACTACTAAGCTGTGACAGTTTTATAATATAATCCTTTTCTCAGAGGAGAGGTCTATTTCTTCAAGAACTATACAGCCCTTTCACAGTAACTGCTTTTCTGCAGGGCAAATCAATAACATTTGGCAAAGTTTTTGATGGTAGATAATAAATGACATTTATTAAACAATGGAATTGCTGCTAGATGTCATAATTTTCACCAAAGTACAGTCAAATCTAATTATCTCGAACTCAATGAAAATGTGAAAAAAACTTCTGAGGTATCTGAGAGTTTGAGATATTGAGGTTAAATACTTATTAAAGAAAAAGTACTTGGGACTTCCAAAACACGTACGTACGAGATATCCATTGTATATTCTAGTCATCATGCAGAAGTTCAACTGTATATACATTTATAATCAACTTGCCCTGCAAAAGAGAAGTACCACAGTTATTGTGAAACAGTCTATTGTCATACATGCTGTATTTTGGATGAAACATGTTGTTAATTTTTTTTTTGGGGGGGGGGGGAGCAATTTTATCTTTTAAATTTTATGAATGTATAACCAGTATACCATTTCTGCAATTTTTTTTCAGTTCTTTCAAGCAATACTTCTTGTCAATCACCTTTCCTTATATACAGCCAAGTGACACATGCCTCAGATGTTAATTGTCAAGGCAAAGTTATTCCATTATGTCTGATATTCCCATTCTCCCAAGAGTTGATAGTAACAACCTTAGTCTCCTAAAAAAAACTGCTTGAAATGTTACATGGAATATTTTGCCATTATTTCCAAGCTGGGGTACAGGAGGAAGGTTGGACATTGAGCTAACAACTCCACCCCGTTTAAAAGCCTAGCATTGCAGAAACTGCAACAATACAAGTACATGCATGACCTGGATCCGGAAGATGACTCCCGAGCAGAGCTCAAGATGTGTTGAATTGAAAGCCATCAGGAAGCCAGACAAATCCTCTGTTGATGAACAAAGTCTTAAGATGTTACAACCACTCCTGTAAAAGATATAGGAAGAGGAAAAAAACTACCAGATAACTGGAATAACAGTATACCTGGTCAAACTAAAGGTGACAATATCACAGTGTCTCAATTGATGAGGAATCAAGCTCTTATCCATAGCCAGCAAGATTCTAACATGATTACCATTAAACTTATAAAGAATGACAGAAGCATTGGACAAGAAAATAAGATCAGAGCAAAAAGAGTTCTGTCAAAACAGCAGATCACAGTGCCACACTAAACATCATCATTGAACAGTCCATCAAACGGTAATCTCCTCTTTACTCAATCTTTGTGGAAGTTTGAGAAGGCCTTTGACAGTGTGGATAAGTCCACCATTTGGATGTTAATGCAGCATTATGGAATTCTACCAGAGTTCATCAACATCATCAGAAATCTGTATGAAGATGCCACAATTCCCATCATCCAAAAAGGGAAGCTCACAGATCATTTTAGTGTGGAATCTGGGGTAAGACAGGGCTGCATTCTGTTAACAACCACATTCCTGATAATCATCCACTGGATCATGCACGAAAACAAAGTACAGCAAGTCCAGAATCCAGTGAATCTTCACCATACAAAATTGTCATGCTTGCATCAGAAACACAAAAGTAAACATTAAGAATACCGAGGTGATGAGAATTAAAACAATCAGGAAATATCAATTCAGTTAAATAGAGAGAACATCAAAGAAACTACCGTATATACTGCTCGCCTATAAGTCGGTTTTTTGGGAGTTAAACTTTGGTCCAAAACTCTTTATCCGACTTATACGCGAGTTATAAAATGATTGGTATTTTAGTGGGTCAATCCCTCTAATTGAAGTTTAAACAAGAGGCCCATGGGCCACATTGCTCACCTGAGCAAATTGGCTAGGGAAAAAAAAGCAAAAATCAGTTTAGTACTGAAAAGTTAACGGGGGGGGGGGGGGGGGGAGGGGGGGGGGTGAATTTTAAACTACCTGATGATGCTTTCATATCAATATAACAAATGGTATTGCTGTTCTTGAGCAGAAGATTTTTTCCCATATATTCATTTGTAAAAATTTGATCCCCCATTGTGGCCCCACCCTACCCCTGGGGTCCCTCATTTGAACAAATTTCATTCTACACTACCCAAGGATGCCTCCATATCAATTTTACTAATCATGCCTTTTCTGTTCTTGAGAAAAAGATTTTTTCCTATATATTCCTCTGTAAACTTTGATCACCCATTGTGGCCCCATCCTACCCCCGGGGGTCATGATTTGAACAAACTTGAATTTACAATACCGGAAGATACTTCCATATAAATATGACCAATCATGGCTTTGCTGTTCTTGAGAAGAAGATTTTTAAAGATATTTTCCTATATATTTCTATGTAAAACTTTGATCCCTCATTGTGTCCCCACCCTACCCCCGGGGGTCATGATTTGAACAAACTTGAATCTACACTACCTGAGGATGTTTCCATATAAATATGACCAATCATGGCTTTGCTGTTCTTGAGAAGATTTTTAAAGATATTTTCCTATATATTTCTATGTAAAACTTTGATCCCCCATTGTGGCCCCACCCTACCCCCAGGGGTCATGATTTGAACAAACTTGAATCTACACTACCTGAGGATGCTTCCATATAAATATGACCAATCATGGCTTTGCTGTTCTTGAGAAGAAAATTTTTAAGATATTTTCCTATATATTTCTATGTAAAACTTTGATCCCCCATTGTGGCCCCACCCTACCCCCGGGGGTCATGATTTGAACAAACTTGAATCTACACTACCTGAGGATGCTTCCATATAAATATGACTAATCATGGCTTTGCTGTTCTTAAGAAGATTTTTAAAGACATTTTCCTATATATTTCTATGTAAAACTTTGATCCCCCATTGTGGCCCCACCCTACCCCCAGGGGTCATGATTTGAACAAACTTGAATTTACACTATCTGAGGATGTTTCCATATAAATATGACCAATCATGGCTTTGCTGTTCTTGAGAAGAAGATTTTTAAAGATATTTTCCTAGATATTTCTATGTAAAACTTTGATCCCCCATTGTGGCCCCACCCTACCCCCGGGGGTCATGATTTGAACAAACTTGAATCTACACTACCTGAGGATGTTTCCACATAAGTTTCATCTTTCCTGGCCCAGTGGTTCTTGAGAAGAAGAATTTTAAATGATGCCATTATTTTTTCACTAATTCCTAATTATCTCCCCTTGCAAGAGGGTGTGGCCCTTCATTTGAACAAACTTGAATCCCCTTTACCCAAGGATACTTTGTGGCAAGTTTGGTTGAATTTGGCCCAGTGGTTCTTGAGAAGAAGTCGAAAATGTGAAAAGTTTACAGACGGACAGACGGACAGACAGACAGACGGACGGACGGACAGACGGACGACGGACAAAATGTGATCAGAAAAGCTCACTTGAGCTTTCGGCTCAGGTGAGCTAAAAATACAACCGACTTATAGGCGGACCGACTTATAGGCGAGTATATACGGTATCTCAGCAAGGATGGGGGCACAGATGACAATGTCAAAAGCCGAATCAAGAAGGCAAGGTATCCATTCAATACCTTCAGACAAAGATGGAACTCCCAAGCACTTTCCATGAACAGGTCAGGGTTTTCAACATCAATGTTAAAGCAGTTCTTCTTCATAATTCTGAGACCTGGAAGGTGATCACAACAATTAATAATAAATTCCAGACTTTTGTGAACAAATGTCTGTGCCATATTCTTAACATCAGATGGTCCGATACTATATCAGACTATAGCCTATCACAGAGAATCAACCAAAATCCCATTAACATAGACATCAGAAAGAGAAAATGGGGATGGATCAGCCACACAATGAGCAAACCACGAGGCATCACAAAACAAGCTCCTGAATGGAATCCACAGGGAAAGAGGAAAATTGGGAGACTGGGAGACCCAGGCAAACCTGGAATAGATCTATAGAAGCAAAGGCAAGAGATGGAGGATTTACTTGGGTCCAGTGGAAGAAAGCAGCCAAGAACCAAAGTCCCTTGGTGAGTTGTGGTTGAAGCCTATCAAGTAAAATAGTAAGTCAGGTCTCTTTAAAAACACACACACACAAAAGAAACAAACCTTTGATCCTCATATTTTTGCCTCAGGATCATGATCATGTGATACATTTTTGTTAAAAGAACAAAAGTTAAGGTGCTGTGTGAGTGCCACTTTCTTCTTAAATATAAAATACAGAGGATCAATCCGTGGAATGCTTTATTATACCCATATACTACACGTCAAATAGTTAGACTATGTTTGTTTACAGGATCTATTATAAATAATTATACAACTTCAATAACAATACTTCATTTTCATACAAGATTGCTCAGAACAATGCATAGGACCTACCACTACAACACATGCAAGTCAACTATCCCGCAGGCTTACTCTCAATATGTTTTAAGAATTACAACATTTTCATTTACACATGTTTTATTATATAAGGAAATTAATATTTCGTCTGTTCTAATATAATCAACAATTCATAGATATAACATTTGCTACTTCAAACAAAACAAATCCTTGTAAAAAATAAAAGCTTGTGTACACCAGTGAGACTTGAAATAATATGTTTCACTTCCCTTGTACTTCAACACGTTAATCTATACATGTAGATTGGTAATTGTAGAAGAAATATTTTCTGACCCAGAATAATATCATTTACTGGGTTGTTTTATTTTCAATTAAAAACAAGATTTTTGTTTAAGAACCTATGGCATTTTTCCCCAGTGAATAACAAAGGGGAAATGGAACAAAATTTTGATCAAGTTAAAAAAATTTTAATTTACGTACTGCAAGTCATTTTAATTCCACAGTGCTTAAACTTCATGATTTTCTACAATGGTATCAATTGCTTTATTTCACATTATATGTGTGTGCCTTGTAACAGATAATTTATCTTGTGAACTGATAATTTTATTCAGCGGTGGTTAATTTCACAGAAAAATAATAATAGTTACGGTACCATACCAGCAAAATTAAATAACACAATCTAAAGAATCTGTTTTGTGTTAAAAAGGAGGGACATTGTCCTCTACATAAAAGTTTCATCAGCAACTTTTTAAACACAATTACTACTGTTAAGTTACTTTCATATCACATCTGGCTCTGTTAAAAAAAATCTCACAAAAAAAAAATGTACATATGTATATTCTTATCCATATATGCAAGGTTAATGCCACATAAGAGTATGAATCAAGATAGAAGCTGTTATAATAACTTAAGAAGACATATCATCACTTAATTTAATAATAAGAGTTTGCATGTAATTTGTTTTCTACCATACATGCTTTACTCTAGAGTAAGCAGGGTTTATATGTAGTACTGCTTGGTTGTTTCTCTCAGAATTCTTTACCCAGGGGAAATGAAAAGAGCTCAAAATGATTCAAATACAATAGTCAAATATAGACCAAGAAGAAAAAGAAAATATCAAAATGCAATTTTGTTGCCTTGAAACAGTTTTCATATTTCAAGCATTGTGATATGTTTTGTTTTTTTTTAATTAGATGTACAATGTAAACATGATAAAATATTGCTCATGTAATAAAAACTTCTGGTTATTTGCAAAATATACCAACTGTGAAAATTGCATTACATTATACAGAAACATATACATGTGTAAAAGGTGTTTTTTTTTAAAAAAAAATGATATTGTGCATGATTTGTTTATACCTATATTCTTACTGACCCCAGATGTCCAAATGTAACACTACTTCTAGTGCTCATGTGACAACTGTAAAATACCATAAAAAGCCTTACAATCTAAAAAAGAAAAAAAAAAGACTGAAATTATGAATTTGGTTTATGGTTATGACAAGTAACACTTTCAGTTTAATACTTCAATACAAAGGCATAACCCAGACAGGAAGGGGGTTATAGACATAAAAATCAACAAAAGCACATACAAAAACAGCAGTAACTCTTTCTATAATAACATTCTAAACTTTATGCATGTGTGTGTGCTTGTTTGTAGTTGTTGTTTTTTTTTCGGGGGGGGGGGGGGGGGGGGGGGGGGGAACAAAATAAAACTGTAAACCAAGAAAATAAAATCTGTGATCTAAAAGTAAAATGTACAAAATACAAATTAGAGAAAATTGATTCCAGTGCATAATCCATAAATATTCCATATGAGTGTAATACAATGAATTCTATCACTTTGTATGATAATGTCAATAGTTTATATAAATACATGTATCCAATCATAATGTTTCTGAAGTGGCAAACTTTCAATGCGGAGTCCTTTCAGAAAGACTTATGCAATGTACATGATGAGGAATCCTAATACAGGGATTTCATGCCCTCCTCCTCAAACTGCGCCCAGGCATCATTCAGTTCTATAAATATCAACTTTGCTAAGGCTTCATGGGGTGATCCACCAAGCTAAAAAAAATAATAAAAAAGGGTACAACATTATTCTAAAGACTACAACTTGCTATGAAGCAATACCTGGGAGGATTGATCAAACAAGCTGATGCAGCCTCCATTAAAGCTGCTTGGAACACCACCCTGAAGCCTGCCCTAGAGTGGCTTGGAGCACCAGTAACTACATTGATTTGTATGCCATTTAATTTGTTTTCAGCCAAAAATCAGTTTAAAAGCAGGAAAATATGTACACGTTCTTTCAATTTTGTTTATAAATGATGCATGAAATTTTCAATCTAAAAACAATTTGGAATTGGAAAACAGTAAAACCAAGAGTAAGAATATTTTGCACAAGTCTGCATTTTTCATTTCTTTATTGACAAAGTGTAACACAGCTGCATGTGTACATCATTTTATCTTACTAGCTTAGTTTTTCTTCTGATAGAATTTTTGTTTTGCTTTTTATTCCGTCTTCAATTGTTTTTATTTCTTTACCTTGTCAGGATGGACAGAGAGCACAGCTTTACGATAGACTTTTTTCACTTGGTCTGCCGTCACTAAGTCATGCATGCCAACCTGTTGCCACCTATTTTCACCATCCCACAACACTTTGTCTAATGAACACAGCAGAGCTCTCACATTACGTTCCTTCCCTTCTATCCAATCCAAAACCTGTCATCAACAAATTCATTTCTTATCACTTTTATAACTATAATAAACATGAAAAAGTTAATAATCTTACAAAACAAAACATACGTTGGTATGTCATTTTAAAAATGCAATCATCAGGAAGTACATTTAGTACTTAATACATAGTTAAAAGCTTAGGCTTTCAGGATTTATTCATACATGTACTTCAAGTGCATGTGTAATAAAAAAAAATACTGACATTGATAGTGAGAATAATTGTTCCTGCCTTTTAAAAGTTACATACCTACAACTTCAATAGTCCACATTCAAAAACGAGACATACATGTAGTACCAAACTAAGACCAAGATTTTTTAACATCATGCATCAACTGGAGGCTTTTTATGACTAATACATGTATATATTGACAAATCAGATCCTACTTTTAATTTGTCTGGATCCATTTCTTCAGCTCTCTGTTGCTTTTTCATGGCTCCCAGTGTTTTTGGTGTACTGCTCTGTTTGGAGCTGGTAAACTGGTGGTTACCAAGGAGATCTTCAAATGCACTTTCACTAACTTGAGGCTTTGGACCTAGTATATAATGTTGAAATAAAGGAAGACTATGACAAAAAAAAGTCTTGCATTATTATGCAAATGTATTAATCTATCTATCATGTTTGTTAACCCTGAATTTGTATGTTAAACAATCAAGATCTTAATCCCACTTGAACTTTTTTTTCAATAAAAATATATTACCGGTAATTAGTCCACATCTAAAACTATATCTGTCATGATCTTAGAAGACAAACAATGTTGCATCTAAGATCCATTTTTTTAATTGTTAACAGCGCCATACAGAAATTAGTTACCAAATGGTTTTCTAGTGCCCCTTTCATCTCTTCCGCCTGTGACAAATCCTCCAACATTGTAATTAGGTTTACTGTAAGTCTGTTGTTTTGGAGGATTCTGGGGTCTTGCAACTTTGGGTGACCCTTGTGTTTTAGGTCCACTAGTTGCTGGTGGTTTAGGGGTTGGCTGCTGTGGAGGTTTGTTCAAGTTGGGAAAACTACCACTGAAATTACCTTTACTACCAGCACTTAGGTTACCTGAAAATGAAAAATCATAACAATTCAAAATGGAGAAAATAATGTAAATTTGCTCTTTTTTTATAAAAGGTCATAAAATCAAATTACCAAATTCAGCAAAAGGGTCATATGATGAATTTGTAGATTGTCCTTTGACATTTTGACCTATTGTGAGAGGGGAATTGTTTCCTGAGCGACTCTGGCCAAACAATGGCTGTTTTTGGCCGGTTGTAAACGTCCCACTACTATTTCTTGGAATGTTTGCATTGCCCATTCCTGAAAACTGTTGAAAGTTAGAAGCAGAGCTACTCTGATGCATGCTCGAGCTAGAGTTGTTTCTGGGAATGTTAACAGTGGGAATAGAATCTTTTACATTGTGGATGTCCCAGGAACCTAAGAGATTAACATCATCCTTAGACCCACTGGAAGTATCATTTAAAAAGTCAAACATGTCATCTTTCTTTGTATTGGTTGTTTGTGATTGTTCAGTACTTGATGAAAATGAATCTAGCAAGTTATCAACATTTGATACACTTCCATTTGTTTTTAAGTTTGCTGAACTATGGTCTTGGAATGCATCAAATAAGAAACCATTTTCCTCTGTAGATCTCGAGTCTTTGTTTGACTGAACCTCATTGTTTGAACTAAAGGAACCAAAGTCTGCAAACGGATCAAATGTTTGTTGTTGATTTAGAGGTTCATTGTTGCTTTTATCTCCTATATCTGATGAATTAACCTGTTCCTCAGTTTTCCTTACATCACTTTTGTCCTCACTAAAATCTAACAAAGTCTCTGCATTGACAGGTTTGCTCCTCTGTTCTGACAGTGCAGCAAACTCATCATCATCACTACCAGACAATAACCCTTCCCCCTCCTCTCTGCTTAAAAAATTGCTCTGTTTATCCTTATCTTGGTTCTCTTCTTGATGTGAATTCTGCCAAGACAGAGAGGAAAGAAAACTTGCTGCACTGGAAGCCACATTTGCTTTTGATTTCTCTTCATTGTATTTTGTAATCCTTTCTTTTCTTTGGTCCTGATTCTCTGTTGAGGACTCCTTGTTGGGCATGTTTGGAACATGTTCTGGGCTGGTCTGTCCACTAGAACTCTGACTAGATGATCTAGATAACTGAGACTTGGCTCTTTTTGTCACTCCTGTAAAATTAAATAAGAGTTTTAAAAGAAAATAAGTTTTGCGAATGAGAGATTCATTTATAATGAGCTTTTGAATACAAGTACAGTAAAACTTGTCTAATCCAGATACCTCTGGTTCCTTAGAAATTTGCTGGATTAGACAACATTCCAGTCTAGACAATGTTATGAACAATTGAATTTACTGAACAGGGGTAAAGATTGTCATTGTATTAGGCAGAATTTTGGAATACACAACTTTCGGATTAGTCAAAGTTGAATATATTATCTTGAACACTGATACCTGGAATATAGAGAGATGTCAAAGTGTGTTGGTAGTCCCAACCACTTATTCTTTATGCTTTTACCCTGGTTATCTTGAATCATTGGATATCTCGAAGTTTAATCTTGGTACTGTTGAATTCAAGATAATGAAATTTGACTATACAAGTATATGCAAACTTAATAAATATTAGGGATGTCAACGAATAGTCGACTATTCGACCATCAGTCGAATGGACCGACGATCGAATAACGAAACGACATTCGAATAAATAAATTCAATAAAAGAGTGATAAAGAGTTGGAATTCTCAGCCTAAAATTGAGAAACCGTCTTCCCTCAGACATAGTCGATAAGATAATTTACCTCATTAAAAACTGCTGACTTTACATGTTGAAAGTACAGTGATTAAAAACGCTTCACTTCCGCGTGAATTATTGTCAATTAATGTGTTGTTTTCATAATAAAATTATCTCGCCATACTGCGCTTTCTTTGTAAAACTATTAATTGGACTTGATCTCATATCATGTACCCATTATAGCCGTGACATGTTTGGACACTACGACAATTATTATAAAATTAATATTCTTTTACATATTCTAAAGACATTTTGATAATTGGTACAAAAAGTATTTCCAAATATTTAACATTATCAAGGTCACCGTATGTGCCCCACATCATTTTAATAAGCTTTAAAAAAATATATCACACAGTCATTTTTTATGCTTCCTAAAAAACCGACTTTACAGACCAATTTATGAACATGATTGACGGTGAAATCCTACATTTTGGAGAAATTAACGGTCTATATTAAGTAAATATAAACACGCTATCCACATTTTAAGTCCAAGTGAACATCTGTGTGTAACATTTTATGTAACTTTTTAATCAATTTAAAAAAAAGGGGGATTTGGGATTAAATATGTGATGTACCAGTGAAGTTTGAAATAAAATTTTAGTTTCCGAAAAAGTTTCGAATATATTCGACTGTCGTTCGAATAATGCAATCGAATATTCGACTAAAGAAAATAAATATTTTGACATCCCTAATAAATATAAAACCATATCTGTTTCCCAGTTCATGTATGGAAGATAATGATACAAGGAAGCATTAGAGTATTATACTTATTTCTAAAACACTTTATTCCCTGCCTATGCTAATGATGACAGATAAAAAAGAGTTTCAGTCCATGGTCAAAATCTCACCGTAATCTTTAAATGTGTCATGCATTTCTTCTTTGTTGGAAAAGAGAATCTTGGGGGATAACTTTGAGCCATCAAAGGATTTCCAGGGTTGTCCTTTATTTGTAGGCCTTTCATTCTTAGACACAGCTAAATCCAGCATTACACAAAACAGTTCAGGATATTTTTCAGCAGTATCTAACTGGTCTAAATCAAATCTGAAACCCCCAAAAAGATGAATTATGCTTAAAATTAAATAAATGTTCTAAATATCAATAGCAAGCACATTTCTCTTGTAATTACATATGTACTTCGTAATTTATAAATCAAAACTGTAATAAATGTTGGCAAATTGACTGTATAAGGAAAAAGATACAAAGGCTAGCATTCAGTTGTACTAGACTGAGATGAAAAAATAAGGTTTTTATACAATACTTTGTACATGTATTGAGAAAATTGATCACTGATAAAAATGACAAACTCAATTTACTTTGAGAAAAAACATCACTTTGTTGCATTACTATGTTTTCAATAAATGTGTTCCTTTTTACTATCTGTAAACCTACTCTTTTATAAATTACACCTCCTCATATGTCCACTTCAAAATTTCTTAACAATGTGAACTGTGGAGAGAATGGTGTCCAATCTAGCACTTAAATATTCTCAAATTTTAAAAAAACTAGAAATATGTCCATAGGACATGAATGCCCCGCCGAGGGTATATTAGTAATGCAACATTTTAACACAAATTGAGAAAAGTGAGGTCAAGGTCAAAGGAAAGGTCAAGGTGAAAATATTGATGCAGTTGAATAGCTTACATCAGTATGTATCAGCATATGAAGTTTGACTTTAATTTAAAAAAAGTGAGGTCAAGGTCAAAGGAAAAGTCAAGGTCAAAAAATAGTGATGCAGTGGAATAGCTCTCATCAGTATGTATCAGCATATGAAGTTTGACAATAATTTAAGAAAAGTGAGGTCAAGGTCAAAGGAAAGGTTAAGGTCAAAAAATGTTGATGCAGTTGAATAGCTCTCATCAGTATGTATCAGCATATGAAGTTTGATTACACTATCTTGAATGGTATCTTTAAAACTGAGCTAAACCCTAATTTAAGAAAAGTGAGGTCAAGGTCAAATGAAAGGTCAAGGTCAAAAAATGTTGATGCAGTTGAATAGCTTACATCAGTATGTATCAACATATGAAGTTTCATTACACTATCTTGAATGGTATCTTTAAAACTGAGCTAAACCCTAATTTAAGAAAAGTGAGGTCAAGGTCAAATGAAAGGTCAAGGTCAAAAAATGTTGATGCAGTTGCATAGCTCTCATCAATATCTATCAGCATATGAAGCTTGATAAAAATATTTTGGATAGTTTCTTTGAACTGAGCTTTGAACAGAGCTAAACACAAAGTGTGACGGAAGGACAGACAGAAGGACAGAAGGACGGAAGACGGACATGACAAACACTATATGCCCCGGCCATATTCATGGCGGGGCATAAAAATATTAAATCTTGTGGGCATTTTGACATTTATCAACTTTGAGAGGTGGATTTCAGGAGAGTATTAAAGGTTCTAGCGGCTATGCAGCTCTACATAGAACGATCTTGAACAATATGCTAACTTAGCCACTACATAGACAACAAGTGTTTATTCATAATGTGCATTCAATAAATCTAGATACATGTATCTAGACTAGCTGCTATAATCTTGAATGCAGCCCATATTTATCCATGTTATCAGAATACTGCCTCCACCTTCCTACCCCATTGCCTTTCTACAGCAAGCAATTAACTTAGGGGGAATCTTTTCTACACTATTTAATGACATTTCCATATACACTTATGTTATTCCTGACCATGTTATTTCTGCAATTCTGAGGAAATCTACTGCTCAAAAATCAATTCCCTTTTCTGAAAACAATACCCACGTTGCAATATTTTTAAAGTATTGATACCAATCAATCTTTTTGCGAAAAAAAATTGAGATGCAAGTCATGCAACTTAATATTTGATATCTTTTGTTGTGGTGTTTTAGTTTTTTACTTTGTATTAATATAATGTAATTTGCTTTTTGTTATACTTAGTCTGTCCTTTTGTTTTCATAGTTTTGAAACACAAAAACCAACAAGATGTAGCAGATGGTATCATTAGATGACTCTGGGAATTTAGCAGCTACTCACTGTGTAAACTTCATTGATGTTGTCCCTGGTCTGACCATTCCAGTGTTAAACTGAACTTGAAACATCTTCATAGATGTTATCTTTGAAAATAAAAAAATATAAATTGTATGTTAATTTAACTGACCTACTGAGAAAGCAGCATTAAAGAAAACTGCAATGACAACAGAACTGTATATAATAACCTGGTACAACACCAGCTTTCAACATTTACACTAAGGGATGGAGTAAGCAAAGAATTAAGGATTGATGATCAAAATTCCACTGACAACATCTAACAATAATACCGTATATACTCGCCAATAATTCGATTTTTTGGGAGATAAACTTTGGTCCAGAAATCTTTATCCGACTTATATGCGAGTTATAAAAAGATTGGTATTTTAGCAGGTCGATCCCTCTAATTTAAGCTTAAAAAATACAACCAACTTATAGGTGGACCGACTTATAGGTGAGTATATATGGTATTACAACAAACACAGGACTTGCAGGGTTTAATAATTATAACAATATCCATATTCATCACAGGCACAAATATAATACAAATAAATAATCAACATGCCAAGTTAGTGATGTTAAGATATAAATTTGACAAGCACATACACTGTATGTATCTTCTTTCAAAACTAGATTTTTCCTTACCTTTCCTTGAACTTTGCCCCCAAAAGTAGATCTGGCATGGTACACAACAACAGTAACATCTCCTAAAGCCGTGGTGTTAACAGGAAGTATAGCTGATCCGTCTTCTACCTGATAACCTCTAAAGGAATAAAATAATCCACATGTAATGATTAAATGTAAGGTCGAATATTGATTCAACTGTTTGAGCCAAGGAATTCTGCACTTGAGAACAGAATATAAATGTTTATTTCAATTCACTGATAATTTTAAATCATGAAACCAAATCAAAGGTCCTTCCTTTGTCTTGATTCTACACTACCTGTGGACTAGAATTACAATCTTCTATATGAAGTTGTGAAACTCTCAAAACAAGCACAAAAATAGTATTTGACTCTTTGGAGCTGTCTGGGATTTAGTTCAGAATCAATGTTTAAAAAGTTTACTGTAAATCTAGAGGACACAGCCATTTTTTGTTTAAATGAGTAGAATTTTTTTTTTTTGAAGAAAGCATTCTTACTTCATTTTGTCATATTCCTGAGAAGTTGTGAGGATCCTTTCTTCATCAACATAAACCTCAACAAATGGTCTGCATCCATTCCTGAAAATCAACAGTAGAAAGAATGTGATTACACACCTTTTACCCCAAAGTGCAACATCAAATAGGTAATAAGTGTGCTAAAATATGTTGTGTCTCCTGCCAAATTCCATTCACTTTTCAAAAAAAAAAAATTATTTGAATTAAATCAAAATAATTTGTTGATCTGACCTAAAAATATCTGAGTTCAACACCAGGATTGTGTCTGAAAGTTAATTTTACATAATTTTATTGGTTTAATATTGTGACACAGTGAGACAATTGTTGCAGATATATGAAGATTTCAGAATGTGTATACAAGTAAACGAGAAAGATCTTCTAACTGATATGAACATTGCCATTAGTTAAACATAGGTAATCAAAGATTACGAAGCTCACCTCGACGAATGTTATCTACATGTAAGGCAAATTTCACATCATATTTTTTTCTAGTTAGGGTACATCCCAAGATCAATATCCATGCAAGTTTGATTTAATTATAGATCTGCTCAAAAAACTTTTGACCTGTTTAGTAATCAAGAAAATTTTGGTCAGTTCCAACATCCAAAGCAAGTCTGGAAGTTTTCATCCTTAGATGCACCATCTATGCAAGTTTAATCATAACAGGCCATAATATTATATAGCTACTCCAAATAATTACCCTGGTCACTCATCTGGAAAATGTACGTCAGATTCAGAATCCAAGGCAAGTCTGGAAGTATCCATCCCTAGATACATCATCCATGCTAATTTGGTTAAAATATGGCTAAAATTCACTCATGTGGAAAATCTAGGTCAGATCCAGCATTCGAAGCAGGTTGGTTAGTGTACATCCCTAGATGCATCATCCATGCAAGTTTGGTCCAGGTAGGGCTTATAGTTACTTGGGAACGAGACTACTCCTAAATCTAAACCTGGTCTCACATGTGGAAAATCTAGGTCAGATCCAGCTTCCGAAGCAAGTGTGGTAGTGTCCATCCCTGGATGCATCATCCATGCAAGTTTGGTCCAGGTAGGGCTTACAGTTACTTGGGAATGGACCTGCTCCTAAAACTTTAACCTGGTACACATCTGGAAAATCTAGGTCAGATCCAGCATCCGAACTAAGTTTGGCCATGTCCATCCCTAGATGCATCATCCATGCAAGTTTGGTCAAGGTAGGGCTTATAGTTACTTGGGAATGGACCTGCTCCTAAAACTTTAACCTGGTCACTCATCCGGAAAATCTAGGTCAGATCCAGCATCCGAAGCAAGTGTGGTAGTGTCCATCCCTAGATGCATCATCCATGCAAGTTTGGTCCAGGTAGGGCTTATAGTTACTTGGGAATGGACCTGCTCCTAAAACTTTAACCTGGTCACTCATCCGGAAAATCTAGGTCAGATCCAGCATCCGAAGCAAGTGTTGTAGTGTCCATCCCTAGATGCATCATCCATGCAAGTTTGGTCCAGGTAGGGCTGATAGTTACTTGGGAATGGACCTGCTCCTAAAACTTTAACCTGGTCACTCATCCGGAAAATCTAGGTCAGATCCAGCATCCAAAGCAAGTGTGGTAGTGTCCATCCCTAGATGCATCATCCATGCAAGTTTGGTCCAGGTAGGGCTTATAGTTACTTGGGAATGGACCTGCTCCTAAAACTTTAACCTGGTCACTCATCTGGAAAATCTACATCAGATCCAGCATCCGAAACAAGTGTGGTAGTGTCCATCCCTAGATGCATCATCCATGCAAGTTTGGTCCAGGTAGGGCTTATAGTTACTTGGGAATGGACCTGCTCCTAAAACTTTAACCTGGTCACTCATCTGGAAAATCTAGGTCAGATCCAGCATCCAAAGCAAGTGTGGTAGTGTCCATCCCTAGATGCATCATCCATGCAAGTTTGGTCCAGGTAGGGCTTATAGTTACTTGGGAATGGGACTTGCTCCTAAAACTTTAACCTGGGACGCCGACGCTAACGCCGACGCCGACACCGACGCCGACGCCGACGCCGGGGGTATAGCATAAGCTCATCTCGACTTCGTCGAGGTGAGCTAAAAATGCATCAATCCTTTATTACCTCATTTTGTTAAAAAGTGGAACAGGGGATAATGTCATAGATTTCAGTAGAACAGCACAGTTGTGGGGAACATATGGAGTATCAGCAACCATGTCAGATATATATCCAATATATCTACAAAACAAGTCAACAATTTAATCACCTGCTGATCAGTAACTACAGGAGAGGTTACTGATAGATAAGTCACTCTCCAATATAGAAATACATTTTGCTGAAATGATTATAAACAGTCTTATTTCTAGTGAAAATAATTTTAACAAGAGGCCCATGGGCCACATCGCTCACCTGAGTAACTTTAGCCATGCTGTTCATTACCAGACTTCCCCCCTTGTAATACCTATTGTGGCCCCGCCCTAGCCCCGGGGGTCATGATTTTAACAATTTAGAATCAACACTATCCCACGATGCTTCCACATAAGTTTCAGTTTTTCTGGTCCAGTGGTTCTTGAGAAGATTTTTAAAGATTTTTCCTATATATTTCAATGTTTCCCTATTGTGGCCCCACCCTACCCCCGGGGTCATGATTTGAACAATTTAGAATCTACACTATCCCAGGATGTTTCCACATAAGTTTCAGCTTTTCTGGCTCAGTGGTTCTTGAGAAGAAGATTTTTAAAGATTCTTCCTATATATTTCAATGTAAAACTTGGATTCCCTATTGTGGCCCCGCCCTATCCCTGGGGGTCATGATTTGAACAATTTAGAATCTACACTATCCCAGGATGCTTCCACATAAGTTTCAGCTTTTCTGGCTCAGTGGTTCTTGAGAAGAAGATTTTTAAAGATTCTTCCTATATATTTCAATGTAAAACTTGGATTCCCTATTGTGGCCCCACCCTACCCCCGGGGGTCATGATTTGAACAATTTAGAATCTACACTACCCCAGGATGCTTCCACGTAAGTTTCGGCTTTTCTGGCTCAGTGGTTCTTGAGAAGAAGATTTTTAAAGATTTTTCCTATATATTTCAATGTAAAACTTGGATTCCCTATTGTGGCCCTGCCCTACCCCCGGGGGTCCTGATTTGAACAATTTAGAATCTACACTATCTCAGGATGCTTCCACATAAGTTTCAGCTTTTCTGGCTCAGTGGTTCTTGAGAAGAAGATTTTTAAAGATTTTTCCTATATATTTCAATGCAAAACTTATTTTCCCTATTGTGGCCCTGCCCTACCCCCGGGGGTCATGATTTGAACAATTTAGAATCTACACTATCCCAGGATGCTTCCACATAAGTTTCAGCTTTTCTGGCCCAGTGGTTCTTGAGAAGAAGATTTTTAAAGATTCTTCCTATATATTTCAATGTAAAACTTGGATTCCCTATTGTGGCCCTGCCCTACCCCCGGGGGTCATGATTTGAACAATTTAGAATCTACACTACCCCAGGATGTTTCCACATGAGTTTCAGCTTTTCTGGCTCAGTGGTTCTTGAGAAGAAGATTTTTAAAGATTTTTCCTATATATTTCAATGTAAAACTTGGATTCCCTATTGTGGCCCTGCCCTACCCCCGGGGGTCCTGATTTGAACAATTTAGAATCTACACTATCTCAGGATGCTTCCACATAAGTTTCAGCTTTTCTGGCTCAGTGGTTCTTGAGAAGAAGATTTTTAAAGATTTTTCCTATATATTTCAATGCAAAACTTATTTTCCCTATTGTGGCCCTGCCCTACCCCCGGGGGTCATGATTTTAACAATTTAGAATCTACACTATCCCAGGATGCTTCCACATAAGTTTCAGCTTTTCTGGCTCAGTGGTTCTTGAGAAGAAGATTTTAAAAATTTTCCTATATATTTCAATGTAAAACTTGGATTCCCTATTGTGGCCCTGCCCTACCCCCGGGGGTCATGATTTGAACAATTTAGAATCTACACTATCCCAGGATGCTTCCACATAAGTTTCAGCTTTTCTGGCTCAGTGGTTCTTGAGAAGAAGATTTTTAAAGATTTTTCCTATATATTTCAATGTAAAACTTGGATTCCCTATTGTGGCCCCACCCTACCCCCGGGGGTCATGATTTGAACAATTTAGAATCTACACTACCCCAGGATGCTTCCACGTAAGTTTCGGCTTTTCTGGCTCAGTGGTTCTTGAGAAGAAGATTTTTAAAGATTTTTCCTATATATTTCAATGTAAAACTTGGATTCCCTATTGTGGCCCTGCCCTACCCCCGGGGGTCCTGATTTGAACAATTTAGAATCTACACTATCTCAGGATGCTTCCACATAAGTTTCAGCTTTTCTGGCTCAGTGGTTCTTGAGAAGAAGATTTTTAAAGATTTTTCCTATATATTTCAATGCAAAACTTATTTTCCCTATTGTGGCCCTGCCCTACCCCCGGGGGTCATGATTTGAACAATTTAGAATCTACACTATCCCAGGATGCTTCCACATAAGTTTCAGCTTTTCTGGCTCAGTGGTTCTTGAGAAGAAGATTTTTAAAGATTTTTCCTATATATTTCAATGTAAAACTTGGATTCCCTATTGTGGCCCCACCCTACCCCCGGGGGTCATGATTTGAATAATTTAGAATCTACACTACCCCAGGATGCTTCCACGTAAGTTTCGGCTTTTCTGGCTCAGTGGTTCTTGAGAAGAAGATTTTTAAAGATTTTTCCTATATATTTCAATGTAAAACTTGGATTCCCTATTGTGGCCCTGCCCTACCCCCGGGGGTCCTGATTTGAACAATTTAGAATCTACACTATCTCAGGATGCTTCCACATAAGTTTCAGCTTTTCTGGCCCAGTGGTTCTTGAGAAGAAGATTTTTAAAGATTTTTCCTATATATTTCAATGCAAAACTTATTTTCCCTATTGTGGCCCTGCCCTACCCCCGGGGGTCATGATTTTAACAATTTAGAATCTACACTATCCCAGGATGCTTCCACATAAGTTTCAGCTTTTCTGGCTCAGTGGTTCTTGAGAAGAAGATTTTAAAAATTTTCCTATATATTTCAATGTAAAACTTGGATTCCCTATTGTGGCCCTGCCCTACCCCCGGGGGTCATGATTTGAACAATTTAGAATCTACACTACCCCAGGATGCTTCCACATGAGTTTCAGCTTTTCTGGCTCAGTGGTTCTTGAGAAGAAGATTTTTAAAGATTTTTCCTATATATTTCAATGTAAAACTTGGATTCCCTATTGTGGCCCCGCCCTATCCCCGGGGGTCATGATTTGAACAATTTAGAATCTACACTATCCCAGGATGCTTCCACATAAGTTTCAGCTTTTCTGGCTCAGTGGTTCTTGAGAAGAAGATTTTTAAAGATTTTTCCTATATATTTCAATGTAAAACTTGGATTCCCTATTGTGGCCCCTCCCTACCCCCGGGGGTCATGATTTTTACAATTTAGAATCTACACTACCCCAGGATGCTTCCACATAAGTTTCAGCTTTTCTGGCCCAGTGGTTCTTGAGAAGAAGATTTTTAAAGATTTTTCCTATATATTTCTATGTAAAACATTGATTCCACATTGTGGCCCCGCCCTACCCCCGGGGGTCATGATTTGAACAATTTAGAATCTACACTACCCCAGGATGCTTCCATATAAGTTTCAGCTTTACTGGCCCTGTGGTTCTTGAGAAGAAGATTTTTTAATGACCCCACCCTATTTTTGTCTTCTCTTGATTATCTCCCCTTGTGAGGGGACTTGGCCCTTCATTTTAACAATTTAAATTCCCCTTCACCCAAGGATGCTTTGTACCAAGTTTGGTCAAAATTGGCCCGGTGGTTCTTGAGAAGAAGTCAAAAATGTGAAAAGTTTACAGACGGACGGACAGACAGACAGACGGACAGACAGACGGACAGACGGACGGACGACGGACAAAATGTGATCAGAAAAGCTCACTTGAGCCTTCGGCTCAGGTGAGCTAAAAATCCTTAATCCTATAATAAACTGAATGCAAGCACACATATACCTGTATGTATGCTGAGCTCTGACTGGCAAAACTAATTTGTCAACAACCAATAAACAAACAGATTTCTAAGCATTATTATTTATCATAAAAACAGTTGACTAAAACTGATAAAAATCTTGGGAGAATTTACACTGCAAATGTAATTATGCTATAAAACAACCTTTTCTGTGAAGGAGTGACTCCTGGTGGGCCTCGTTTCATGGAGAACATGTGAATACTTTGTTCAGGTGACTCGAACAGATGGACAAATGACAGGAATGCCCCCACTACAGTTGCAGATGAAGCTTTGCCATCCTGAAAAACATACAAAAATCTTGATTAAAATACATTTACAATTGTAATGGAAAAAATTCTCCTCACATGCATGTACATGCATATACAAATGCTCCATGTAGCATCATTAAAATCTCATAACATCCTTATTCTAATGTAAAAAAAAAAATCTTATTTATACATGTAATGGAGTCCTTACAACCAATGTTTCTCAGAATATAAAGTTAAACATTATTATAGCAATCTCCTGGTTGGGCTTAATTTGAATGTACATCCATACCTTGTTACATTCAGCTATTTTTGATGATATTTGATACTCAGTGACAAAATCTGAGTTTTCTTTGTGTATTTAATTTCATGTGTTTGCTTTGAACTTGTTTCCATGAAAAAGATTTATGCAAATTTACTATAAAAAGAAAATTTGCAGCATTAAAATATTTTGTGACATGAAAGATAAGAAAAATTACGATGCAATGAATGACACAGATGTTTTTTGGATTCTGTCGCAGCCACAGAAGCATGTTCTGACAGACTTGAAAGAGACTGGTAAGTAAAGGAGCTTTCTTAGGAGGCCATCCACATTCAGACACCTAAAAGCAGAAAAACAAAACATCTTTAACCTCTATAATACATAAACTATAGCCTAATAACATACAACATTAAAGGAAATTATAGTTTTGCAATGCATTACAACCCATAAAGTCAACAAATTTACAATGGTGCACTGGGTGGAGACACCACTTGAGAAGAGTTTATTCCTTCAAAAGACACCCATACATTGGGCTGCACAAGCAATTTTTTCAATGCAAACTTCAAGGAATCAATGAATATAGTCAAACCTCATTATCTCAAACTTGATGGGACCAAAAAAAACTTCAAGATATACAAGGATTGGAGTTATTGAGGGTAAAATACTAAAGAATAAGTGATTGGGACTTCCAAATCACTTCACCATATCCATGGAATTTGAGAAATCAGTATTCAAAATACATGTATAACGAAGTTCAAATTACATTAACAAAAGCCTAAGCTCAAGCATTTGTACTGGCTAGCTTTTTACCCCAATAAAAATCTATCTCCATTTAACAATCATGAAAAAGATCTGAGAATGTCAGCTCAATGAAAATAATTTTCTCACTCTATTCTCAAACTTGATGGCTCTGTATGTCCTTTGTGACAGATTGTACACGGCATAACAGTCTTTATGCCTACTCTCTAAATAACTGCGGACCTCGTCAATGTTGTTCTTAAAAGCAGACTCTACTCCCTCAGCTGGAAATGACATCACTGGAAAAAAAACAACAAAATTAAGGCTTACCTGATTTGATTACCTAATAAAAATTATTCAAGGGCAATGTATGATGCAATCATATTCTAATGTTAAGAACTAGTTAAGAAATTGTAGCATAAATTATCATTAAGACATATTGACCCCCTACCCCCATAAACCCTTTCTATTTCTTTGTTCTTCAATCTATATCATTCTATTCACCAATATAAATATCATACATCTATATGTTGAATGTAGAATATATCAGTTATAAAGTGAGGCGTTATCTAAGAATATTGAACTTATTTCATCCACTATAATATGCTCATACCTGCGATTCTTGATGTAATGTAGCTGATGTCCAAATCTGTCTTTCCCATTGTACTGAAATTAAAAAAAAAAAAAATAAGTATATTACAAATAATTTAATATTTACAGCAGAAATCTATAGTTGACTATATCATAGAGCAGAATTTATGGTAACTTGTAAAGACATACGCTGATACAGTTTCTATAACTTTTGCTGATGCATCTTTAATATTTTTCATCAAATTTCCAGCTCCACCTCTCAAAGAGTTGAATATTGAGGAAGCATTTGCACTTTGTGTGGGGGGTGGGGGATAGTTCTCAGCTCTCTCCCCCTCATCATAGAACACAGAATTAGGTCGCCGATGTGTTTCTGCACTGTCTATTACTAAAAAAAAAAAATTGCTGATTGACAAAGTTCCCTAAATAATATCACTTGCAACTCAAACTGACAAAACGATTTACTGGTAGGTAGCTTGCTGTGTCCTAATCTAAAGAAAATACTGGACTTGAACACATTCAATTTACTTTATTACATGATATTAACAAATGTACAATATATGTATTTGACAAAATTATTGTTGCTCCTTAAAAACTGATTTTACACATGCAAATTCAAAAGAATTATGCACTTTCCTAAAAAAAAAAAAATTGAAGTACATGAGATTTGAATTGTCATTACACCATCTTTAACATATCCTGATAATTCCTATCATTTAAAAAAACTAAAAATATGTCCATAGGACATGAATTCCCCAGCCGAGGGTATATTAGTAATGCAACATGAAAATTTGTATTAGTGTATGAAGTTTCATGAGAATATCTTGAACAGTTTCTTTAAAATTGAAATTGAAATCTAAAATGTTGGAAATAGGTGATAAATTCTCACCAAATTATGTATAAGTGCATAAACTTACATAAATATATCTTAAATGGTTTCTTTAAAATTAAGCAAAATGCAAATCTAAGAAAAGTGAGGTCAAGGTCACAGGAAAGTTCAAGGTCAAATGTTTTTGATGCAGTTGAATAATTCTCACAAATACGTATCAGCATATTTAAGATTGATAAAAATATATTGAATGGTTTATCTAAAACTGAGCTAAACACTAATTTAAAATAAATGAAGGTAAGGTCAAAGGAAAGGTCAAGGTCAAAAAATGTTGATGCAGTTGAAAAGGTTACATCAGTATGTATTAGCATATGAAGTTTGATAAAAATATTATGAATGTTTTCTTTAAAACTAAGTTAAACACAAATTGAGAAAAGTGAGGTCAAGGTCAAAGGAAAGGTCAAGGTAAAAAATATTAATGCAGTTGAATAGCTTACATCAATATGTATCAGCATATGAAGTTTGACACTAATTTAAGAAAAGTGAGGTCAAAAGGTCAAAGGAATGGTCAAGGTCAAAAATGTTGATGCAGTTGAATAGCTCTCATCAGTATGTATCAACATATGAAGTTTGATAACACTGTATTGAATGGTATCTTTAAAAACTGAGCTAAACATTAATTTACGAAAAGTGAGGTCAAGGTCAAAGAAAAGGTAAAGGTCAAAAATGTTGATGCAGTGGAATAGCTTACATCAGTATGTATCAACATATGAAGTTTGATTACACTACCTTGAATGGTATCTTTAAAACTGAGCTAAACACTAATTTAAGGAAAGTGAGGTCAAGGTCAAATGAAAGGTCAAAGTCCAAAAATTTTGATGCAGTTGCATAGCCCTCATCAATATCTATCAGCATATGAAGTTTGATAAAAATATCTTGGACAGTTTCTTTGAAACTGACCTTTGAACAGAGCAACGGAAGACGGACATGACAAACATTCATGGCGGGGCATAAAAACACTTCAGTAAAGTAGCTTGGAAAATGATTTTGGTCTCTTTTTTCTGAATACATGTATAAATCATTTGAATGAAGTTTCACCTTCAAGTCTTTTAACAAGAAAGGCTTAGTTTGAACATCATGATAATGCCTTAATCTTCCATTTACCCATGGGTTTATCACTTTAAAGTTGAAATATTTTTTTAATAGGAAAGCAATGATTTGAATAAACTTGAAGTGAGAACATTAATGATTATGAAAGTTCATGCATCAGCATGAAGTTTTTTAGCATAAAAAATTAATGCCAGATTGTAATACACAAATTGAAGGAGTGATTCCTACCCCCCCCCCCTTCTTTTATCCAGAACAATTCTTTTTCTTTGGTTTTCTTGTGCGCATAAGTGTGTATCGGGATTGTTTTTTTTGCTTACCTATATTTGCTGGAATATTTTCTGCTATATGTAAAGGTCCTTTTAAGTTGACATTTTTAGCTATTGCTATTTCTTGAAGTCTGTCAACTATATCATGAACAGTTGGTCGGTCATTTGGGTCCACTTGTAGCATACTCTCTGGAAGAAAATCAGATAAATACAAAACGTCTTGTTCTTAACAGCATGCAATGATCTAGCATAATTTCATCTCATGCATTTGGAAGAAGCTGATCTGTTTCTCTGTAATATGACTGAATTTATAAAATCTTCTGATTACCATATTTAATGCAAAAAATTAATGATCTGAAGTCTGAAAATACTGTCCTGGTTGAATACAATTTCTGAATTTTCCATCAAAGTTTGGATTTAGGCAAAAAAAAAATGGCCATAACCTCATTTATTCTTATGGCAGATATACATGTACTTCAAAACTTGAATAGCCTTAATAAGACTGATAAACACAGGGGCAAAATCAGCACATGGTACTTGTATATTTCAAATAAATGTTATGCAAAGACAAAAACATACAAAGATGCACCAAATCATTAAATTTGCACTTGAAGTCTATGGAAATATTTTTGCAAATATGGTGGGAATACTCCATGATATATAAGCCAGAGAGAGACCAAAAATGTCGTAAGCTTATTAATAACCTTGTGTCTACTGACATACAGATGAATAAACAGGCAAATGGATAGACTTTGGTACCAAGGGTATAAAAAAGTTGTCTAATGTATGATGACACTTTTTGACAAATGGACATATATTTTCACTCACTAATGAGATCATGCAGAACTGTGTACTGGGTGTCTGCACTTGGAATGGTGTAGTTAGCATTGATGATTCTCAGCTTGGCTGAATCCTCAAATGGGTGGTTACCAAAGCAAAGCATATATAGTAAACACCCCAAAGCCTGAAAAGTTTTAAAAAAAGAATAAAATTAGATCACAAAAGTATAATATAATGTTGTTATGGGTCAATTACCTGTGTCAAGTAACATGTAGGATTTTTTAGTGCCTCAGGTTGTACATATTTAGGTATCTATTTGTGGTCATTCAGGCAGACATTATTTTCTTTGTAAATCCACATAACAGGGTGCTGGGTCAAATGGTCAAATCAATTGAATTGATTCTAATATCATTGATATGGAAGAGTACACATTTACCTAGATGTCTCTGAGATTATACTTAACATGATGGTTCTGTCTTTCTGGATATGAAACATCAGATTACATTACTGCTGCATGTACACTATAAATGCATACTTAGTGTTCTAGTGGAATCTTGAAATAGTGTTACTCATACATGAAGTGGAGAATTATTATAATATTCAAGACAAACTATAATTCCATCAAAACTGCAAATGAAACATACCAAGTAACTTTGAGACTATGTGTCAACTATCATACTACCAATCATGAAATATCCATGCTTACAGTCATTTTTAAAAATGATAGCTTTAAATTTTTCTTATGTTTACTCCTCATTGAATTTATAAACTAATAGCATGGAAAGTTCAAAATCTTAATTTTCTGATAAGCAATGTTTTTATAACTCTTAATACCTACCCAAACATCACTAGCTTCACAGATCGGGAAGTTTTGATAAAGGTCTAACATTTCAGGTGCACGATACATAGGTGTTGTGTTTTTGGCAATCTGAAATGATATAACGAATTAGAAGAAAAGTTTTCTATATACAGTATTCATGTCTAATCTCCACTCTGCCCAATATTTATAAGGAGGATTAACAATCAATGATTATTTACCTCATCTTCCACCAGACTTCGTTGAATTGCTGACCAGGAGCCATCAGGAAAATGTGTTGTTGTTGTAGCACTACCAAAGTCACACAGCTTGATCATGTGTTTAGAACTTATCAACAGATTCTCAGCCTTCAATCAGTAAGAAATATAATTCTTTTTTGATTGGAATAAAAATTTGAAGTATTCCATAATTTTGCATATTTTTAATGATGTATTTGATTATCATTAGGTAAAAAATATAGTGCATGTTTGCTAAAGAAAAACTTCCTCAAAAAAATCATCACTTACTTTGATGTGTACGGCAATAAATGTGCATATCATGAGCAAAGGGGACACAGTTTTGACAAATATGTGAAACATGTAAAACATAAAAACGCATTGTCCATGGGCCTAAATACCTACTTGAGTCACTTAGTTCTCGAGTTATTGTCAAATTTAAGAAAAATCGTAAGGGTGCCAAAGCCAGCCAAAAGTAGTGATTCAGACAATTTTTATACGAAAGCTATAAGATGCTTCCTTTTCAACAAACAATCTTTTAATCCCTATTTTTACCATTTCCTAATTATCTCTACTTTGAAATTGGTGTTGTCTCATTTAAATAAAGAATAAAATTGATAAATCTGGGAACGCTTGGAGGCAAGTCATTTTGGAGAAATTTGTTTTTAAAAAGTCAAAAACTTGCAAACAACAACATATATGAACACTTTTTGATCTGAACCTTAGCCTATAGCTTGGAGTGAAACATTGCATCTACTTACCTTTAAATCTCTATGAATAATTGGGGGATTTTGTCTATGCATGTGCTGCACTGCACGGCACGTTTGGTAAAAGATCTGAATAACATCATTGCAGGGTAATGGTGAGCCAGCACTGTTCAACACATCAACTAGCTGACCTGGAAAAAAAAAAACACACTTAACTGGTGGACTTCTATGATGAAGGCAACAATAAACCATAAACTTTTTTGTGGTCACCATCCCATGATGAAAGTTTTTCATGATTAAAAGTTCAAGTCAAATTCAGGTTATTTCGAATTCCCTGGAAATCCTGGTGAATTTTACTGAAATCTTTTTTATGATTTGTTTTCTTCCTATTCACATGTATGTCTTTGTGAAAAGGCTAAAGGTAACTACAAATTCCAGGGGGGTAATCAATGCATCCCATTTAAGTTTAGATTTATGAACAAATAACAGCCTAATACACATTAACGTTCACCTTTTGAATTTGATACACCCACCTTCACCTACAAGACACAATAACATGTACCTTTGAAATACATCTACCTGTACCCAGGAGATAGTCCAAGATATACCCTACTGTACCTATGAGATCATCCAACTGTACCTATGAGATCATCCACCTGTACCTATGACATACATCCACCCATACCTAAGAGATTCATCCACCTGTACCTATGCCCACCTGTTCCTGAGATATACTTTTCTGTTTCTATGAGATACACCTACCTGTACCTAAGAGATTCATTCACCTGTACCTATGTCCACCTGTTCCTGAGATATACCTTTCTGTTTCTATGAGAATCAGAGATACACCTACCTGTATCTATGAAATATACCCACCTGTACAGAGCTCCGTTAGCAGTAGATACTCTGATTGTCCTTTGTCCGAGTCTGAGGCAGCAGCAATAAACTGTACAATGTTGGGATGACCTGTTAGCTTTTTCTGTTGGCAAGGTTAAGGCAAAAACAGTTGTAAACATGGTAAAGGGGTATGCCATAGATACTGCTAACTCAAGTATACTAGTCTCATAAATAAAAACAGAAAATTAATGAAATTACAAAGCACCGAAAACGAGATGAAAAAAGTATATGTATCCTCGATTCCTCATTTACTTACACAGTAATCCTCCCAAATGAAAATACTTGAGTAAGGTTTTTTTTATTTTACTGGAAATTGCCCCCTCCCCCCAACCACTTATGAAAATTTATGAATCCTCCCATATTTCTCCAATTACTAAATTGTAATGGATATAATAAACAACAAATTTAGGTTACTCAAGCTCCCATGCATGTCTATTCAAATACAAGTTACTGTCTTATGATAATAAGAAAGGGAGTACCGGTAAGCTACGATGTAAAAAGCAGAAAAAAGATGGACACACAGATGTGACAATTAAAGTAATTTCTTTATGGCACCAGTAAATTATTTCCCATTTGAAAATACAGTTAAACGTCATTATCTTGAACTTGATGGGACTAGTGAAAAACTTCTAGACATCTGAGTATTTGAGATATCAAGAGTAAAATACTTCAAGAATAAGTGGTTGGGACTTCCAAATAACTTGGACATATCCATGGTATTTGAGATAGTGTTTGAGGTATCGAAGTTCAACTGTAAATAAAATGATATCCATTATCCATTTAATGAAATAAGGATTCATAACACAGGAAAATATTAAATACCAAAATAGCACTTTCCAGATTTTATGGATATACTAAGCATATTTACTTACTAAACAAAAAACTTATGTAAAATATACACAGGGAGTGATTAGATCAGAATTTTTAACTCTTTTAACAAACAAACATCAATTATCTTAGTGTTTGAAATAACCATGTCCCCGAACACCCGAGATGCACACATTTTGCAGTGGGTGAACAAAATTGCATGTATCCATGGCTGCCTGGGCATGTTAAAGTTTTCAATAATTAAAATTCATACATGTATACCTATATTCAATAATTCTCTCTCAAATCAACTAATTGTATTGGTAGCAAAGTGTAAGAATTAAGCCAAGGGGAAGAATTCATTAGTCTATAGATTTGACTTTTGAGATTAATTTACATGAAAAGTATAGTGTTCATGTCAAACTGTGATGTTACCAAACACAGCAGGCATAAAAAAGGATACAAGGAATTTGATTTCATCTATAACCATTTGGTTCTTTTCTTTGTCATGGGCAAGTAACCTCTGAGGGAAAAAAAATCATTTAATAATAAATTATTGTAAATCAACTGTTATTTACAGGTGGCTTTCTATATCTTGCCATGAACAATTTATTTAATTGTGAACATATGTGGAATGTTTCCTCTGTCACCAAAATTATTAGCACCTGATAGATCAAACTGACAAATCGCGAGAATATTCAGAATAAGTTGTTGCAAATAGTAATTAGTTTACTGTAAATATCTTTACAAATTCAAAAATTCTTTTTACTTTAAAAATGACAGCAATTTCTATATATATACTTTAAGAATTTGAGGTTCTTTCTTAAATTTTGGAAATGAAATATATAACATTTAGTGCTAATGTCACAACCATTATATTATTATTTGTTGGAATACATGCCCTTACCTTAAGGGCATAATCTTTTCCAGTGGTGACATCTTGTGCAACATACACAAAAGCATAGCCACCTGAAAGGAGAAGGCATATATGTTAAAAAATTTTTTGACTGATTAATCAAAAATAATCAAAAATTTGTTTAAGGACACAATAAATTAATATTGAATATTATTTTACCCCAAATTACAATTTTTTTTTAAATGTGTTGTGTATTCCATGAACCTTTTAATGACAGTAAAACACGGTTATAGTGAACACGATTATTATGAATTGATGCTTCCAGCGATGTGATTTTCATTTCCTGTGACTTTATTATGCATTGTAAACTTGATTGATACATGTATAACGAATTACGCTTATAACAAAACAAAATCGTCCTTCCCTGGCACTTTGGTATAATCGTGTTTTACTGTATTTGCTGCAGTCAGTATCTTATCACAATCAAATTCTAGTAATATTTCTTCTTTTTATTTGGAAGTCCTTATCCCTTATCCCTCATTATTAACTATTGAAATCAATGTAAAACATAATTATCTAAATTCATATTCAAATTGATATTTAAAAGTAGATATTTTAAATATAAATTTGAGACTGTAAATATAATAAGCTTGGTCACATAGTTTATCTACTCTAATTTGTTAATTTTTTGCTACAGATGGCTGTGTCATATCTATGACGTCTTTCTGGATGCAGGTTCATCACTTATCTTGTTACAAGAAATGAAGTCTCATGCTTTTAATTTGGTTTTTAATGGAAAAAGATCTGTTGTTTCTAACTTTCATTTTTGTTTTATCTGTCTCAGATGAACTATCTTCATCTGCCATAATTGTTGTGTTCAATCAGGTTCCATCTTTGTTAGCTCATGGTAAAAAAGGAGGAAGATTAGACCATACAATGAAAAATTACTGATGTTGATTATGAAAATACCAACTGATCATGCTGATTTTTAATATTGTTTCATTAAATATGATGACTGCTAATCAAAAGTCGGTGACAATCATTACATCACTAATTTTTTTTGCCTCCCCCCCCCCCCCCCATTGCATATAGTGTATCTGATGTACATATCCAATCCACAACATATTAGCTGTTCAATCAGGTTCTGTCTTTTTACAATCTTACTATTTTAGTTTTCTCAGTTGGGATTGTGGGATGGAGAGGTAAAATAAGGAGAATTAGATTAAGGGGATGAAGGACACATGGTCACATGACTCTGTTTAACTATGTCATAGTCTCCGTTTATATAAGTGCAAAACATGTAAAGCATCAGTTCTTGTATTAATTTTTGACAATTTGTTTACTTTGATTACCATCTTATGTATAAAAAATAAAAAGTTTTAACATTCTTGTAAAATTAACAAATTATGAAATTGTTTGATCCACTCCTCTGTTTCCCTAAACTGCGCGTCCAAAAAGTCGGTGACGTCATACACGATCTGTTAGTACAGCAAGATCATACTCGGTGAATACAGGGGCGGTATTTTTATGTAAAAACAGGTCATAATCAGTATTTGATGAAATATTCTGAGAAACGGGGAACGCAAAAATTATTTTTGCATTGCTGATGACGGAAATCTTATGTAGGTATATCTTATTTTGCTTATTTAGCTTACGCGTGACGTCATAGTTGGTTTTTCCTGTACTCGGGAAATGTAAACATGACACGGTTTTGTCATGCTTATGCCTTCTTTCACGATGTCCTGTGCAATATTGAGGTCAGCTTCACCATTCGAGATTTTTACAGTAAATCAATAATACGAAGGACTTGCATTTCAAGGTAAATTTAAAAATATTGAATGATAGAATTTTTTGTAAATTACGTTTTATGTTGTTTAAGTTGTCTTAAAAAGTACGTAATTTTCCCTATCCAGATGCAGAGTGATAGAAGAAACTTGCTTTTTCGAATCTTTAACCCTATTCATACTCTAAAATATTTTAAAAGATACATGTCCACTTACATATTTTTTTATAAATGCTTAAAAAATCCCATTGTGGACAGAGTAATGAGCCCGGAAACATGGAGAATTAAAACTCCACTTAGATACTGTAGGACATAGTATTTGTTAATCAATATCTCGAAAATAAGGTCAGAAACCTAATGATATTTCTGCTTTAAGATATGTGGGACATAGTTAATTAGAAATATACAAAATATAAAAAAAAATTGAATGACAAGTATTTTTTCAGCTCAAGGTCCTTCTTCCCCTTAAAATCAATTGAGGGCACACATGATATCTGAACTCAAGTTCTCACTGAAAGAAGGTCTTAGAGAAGTCACTGAGGATGTGCATCATACCAACAAACAACAATTCTTTGTAAATATTACTTATTGTTGTTGACGATTCTTAAATACCGATATGATTGATTTCGATATTTCAAGAGAAAGACCTTTCACAAAATACCAAAATTTTACGAAGGCATATAATGTTCAAGGACACTATATATTCCTTTACTCGGGAAATTTGTCATTATAATGCTCGGTGGGAGGATTTTCCGATATCATGAGCTTGCACGTACCTTCCGCTATAACTCTTCGTACACGAAGTTTTTGCTGTCCTAGTTCCACAACTTGTCCAACAAAATCATTCTCTGGTCCAGATATATTCCCAGTTAACACACCGAAAGCGGATTTGAAGAAATCCGTCATTATTTTTGTAGATTATAACATAACATTCAATGTTGTACTTTTACAGATGACGTCAAGGATAATTTATTTACATATCGAACCCGATCTAAACGAAAATATTGAGGAAGTTTAATTTACAGGTCAACATTTTATTAAACAGATTTTAAACGTACTTCTTTGCATATTTCACCTTCGAAAGACTTATATAAGCTGTAACCTGTAAATTATCATAATGTATTTTTATTATTCTTTTTCCTCAAAGAAATAATTTTGGAAAATGTTTGTTCTTCCTAAGCAGTTAACATGGTTAAGTAAGATTTTTAAGAGACATATATATATATATATATATATATATATATATATATATATATATATATATATATATATATATATATATATATATATATATATATATATATATATATATATATATATAATTTATGTCTCTGCTTAAGTAAATGGATAAAATCTTCAAGACATATTTTGCTACTTTTGTGAAAAATTAAGACAATCATATTTTTTAACAGAAATAATGATATAAAAATTTGTGAATAAGAGATTTTTTTCATTTGAACAGGTGCTACGAATCACCGAAATTTATAGAATAAGGTTTTCTTTTCATTGCTTAAATGCAGTAGAAACAGGTAGATATAAAAAAAAATAGATTCAAGAAGTAATAGAATATGGCATTTTTTGTAATGATCTATGTATAGAAGATATCATATTTTGCTTGGATGTCTTGTATATATATATATATAATATAAAACCGTATTATTAATACAAATATTTATTGGCACATACACAATTTTTAATAATTGGCAAAGGCCCAACATATAAAAATCATCAATTGGTCATACATTTATACAATACTTTAAAACTTTCACAATTGAAGATATGCATAAGCTTTGTGCAATAATTATGTAACATAACCATTTTTAGATAAATTAAATTTGTTAATAAATGAGTGCGTTATTTTCAGCATTTCTGCACATTTGTTATTAAAGCAAAGCTTTGTAATGAATGAAAATCCTAACTTAATTATTTTGGTCTCTAAATACGTACTGATTAATTAATACACAGCTGTATGCCATTTGTCGGAAACGTTCTTTTAATAGTTGCTTTATGGGTTTATATGTTTAATGAAGTGTATTTAAATCGATATTTATTTGTGTTTTCATGTATATATCATGTATATATTATATTATTTATTTATAAAATGTACCTCAGTGTCATATATATCTGCCAATAATTTTTATAACAGACCTACTAATCTTAGCATACAGGTACTTACAAAATGCATATATTTCAACATTGTGTATATTTTCTATGTACATTTTTTTTTTATCTCTTAAAGTTGTGCCCTTTTTTTTCTTTGTATATTGTATTTCAATTTTGTGTTTAAAGTGGCATATAGGCCCGATGGGCCGGGTGTTGATTGACTTTTTTAAATACAGTTTGTAAACAAAATAATTTATGTACACATGTAACTATAAATAAATAAATTACTTACTTATCAGCTTCACATATAATATTGCTATCTGCTTTAACATGTTAATGGATGTGCATTATTAATAAATAAAGATTATGAATGAATTTTAGCATTAATTTATTAATTAATTTAAGGTCATTAAAACATCAATTTCAATCAGCTGTCATGTGATTATCAGGAGATGATTTTATTATTTATTTCAAGGATTTCATACAACATCGAAGACTTCACAACTTAGATGTGTATCACCAGTACGAGTTATCGCTCTTTGCACTACTATAATATGCTTCGAGATGTAACATGAAAATAATTAATTTTACTGACAGTAATGCTTTGATGTAAAATAAAAACATTACTTGTCATGAAAAAAAATCATGCAAAAACACATGAAGGAAAATTTGGTGACTTATCTGGGCATTCGGTGTTTTTAAAGGACATTTCGGTAATTACCGGTCATTTCAGTGATTCGCGTTACCCCATTTGAACCTATCCCGATCGAAATTAAACTGATCCAGGACGGAATTTGAAAAGTTGGATTTAATATAACAATCTCACCAGAAAACTAGATCATTTGGTGTAATATTGGTTTGCAAATTATTTTAACTTATAAAACAAATCGATTTCTCAATGGCAACTGCATCAGATAGGTTGTAACGTTGTATTTTGATCGGGATCGGGTTTAACTGGATGTTTTGACGTTGTCAAGGATGGAATTTTGAAAGACACCAGATTTCACTTTTAGGCTTTACAAAGAAATACGAACTCGAGGTAAGCCTGTCGTTATGTTATGTTTAGCTTATTTGAATGAAAGCAAGTATGATAACTTTGGTGAAAGAAATGTAAACGTATGGTCACTCGATCGGGCACCTGCAGACGAAATATGGTAGAAGACAGCTATCATTTTACCAGCCTCACAGCAGGAATAAATGCTCTCACCTTCCCTCCTACAGCCCCTTGGCAAAATTCTTATCAGTTAGGGGACAACCATGCACTTTTGAGTCATTTCTGATTTTAAAAAAATATTATTTTCTCTTGATGGTGTAGAACATAATTAGCCCCCTGAATCAGGGGAATATCTTTTTTTTTCTATGTAGCATATGAGATATATTAGACTGCAGCTGGTATGGTAAATATTGGACTTCCTAAGCATTCAAGAAGAGAATTCTTACAAATATTGGATTATATACAAGAAGAAAAGATGATGTCACAAAAATTTTTAAAATACATGCATAATATTATTAAAGGGACTGACATGGAGTGACAATTATTTGTCCTTTCTGGTTATTTTGCAATGTCTTATTACAAAATAATCTCTTTAGTGTAGAACAATCTGATGTCCATGTGAAGGGAAAAAAGCAAATAATCATAAATTTTCTCATTTTAAAGACATTACAAATAAAAATTTAGGGAAAATTTTGGTAATTTATGGTGGTATCTGTATCTGTACGAATACTGGAAATTATATATTAGTTTCTCACAATTGAGCAAAGTTATCCAGGATGAGTTAATGTTAACAAATAAATAGTTAGTAACTTGTGGTTGCAATTGCAACCTTAAAACTATTCTGATGTTTTACAGTTAATAATGTTGGATGGTAGGTTGTTCCAGTCCTTTATGGTGGTTGGCACAAATGAATACTTAAAAATGTTAGTGGTACAACTGGGCACTTTTATGTCCTCTCTTATCATATGTTTACCATCTACTGCAGAAACACAAATATACTTAATGATACCAGGACTTGATACAGAAGTTTCATAGTTATATCTTTTCATTTTACATGCTAGAAACTTGTTATACCTGGTGTAAACTGAAGACTTTTTTAAATGAAACATATTTAAACATTTTATGCTTCATGAACATATTAGGGATACGTGTGTTCCTTAAACGGGTGATTATTTTATTTATTTTTGTTTCATGTGATTTTTCAGACAGAACAAAAAGTGCTGATGTCATACTATCAGGTTTGTTATGTTTATAATATCAGACACATTAATTCAATTTCAAAGAAAGAGACATGGCAGAATTATTTGTATTTGATCCATTTTTAGCTCACCTCGACGAAGTCGAGATGAGCTTATGCTATACCCCCGGCGTCGGCGTTAGCGTCGGCGTCCCAGGTTAAAGTTTTAGGAGCAAGTCCCATTCCCAAGTAACTATAAGCCCTACCTGGACCAAACTTGCATGGATGATGCATCTAGGGATGGACACTACCACACTTGCTTCGGATGCTGGATCTGACCTAGATTTTCCAGATGAGTGACCAGGTTAAAGTTTTAGGAGCAGGTCCATTCCCAAGTAACTATAAGCCCTACCTGGACCAAACTTGCATGGATGATGCATCTAGGGATGGACACTACCACACTTGTTTCGGATGCTGGATCTGATGTAGATTTTCCGGATGAGTGACCAGGTTAAAGTTTTAGGAGCAGGTCCATTCCCAAGTAACTACAAACCCTACCTTGACCAAACTTGCATGGATGATGCATCTAGGGATGGACACTACCACACTTGTTTCGGATGCTGGATCTGATGTAGATTTTCCAGATGAGTGACCAGGTTAAAGTTTTAGGAGCAGGTCCATTCCCAAGTAACTACAAACCCTACCTTGACCAAACTTGCATGGATGATGCATCTAGGGATGGACACTACCACACTTGCTTCGGATGCTGGATCTGACCTAGATTTTCCAGATGAGTGACCAGGTTAAAGTTTTAGGAGCAGGTCCATTCCCAAGTAACTATCAGCCCTACCTGGACCAAACTTGCATGGATGATGCATCTAGGGATGGACACTACCACACTTGCTTCGGATGCTGGATCTGATGTAGATTTTCCAGATGAGTGACCAGGTTAAAGTTTTAGGAGCAGGTCCATTCCCAAGTAACTATAAGCCCTACCTGGACCAAACTTGCATGGATGATGCATCTAGGGATGGACACTACCACACTTGCTTCGGATGCTGGATCTGATGTAGATTTTCTGGATGAGTGACCAGGTTAAAGTTTTAGGAGCAGGTCCATTCCCAAGTAACTATAAGCCCTACCTGGACCAAACTTGCATGGATGATGCATCTAGGGATGGACACTACCACACTTGCTTCGGATGCTGGATCTGACCTAGATTTTCTGGATGAGTGACCAGGTTAAAGTTTTAGGAGCAGGTCCACTCCCAAGTAACTATAAGCCCTACCTGGACCAAACTTGCATGGATGATGCATCTAGGGATGGACACTACCACACTTGCTTCGGATGCTGGATCTGACCTAGATTTTCCAGATGAGTGACCAGGTTAAAGTTTTAAGAGCAGGTCCATTCCCAAGTAACTATAAGCCCTACCTGGACCAAACTTGCATGGATGATGCATCTAGGGATGGACACTACCACACTTGTTTCGGATGCTGGATCTGATGTAGATTTTCCGGATGAGTGACCAGGTTAAAGTTTTAGGAGCAGGTCCATTCCCAAGTAACTATAAGCCCTACCTTGACCAAACTTGCATGGATGATGCATCTAGGGATGGACATGGCCACACTTAGTTCGGATGCTGGATCTGATGTAGATTTTCCAGATGTGTACCAGGTTAAAGTTTTAGGAGCAGGTCCATTCCCAAGTAACTGTAAGCCCTACCTGGACCAAACTTGCATGGATGATGCATCCAGGGATGGACACTACCACACTTGCTTCGGAAGCTGGATCTGACCTAGATTTTCCACATGTGAGACCAGGTTTAGATTTAGGAGTAGTCTCGTTCCCAAGTAACTATAAGCCCTACCTGGACCAAACTTGCATGGATGATGCATCTAGGGATGTACACTAACCAACCTGCTTCGAATGCTGGATCTGACCTAGGTTTTCCACATGAGTGAATTTTAGCCATATTTTAACCAAATTAGCATGGATGATGTATCTAGGGATGGATACTTCCAGACTTGCCTTGTATTCTGAATCTGATGTACATTTTCCAGATGAGTGACCAGGGTAATTTTTTGGAGTAGCTATATAATATTATGGCCTGTTATGATTAAACTTGCATAGATGGTGCATCTAAGGATGAAAACTTCCAGACTTGCTTTGGATGTTGGAACTGACCAAAATTTTCTTGATTACTAAACAGGTCAAAAGTTTTTTGAGCAGATCTATAATTAAATCAAACTTGCATGGATATTGATCTTGGGATGTACCCTAACTAGAAAAAAATATGATGTGAAATTTGCCTTACATGTAGATAACATTCGTCGAGGTGAGCTTCGTAATCTTTGATTACCTATGTTTTTTAAAGGGTGTGGGGGATCATTATTGATGCAAGAGAGATATTTGTTTTAAAATTTGTGCTGCCTTTAAAGTCACTAACGGATTACAACACAGTGTGATTCTCACAATGTTAGTATTTCTTCAGGAGGGATTTTATTTTTTTTCTAAGGGTCATGGCTTTCTTAATTTTAATTAAAGTTAGTAGGTTTGGGACTATAAAATGTTACAGAAGAGGCAAAATATAACAAAGATCATCATTATTTCATTGATCTATTAATTTTCATTCATTATTGTTATATTTTATTTTTTATTAGTTTTGCAATTTTAATACTGGGCTAAAAATCAAATGAGGTTTACATGAGTAAAGAAGTCGTGCATTAAAATGACCCATCTTAATCAAGATTCTAATATTAAAGAATTTCTATAATTCTTTGTCATGGTCTTGGAAAATTAATAAATCAGTTTGTCCTTGGGATGACATATCATGTGGCACACAGATACTTTAGAAACATGATAATGAAAAAAAAGATGATTGAGAATGAAAAAAAAATAGAACTTCAACGAAGAAATATATTTTAGATTTATGAAGGTATGACCTTATTTTGTGGAGTGCATTAACATTTATCAAGTTCTTTTTTCTTTTTGTAGAGTAACTATCCTTCCTATGGTGGAGGTGGAGGGTATGGTGCATATGGAGGATACACTAGTTCTGGTCCTCCTCCCCCACCACAAGGATATGGGGGTTATGGAGGATACAGTGCCTACAATGTAAACCAGTCTGCATACAACCAGTATCAGATGGGAACTGCCCCTCCCCCTCCCACAGGGGGTTATGGAGGAGGTAAGTATATAGTATGAGAGAAAATATCACGATTTATATATAACTCCTAACCAGTCAGTTGGTCACCTTTGTGACCCCCAGGGTTAGGATGAGGACACATGTAATTGGATGTGTTATGGTACAGCTTGTAACCAAGTACGTCATTAAATGTTTTGTATGTACATGTATATATATTTATATAAAGCACATTCGATCATCAAAGCTCTAAATCAGATCTATGCTCACTTGTTGAAATATCAATTTCCACCATCTATTTTACATGCTAAATATAATACATTTACATTATATGTCTCGTAATTAATCCTGAGTTAACGGAGACAAACATTCATGTCAAATTTGTATATAGGTGGCAGTCTCTGGCTAAAATTGTTGAATTTCAGTATTTTGATTCATAATTTTCTTTCTCCTTCAGGATATGGAGCAAATCCATTCCAGGCAATTCAGGGATGTTATCAACAGTACCAAAGCAATCCTCAGTACCAACAACAGGTTTGTTGCTTATTATTTTTACTTCATAATATCAGACGCACATACATTGCATTGATGAAGAAAATTGGGTTCAAGCAGAGATGCTGTTGCTCTCATGTCAATCACTTTGTATAAAAAAAAATTTTAAATTAAAAAAAATATCTTCAGAATAAAAAAAAAATGACCAGAGAATCATATGATGTACGACCCACACTTATAATTTTATCTCCTCTTTTGCTGCTTTTCTTCTTAGAATATTTAAACACTTTGTTCAGGTGCAAGAAAAGTCATATGATATTTCAAATTAGGAATAAAGTATCTTAAATCTGCTCTGTAAACTGCAAGGACTGGTTTGGAAGAAAGAATTTTTTCCAGAATTATCATTATGAGGTCAGCAATATGGACTCTTTAGACTATTAAGTATGACTGAAATAGAGTTGTCAGAGGGTTGTGAAATTTTTAGACTACTATATATAGTTTTTTTTTAATAACCATATTGTAGATTACAACATGTTTTGTAGATTAATTACTACATGTGTGGTAGTAACCATTTTGTAGACAAAACTAAATATGCAGTAACAAACATTTTGAAGATTAAAACTGCTGTAAAAAGTAATTTGGACTATACTACATCCATGTTTGTAACAACCATTTTATAGATTACAACATGTGTTGAAGTAACCAATTTGTAGACAACTAAATGTGTGGTAAATGTAGTTACCATTTCGTAGACTACTACATATGTTGTAATAACTATTTTGTAGACATCTACATGTGTTGTAATAAGTATATTTTGTAGACTACTATATGCATAGTAATTACTAGTTTATAGACTTCTACTTATATTGTAATAACCATTTTGTACACTACTACATGTGTTGTAATAACCATTTTGTACACTATGTATTGTTGTTATCATTTTGTTTAGCACTGGCAACCACCACCACCACCACCAGCTCCACAGGGAATGGTAGACAAGTACAATCAACAGATGTACCAGAATCAGTGGTATGCACAACAGCAAATGAAAGAAGTAAGAAATTTTTTATTCACAGACTGCAAACCAAGTGAGTTTCACAACATGAAATGTATATTATCTCATATTCAGAGTATCTGCACTTAAAATTGTCACATCAATTTTTATACCCCCTTGCGCTGCTTTTCAAGTTGGGGGGGGGGGGTGTAGTGATGGGGGTGTCCGTCTGTCTGTTACCCTATTTGGGTACCCATCTCTTTTCTGCAACTCCTCTTATACCACAGAATGAAACTTAATGAGACTTTCACAGAATCTTTGATACATTGTGCCCTCCTATTTTACTTTTTGATCAGACGCATATTAATAAAACATAGACACTGCCATCTTTCTATAATATTGAGGGGTACCCATCTTTTATCCACAACTCCTCCTATATCACTGAATAAAATTTAATGATACTTTCACAGAACTGTCATTACATATAGCACCATTGTGACCTTCTTTTTTTACTTTTTGATCTGACACTAAGTATTTCAGGTATCCCATAGAAAAACATGGACTTTGCCATTATAATCAAATGGGAGGCGGGGGGTATCATTTTGTGAGCTCAGTGCTCACAGTACATCTTGTTTTTTTATGTTAATGATAATATCCAAGTTTTAAAAAACCTCTTCTCCAGTTATCAATTAACAGTGTTATATTCAGGTGTTTCTATAAAATTCTGTCTTTTTACTTGTAGCAACTTCAGCAGCAAATGGGAATTAAGAAAAAGAAGAAGAAGGGAAGGGTATGTATTTTATTCGCCAATCAGAAATTAGTTATTTTACACAGATAAATCACCACATTTTGCTGCTCAGTTTCCAGACATCTAGGACAAAAACAACACACACAAAAATAAAAGGCATCATAATAAGAGCTGTTTGTAGTATTTCAGTAATTGTTGGATTACAATACATTTAAAGCAGTCTTTGTTTTCTAAAGGAAAGTACTAATACTAATGGTCTAGAGAATGTGAGGCACACTGCTGAATAAGTTGCACAATAATAACCTATTACTTAATTAATGAAGTTTTTTTTCTTAAATTTTTACACATTAATTCACTTGTGTCTTTGAACTCTTGCATGAATAAACAAATAACTCATTGAAAAACCCTGAAAATTAAGGCACAAGTCTGGTTTGTTGAGTAGTGACTTAGCACTATAATCAAGGAAGATTCAGATTATAAAGTTCTCATTTAAATTCATTCAGCATTCAATGTTAGCATATATTTTATTTAAAGCTCAGAGTTTATGTACTGAATATAGCAGTGACATATGTATTACAAGTTTGAGACCATACAGTAACTATGGATTAAATTTTTGTTGTCAGAAACAAAGAAGGAGGGTAGAAGAAGATGATGAAGAAGATGAGGAGGAGGAGGAAGAGGAAGACGATGTAGATGTAATGATTTGATATCTTATTTAATAGAGTAGGGATAGTAGATTATTTATTATTATTTATGTAGTTATTTAGTAGAGGGATATAGGAATTAATGATCCATTTTTAGCTCACCTGAGCCAAAGGCTCAAGTTAGCTTTTCTTATTGAAGTATGATGTTTTCCCCTCTGTCCATCTCTGAACATTTTTACTTCTTCTGCAGAACCATTGGACCAATTTCAATCAAACTTGACAAAGAGCTTCCTTGGGTGAAGGAAATTAAAGTTTATTTAAATGAAGGCCCATGTTTTTCTTTAGAAAGGTTGAGATAGGCTAATCAAAAGCAAAAATATGGTCATTTAAAAATCAGATTTGTTCAAAATATGGCCACTAAGGGTATGGTGGGGCCATTTTAGGGTATCAAAGTTTTACAAGGGAATATACAAAAAAATTAAATAATAATTCTTCCTCTACAGGACAGCAGGGTCATGATTTGTCATATACTTACTTATTTATTAAACCTACTTAATTTATTAACTTACTTATTTTAGCAGTAGTCATATTTTAGCGCCTTTCATGCAACTTCTTATCTAACAATATATGTACAGTTTAAGCAATAAAAATATTTATCTTACTCTTCTTGACATGTTTTATTAGATATATAGATATTAATGTAGAAATATATACATGTATTATGCATTAAATTAATTAACCGCAAAGTTTTAGCTCTGCAGCAACCAAAACAATTTTTCCATTTTTTTCCTGAAAAAAACAACCAACAAATTTCATGTAAAATAATTAAAAAAAGATTCAATGAACCATTGATGTAAAGTCATGGGTAAATCCACAAACAATGGTTCTCCCTAACAAACAATGATGATTTCACAGTAGTCTTAATTCTCCCAGAATTTTGAATCTTGTATTTTGTTTACAGCCAGATGTTGAGGCTATGCTGAAGGAAAGACTGCGTACTACTTATATTGATGAGTTGATGCGTCGCTTAAAAGTCTCTGGAACTCTTGACATAACACAGGGTACTATTGGTGCCTATGCTAGATATGAGCCTGAAGACCCTGTTTTTAAATTCATGGCATCAAAAGGTGAGGATTTGTCAGAAAATCCAAAATGGGACCCTGAATGTGATGTGCAGTATCTGAGAGATGCAATGAAAGGCTTAGGTAAGACTGAAAATATGTATTTGACTGAAATACTAATATAGCAATATTAACTACAGCTTTAAGCTGAAAGATTTATTTTTAGAATAACACATGAATAAGTAGATTTTTTTGTATTTTTGTTTGGAAAGAAAAAACAAGGCATTTCACCTAACAGAATAAAACATAGAGCTATTGATAATTAAATTACAATGGTCTAAGAAGATCCCTCACCCGACCATTTTAAATTTATTTATCTAAGGAAGAAATCCATCCCCTGATGAAATTTTAGTTACCTGATTGATATTGTGTCCAAAATTTGCAATCACAATTATTTATTGCTGTTTTTCCTTAAACGAAAAATACAAAGATTCAAGTTTCCCTATCAATTTTTAAGTATATCTATTTGACTTCAGTGAACTTTAAAGTTGCTTATTGCTTATGGTTTATGTACATTAATTCCATATTAGGTACTAATGAAGATGCAATCACTCATGTGCTGACCACCAGAAACAATGCCCAAAGACAACAGCTGAAAAAGATGTTTAAAACAGCATATGGAAGGGTAGGATTTTTGTTGATTATTTTTCTATTGTTTACCTTGCTGATCTTTTGCTTATAATTGTCTTACTGACTTACTTGAACCATGATTTAATTACAATGTGTATACATGTAAGTACATGTACTGGAGAGACAATATGGACTTACGGACCAATAGATCAGAGAGTGACACTTATCCAGGGTTCAGGAGCTAGTTGATTATCATAGGAATTGCAGACACTTAATATTTGTAGAAAAGAATCTGGATTACATTGCATAGTAATACTGGACTGGATGTGCCTCAGATTTAAATAAATAGAAGTTAATTTTGACCAGAACATGGACCAAGATCATTTATATTTTCAAGATAACGGCCTCAGGAAAGTGAAATTTAGAAAAGAAATGTCACTGTATATTACACTATATGTATTTTTGACTGTGATTGGCTAAAAGTATCCTTGATAAAAGGGATTTTATTAGTTTCCAACTACTCCTTATTCAAATAAATATAATGAAAATAAATTTTAATAATTTATTGGCATTTCATATCATTGATCCAGAGATGGCAAAGCTTTTGAGAATTAACCTTAAGTAGTATACATATAAATACTTTCAATCTTGAAAATGGAATCATTGATAAGACCATTTTCATTACTTAATCTGAAAGTCATCTGGTCAGTCAAGAACATTTTAAGAAATCATTAAAAACAGCCTGTCCTTGAATTTGATTAACTGATTAAAACTTGATTTATAATGAACAAAATCCTTTTTAAAAGTGAGATATAAGGGTGACAATTTTATCCTATGTGCAGCATATGTATATACATGTATGTATATACTGTTTTTTGATGATCATCTTCCATAATGAAAGTGCCTATTTTGGAAATCTGCAAAAAAAATTATTAGTGTTACATCATGTTTAATTAACAGGACTTGATCGAGGATGTAGAATCAGAGCTGAGTGGGGATTACAGATCTGCAATAATGGCACTTTTTGTTCCCCCTGCTGTGTATGATGCATATTGCATTAAGGAAGCAATATATGTAAGTTTTAACCTTAATTGTTAATATTTTTGAACTTGTCTTATCAGTTTTGTAGCCAATTTTGTACTGGTTTGCTTTAAAGCCATCAATTGGCATATGATTAAAGCAATGAGTGGAGTTTTCTTCAGCTGTTCGTCAGCAGTATGCTAATGAATCATTATAATCATAAAAGAAAAAGAAATGCACAGTTTCCAAATTTCATTCAACACAAGCGCTTTCTGGATTTAATAATCCGTCTTCAGTTCAAATGTATTAACACCTGAAGACGGATTATTAAATCCAGAAAGTGCTTGTGTTGAATGAAATTTGGAAACTGTGCATTTTCTTTTTCTTTTATGATTATTTTTACTGTGTGCCATCATCTTTTAACTACTTTTGAATTATAAATTCTAAGGTTATAACTGGATGATAGTGTAGTAGGAACTATATAAGGTGAATGAGCTGGTGACTCAAATGAACAGTGTGGATCATGGGCTTCTTCATAAGATTTTAGTTTGATTGTAATATTACTTACATATTCCATGGGTCACAATAATATTTACACAATAAAAGCAATACACATCAGGTGAGCATTGTTAGTTTATGACGCTTATGTTTTAACATGTTACAGGGACCAGGAACAGATGAAGCCAGTCTTATAGAAATTTTTATGACAAGAACAAACCCACAAATACAAGAACTTAGAGCAGTGTATGGAGATGGTAAGTTTTTATTTTATTGTGTAAGTAGAAAAATGTAAGCTAAATTAGCATAAACAATAGGTCTCTAAAGTTTTATAAACATGTACATTCAAAAAAATGAAAACACGCTGTCTGATTTGTATATTTCTAGAAAACATTGATGTTCAGAAAGCAATCAAGTTTGTGCCTTGTCCTTTCCCCTAATATCAGTCATTATTTTAATTTTAGTGGCAAGTCCTCACAGAAAAGTATCAGGGACTCTGATAGAAAAGGACATTGAGGGAGACACCAGTGGAGACTTCAAACAACTACTTGTAGCAGCAGCACAGGTTTGACTAGATTACATTTGTTTGCATGTGAGGGTGTATGTGTGTGTGTTTATACATGAATATATATATATATATATATATATATATATATATATATATATATATATATATATATATATATATATATATATATATATATATATATATATATATATATATATATATATATATATATATATATATATATATATATATATATATATAAAATGTGAAGATAATGAAAAGTAATCAATCTCACAAATCCTGCAAACAAGGTCATTATAATGATAATAGAATTTACAAAGTGTTGACTGTAAAATTGAAGTCCACATTACGAGCTGTCTTCTTCTCATGAAGAAGTTTTTGATCAAATTCTGCTTCATAAGAATACAAAGACAGGTCAGCCAATAAAGGAGCACAATTTGTGCCCATTAACTTTCCAACAGATTGTTGGAAGATCTGGTCTCCAAAGTACATAGCTAATGTCAGTAAGGATTTCCAGCATCTTTTAAATATCAACTTCAGTGAATGTGTAGTATAGAAACAAAATGATTTCTATCAAAGTTTTTTTTGTAAATGATTAATCATATGAGCTATGAAAATTTCCTTGTTTTAATTAAAGAAGCAGTTGTCTATGCCCTGTCTTTAATTCATTGTGAGAAATTGTTGTCTAGTAGATACAGTGTATATTATGGATTAAATTTTTTCAAGTCTCAAAGCCCTCAGCTGAGATGAAAATAAATAAAGAATTCAATCTAAAATTATTATAAATACATAAGAACAGAGTGACTTGTTCAAGTGGCATATCAATATACAAGTACAATTCTGGAGTGAATAATTTCACTGATTTTTTCCTTTGATACTTAATTGAGAGTGTTTAAAATTCAGCAAATTTCAATTTTGTCTTCAACATAATTAATTGACATTTTAACCTATAAGTTTTTCATTTCTTTGATTAATTGAAAGTAATTGAATAAAGTAAAACTTTATAAGTACCTAGTTATTCTCCCTATACAGAATCTAGTTTCATGAAACTAATTTGATATTCTCTTACCATTTGTGATGATAGGGTAATCGAAATGAAATTACCAGGGAACAGTTGGAAAAAGCAGTAGAGGAGATTGAAGTGGATGGAAAAGGAACAGGAATGTTTCAAGTAAACTACTCAAAATTAGCAGACATGAAGAAAGCTAAGAGAGATGCAGAGAAACTCTATAAAGCAGGAGAAGACAAATGGGGTACGGATGAAGAAGAATTTATCCGTATCTTTTCGACCAGAGATTACTATCAGTTACGAGCCACATGGGATGAGTATGTAAAGGTGTGTTTATAGGGCAATCTCGTCAATAAAATAAGCAGTTTGAAGACTTGATACTTTCAACAAAAACAAGCCAATTTCAGTTAGAATTTCAGTAAAATGTTTTGGGGTAAGGTAATTTGAGGTTATTGACCTTTGGACAAGTTTCACATGGACAAAGTCAATACTGCAAGAATGGGATGGTTGTGTAAATTTTTCAAAGGTACTTGTACCATTTGGAAATGCCTCATTTGGGTATTTTTTTGCATTAGGACAACTGTTATTTGGAAAATCATGAATTCATGCAACCACCTTATTGTTTGTAAAATTCATGTTTCCACCCATTGGGATGTTACCTATCCTCTCTATACTTATTAAGTTATATGTTTTTGATTTTCTTGTATTTTCAGCTTACTCAAAGAGACATCACAAATTCTGTTGACAGAGAGACCTCAGGCGACTTTCGATCTGGCCTTAAAGCCATAGGTAACAGTTGTATCATATATAAGCTAAAGGATTTATCCATATTTTATATAAATATCATCAAAAAAATTTTCCTTCTGTTCCTAGAATCACTGGGCTGAAAATGACATTTGTTAAGAAAAATCTTGAAGCTTTCTTCTGTTACCCTAAAGTACTTGTGTTTTGAGTGCAGCATTCCTATATCATCTTGACTTTCCTTTTTCTAAAGAACCCATATATTTTTTTTTGTTTGGCTTTTGATCTGTAAATAGTCTTGTACAAACATCACTATGATGTCCATATAAACTTTTATCTTTTGGATGACACATTTCTGTCATTATGATAACATATACCAATGTTTTTTTTTCAATGTTATTTTACCTTTTACAGCACAAAATATTAAGTGCAGACCAAAATATTTTGCCCAACGCCTGAAAAAAGCCATTAAAGGTTTAGGAACTGATGATAAGACCTTGATTCGTATCATTGTTTCAAGAGCAGAGGTAAGACTATACATGTTGGTTTTTCCCTATTCTGAACAAGTTAGGATCAGTCATTCTGCAAATGGTAGATTTAAGAGAAAATAATTTTCTGGATTATGTCTTGATTGCATAATTGCATGTTCTTGAGGCCAGATGGTGGCCACAAATGGTACAGAGAGTTTGAAAAAGTAAGATTGTAAAGAGTCACATCTGTTGAAATAAATAAAGAACACCAGGACAACTTTTTGTTCAATTTCAGTGTATGCACAAGTAGGTAGATTTTGAGTTTGTACAAAAAATGCATATGGACAAAGTATAGCAACATTATCAACACTTTCTAAAAATATATCATTCTCAAGAACTATACAATGTACTGCTTATAGGATACCTTAACTGTAGGCTCTAGTGAGCACATCTCATCCAACTCTGAATTTTGAACACAAAATGTAAGCAGAAGTTATTTGCTTTACAATTATTCTTTGGTTGTTTCAGATTGATATGGTTCAGATAAAGAAAGAGTTCCTGGCTATGACTGATCAAACACTCTGGAAATGGATTCATGACGACACAAGTGGTGATTACCGTAAAGTCCTGTTAGCACTTGTCGGTAAAAATTGAACGCACTCAGAGAAATTGAGGAAAACAATTTTTGAAATAATAGCCCAGGCACTAGAGTGTTCTTTTATCATTCTTTCTTTTTTGTTTTAACTTGTAGTATATGTTGATGTCATTTATTATGAAAATGCTTTTTATTGTAAAAAAAAAAAACCCTATTAATAGTGTTCTGTATTGTATTTGTCTTAATTGTGGAGGGTCAAACTGGAACTTGATAAAAAGTAATTGTAGTGAGGAAACTACAGATCATTTCTCCTTTACAAATTATATACTGACTGTGTGTTCATGAGACTGCATGTAAATGAGACTTACATGCTATATCTATTAGCCTGTTTGTACTAAATTAAAATAGATATTATCATTGTACTTTGTGTTTGCTACATATTTACCAGTATACTAGCATCATTATAATCATGCCTAAATTAATTGTGGCCATTTTTCTGCCTAACAGACTTTAATTTTTCAAGGGTAGCAAGTTATTGTTAAAACTCCTTTCTGTATAAAGCATTGTGATCGACATTTAATTCATAATTGTTGCTACAGTACTGAAAATATCTTTAAAATTAACTCCTGATAAGATTCAGATATATCATTTCTATGTGTTTAAAAATTGGACACTTTTGTTTTGTACTTTGTTTCATTAAAGTGTAACTGTGATATTCTATTTACTTTGGAATAAATGAACGTTACTATTGACTACACTGCATTAGTTATCTTCTTATATATTAGTACATGTATGAGTTAAATCACGTTAAATAACTAGGTTGAGTATAGAAATGTTGGTAATTTGTTTTGTTTCTTTAATGTTTTACTAAGTCATAGTTGTATATTGTGTTCACTGCATGTCTATTGCTGAGTGAGCTTGCAATAACCTTTACAATACAACTGTGGTTGTTGTAAGAATAACTGATTGTGTAATATATGTAAAACTTCTGTAAACATTCATTAATTAACATAGTCAAAGTTTAGCATATTTCTTCATATTCATTTGATTAGCACAATCATGAATTAGCACACTTGAGTCTTGAAAACAACAAATAAAAATTAAATCATCTATTAGCATGTACATAAATGAGCAGAAATAAAGCAGAGCAAAAGATGCTAAAATATGATTACCGCTAAATTAAGTACATTAACAGTATTTTATACTATACATGATTTGGTAATGCTTTTAGAATGGAGAGTTTTGTCTCTAATTTTTGCGAGTTAGAAATGATCACAAAAAATGCCAAAAAAAAAGATCATCGCAAAAAAAACAGATATACAGTGCAACAGCATAATACGTACTATAAATGTTCTTATTATAGTGATAATCATATTTTAGTGGTAATCTTATTTTAGTGGTAATCATATTTTAGTGGTAATCTTATTTAGTGGTAATCTTATTCTAGTGGTAATCTTACTTTAGTGGTAATCATATTCTAGTGGTAATCTTATTTTAGTGGTAATCATATTCTAGTGGTAATCTTATTTTAGTGGTAATCTTATTCTAGTGGTAATCTTATTTTAGTGGTAATCATATTTAAGTGGTAATCATATTTTAGTGGTTATCATATTTTAGCACTTTTTGTGCTGCTTCTTGTCCACTTATTCATATTAACCCAATAAATGAACATGAATAAAGATATACAATTTGTATTTTAAGACTGGGCTAATTTCCCAAGATGTGGAATGTACTTATTTTTGATTGCTAATTTTAACTTCACAGTATGCAAGATTCACATATTTAGGGGCAAGGAACTCCATCTTGAATCAACATTTTAGACTTGCCTTGTCAAAGTAAAAATTAACTACATTTTATCATGTTATTCTGTGTAGACAATGAACTGCCTCCCTCCCTCCTTTTTCAGGAAAAAAAATTTAAAAATTGTTTAATGTTAATTTGTTCTCATTTTGTAGCAATGCTTTGTCTAAACATATTTTGAATTACAGTATTTAAGCAAAATAAACCAATTATGTATCCTTTCAAGTTTCCTTTTCATTGAAAAAAGCTTTTTACACCCACTCCCCATTACCACCATTCACAAGTGGAGATTTATTCTTACCTTGCATGATTTAAGCCAAGACCTAAAGGCTTGTCATGACTAAAAATATTGAAGTAAAAGGTCACTTGGCTACGAGAAGTTTAAATAAATTATGATTGAATAATGGATTTGACAACAATGCCTTGAATATTGATAAACTTTATATTGAAAACAGATGTATATTATATTTTTCATTTAAATTGATACAAAAAACTAGAAACATGTCCATAGGGTATGAATGCCCCTCCCAGGGTCCAATAGCAATGCAACTAAAATTGGTAATAGTGTATGAAGTTTGCAGAAAATACCTTGAATAGTTTCTTTAAAACTGAGTTTATTCAGTTTAATACACAATAAATAGTGAAGTCAAAGGTCATTGGGGAGGTCAAGGTAAAAAAAAAAGAATTGGATACAGTTGGTAAATACACACCAAATAATGTACGAGTGCATAAGCTTACATAAAAACATCAGCATATGAAGTTTGATAAAAATATCTTGATTTGCTTCTTTGAAACTAAGCTAAGCACAAATTTGAGAAAAATGAGGTCAAGGTCAAAGGAAAGGCCAAGGTAAAAATGTTGATGCAATTAAATAACTTTCATCATTATGTGTAAGAATATAAAGCTTGATAAAAATACCTTGATTTTTATGCCCCGCCATGAATATGGCCAGGGGATATAGAGTTTGTCCTGTCCATCTTCCATCCATTGTCTGTCCGTCCGTCACACTCCACATTTAGCTCAGTTCAAAGCTCATGTTCAAAGAAACTATTCAAGATATTTTTATCAAATTTCACATGCTGATACATATTGATGAGAGCTATTGATACATCAACATTTTTTGACCTTGTTATTTATTCTTTCTTGTATTCTCATTCAATCAAATAACCTGTTAATTAAATTATATACACGGATTTCTTGATTAAAACATCTAGCAAAGGGGAGTAACTCTCATTTGCTTCACTTATTACAATTGTATACTCTGTTTGCCTTCTAGACACCCAGGAGCAAAGAAAATGCACATTTACTTAAAATTATATTTAATACATTTACATTGATAATATTGTATATAGTTTGTTTGCTTATTACTCAGGGGCAGAGGAGATTTTCAAAGCATTAATTTTTTTTTGCTAATTAATCTATAGAGCCCCACCCAAGCACAAGAACCCCTGACCCAGGGGCCATGAAATTCACAATTTTGGAAGAGGGACCATTTCTCATCATAACTATGTATTTAGTTTTTTTGATTAATATCAAAAGGCAGAGAAGAAGATTTTCAATGCATTAATTCATTTTTAGTATGTAATAAATACCCCCCACCACCATGGAACCCCTGACTAAGAGGCCATGAAATTCAAAATTTTGGAAGAGGCACCCTTTTTCATCATAACTATGTATTTAATTTGTTTGATTAATACCAAGTGACGGAGGAGAAAATTTTCAAAGAAATAATGCATATTCACTACATAATCATTAGAGCCCTACCCTAACACCAGAACCCCTGTCCCAGGGGCCATGAAATTCACAATTTTGGAAGAGGCACTCTTGCTCATCATAACTACGTACTTAGTTTATTGGCTAAATACCCAGGAGCAGATGAGAAGAGTTTTTAAAGAATTAATGCATTTTCACTATATAATCATAAGAGCCCCACCCTAGCACCAGAGCCCCTGAACCAGGGGCCATGAATTTCACAATTTTGGTAGAGGGCTCTATGCTAATTAAACCATGCAAAAAGTTTGACTGCTTGATGTCCAGGAGTAAAGAAGAAGATTTTTAAAGATTGCATTAATTTTGATGGTTTTAGCCCCACCCCTCAGGCCCCACGGGGGGGGGGATTTCAAAATTTTTACTCCCCTTTACTCATAGATGCTATATACTAAAACTAGTTGAAATTGGTTCAGTGGTTCCAGAGAAGAAGCTAAAATTGTTTGAAAGATTACGACCAATTGACGACGAACATCAACGGACGATAGCAGATAGCAAAAAGGAAAAAAATGTTGCTGCTGTTGAATAATTGTCATTAATATGTATATGCAAATACAGTTCTATAAAATTATCTTGAATACTTAGCTAAATAAAAATTTTAAGTCAAGGTCAAAGGAAAGGAAAGGTCAAGATAAATTTTGTTGATGCCATTGAGTGAAACAACTCAATCAATCTCTAGACCTAGACTTGGCATAAACAATCAATCTATAGATCTTGACTTGGCGTAAAAGAACTCATTGAATCTCTAGACCTTGACTTGCATAAAACAACTCAATTTAAAAAAAAAAAGACACAGTGTCCTACTTATAGCTTTTGCGGCTTTATATTTTCAAAATTGGTTTAAATACAGATTTTCAAGATTGGGACATCAAGATCAGTTCATCCTTTTTTTTTGGTAGTGTGTCAATTAAAAAGTAGGTCATCGTGACCTAATTTCTTAATTTTCATTTCAGCTAAATATTTGAATATGAAGAGGTTTAGATGTGTCAATAAAGGGAGGTCAAAGAGTATTAATTTTTTTAATTTTAAGGCTCATCATTATAAAGTCATTGAATCCTATATTTTGAATGCCAAAAACCAACAAACTTTAATTGTTGGTGCATGATTTATCAATTTTAAAAAAGGTCTCTGCGACGTATCCTTATATGACTCAAAACTACAGAAACTTACTTTTTGCATCTCAAGTACCATATCATTCTCTCTCTCCTCCATTGTCATTTTTCCCCATTTTTCACATTCTTTCTCCTCTATTTCTCACTCATCCCTTCTCTCTCCTTTCTTCCTTCCCTCCCTCCTCTTAACACATCCCCTGCTTGTCCCTCCATTCCTCTCCCTCCATCCCCTCTCAATCTTCTCTTCTCTCCTTCTTCCTCCCCTCCTTCTTCTCCCCAGTCCCTCTTCCTATCATCTATCTCTTCCTCTCTCTCTCCCTCCCACCCCTCTCTCTCTCTCCATGCCCCCAATCTCTCTCCCCACCTCCCCTCTCTCACTATCCTCTCACTCCATCAGGAAGGGAGAGAGAGAGAGGGGAGGGAGAGGATGGGGACTCTCTCCATCCTCTCTCTCCCTAATGGAGAGAGAGGGGATATTGAGGGAATGGGGTCTCTCCTTCCCCTCTCACCTTCCACCCTCCTCTTTCTGGAAGAAAGAGGAGGGAGAGAGAGAAAGTGGATGGAGACTCTCCCTCCCCTCTCTCTACATCCCCCTATTTCTCCCCTCCCTTGGGGACTCTCCCTCCCATCACTCTACATCCTTTCCCTCTCCTTCCACCCTTCTCTTTTTCCCTTCTTTCTGGAAGAAAGAGGATGGAGAGAGAGAGAGAGAAGAGGGAGGGAGAGAAAGTGGATGGAGACTCTCCCTCCCCTCTCTCTACATTCCCCTTCTATATCCTTTCTCCCCCCCCCCTTCTCTCTCTCCTTCCACCCTCCTCTTTTTCCCTTTCTGGATGAAAGAGGATGGAAAGAGAGAGGAGGCAGGGAGAAAAAGTGGTTGAAGACTCTCCCTCCCCCTCTCTCTACATTCCCCAATTTCTCCCTTCCCCCGAGGACTCTCCCTTCCCTCTCTCTACATTACCCTATTTCTTCCATCCCTTTCCCTCTCACCCCCTCCTCTTTCTTCCTTCTTCCCTTCATCTTCTCTCTCTCTCTTCTATTTAACTAACCTCTACTTTTCTCCCTTATTGTGGGGAATGGTGGGATAAAAAGATTGTATACAATTAAGCATTACA